TGGGTTCTTGGGTTCTTGGGTTCTTGGGTTCTTGGGTTCTTGGGTTCTTGGGTTCTTGGGTTCTTGGGTTCTTGGGTTCTTGGGTTCTTGGGTTCATGGGTTCATGGGTTCATGGGTTCATGGGTTCATGGGTTCATGGGTTTGGGGTTTGTTTGTTTTTGTGTCGGAGGTTTTGGGTTCGGGTGTTGGAGGTTTTGGGTTCGGGTGTTGGAGGTTTTGGGTTCGGGTGTTGGAGGTTGAGGTTTCCGAAGGGATGTGTTTGCAAAGTTTTATTGCTCTTAATATTTATGAGTTTCCACCTACTTACAATCAATATCATCTACTTCCACCAACCTGTATGACTAGTCACGCAAAAATCATTTCGCTGCTTACTCACAGAAAGAAGACACAACCGACGCCTTACGGATGAGATCAAAAAATAATTACAAACGATGCACTGGACAACGAAAAATTTGCAAGAGTATACAACAAAATAAATCGTAATTTCAACATTCATTCTGCATAAGCTGAACAAGATGCTGGTACGTAAAATAACGTCAGAGATGCTCGATGATGGCAAAATGTGTCGAGAAGTAGGAGTCCAAGCTGGAAATATAAACAGCACGGCATCAGGATCATCAAAGTACGCTTTGCCCCATTCTGAATTCGATTAAGTGAACGCTAAAGCTCCTGAAAATTCTCAGAAGGTCGCTGGCAAGAAGATAGAAGAGAATCGAATACAAGCTCGGTCATCTTCGTCGTAGTTCCTGGTCTGAAAACTTCTGACCCTTGAAGTGAGACGAACGGAAATTTTCAACTCTAGAGAACGATCCTTGCCCCTCGCAACCTGACAACCTCCTAATTTGCGTCGTAGTTGCTGCAACCTTGCTTGATTTCCATTCTCGGTCGTGTGTGTATTGCCTTTTAGTTGTAGCACATGAATGTATGTAGAATCTATGCTGATGTTATTCGATCGCCTGTTGTTTGTGATATTGATAAATTTAGGAAATAGAAATGATGGACAAGAAGAGCACAAGCACAACAAGGTGGTCCGTGGAGTGATGAGAGTGTATGATCTTCAGTTGTTCTAGAATCGAAGGCACGACTAGGATTACAACGAACAGGACATCACTCGTTGTAGCGAGGAAGTAAGCACGAGCAGAATTAGATTATACACCTAAATCTAAAAGTCCTATTATCTCCGTCAACAGGTCATCGAATGCGACAGCGCGATCTCCCTATTTCCTATGTTGGGTGACAGTGTTAAATTGCTCGTTTAAAACGTAGGAAATGATAATGATTGGAATGACGAAGTTGTACTACCCCTAACGATCTGTGAATACAGAACTATTAAGTGCATGCTGAAAGTGAAGATATTAAAAAAAGTTCCATGTTGTAGTTGTGAAAAAACATATGTCGTGTTCCGTGTAATTCCGCTGCCTCTGGTGCTAGGTCAGCGCGGGAACCTCTCACTGGTGGACCTGTATCTTTACGACGCGCAAGCAAGGCAGAAGCAGAAGTAGTTAGATTTTTGCCGCGGTTGCGTTTCAGCTCGAAGACGAGGACAAAGACCAAGGGCAAGACGACAGGCGAAGAGAATCCTACAGGATTCGCCCGGTTGCTCGCAGAGTCATTGGTTTAGAAGGAACACACCTGCACCACGTAGAAGAACAAGATGGGACGTAGAAGAAGAAGAGCAGCAGTGGTCGCGAAAGCGAAGCCAAAGCTCGACACACAGTTCGACTGCCCATACTGCAACTCATCAAAAAGTGTCGAGGTACACTTCAATACAGAGATATACGCTTCTCGATGCATTAGCTATACGTATAAGTACCTGCTTCTTGGTCTACAACTCGAGAATAAATCAAGATTTATCCCGCTACTTGGCTAGTAGGACTAGTAAAAGGGATACCATGATCATGAATGTCATACATGACCGATCCCTACAACTTCATTTGAAATTACGAATCCAAAAACTACAGGTGAAGATGAGTCGGCCAGAATCACTCGGACAGCTAAAGTGTCGAGTATGCAACGTGTCATATCAAACACGAATAAATTATCTGAACGAGCCAGTGGATGTGTATTCAGAGTGGATAGACGAGTCAGCAGAACGACAAAGATTGCAGGATCGAAAGAAAGCACCACCTGGTGCCGTACCGGAACCTATGCCAAATCCAAAGTATCTATTACAGGACATACTTGACTTACGCACCAACAATCTAGTTCATTCACCTTTCTCTCTATTATACAGGAGGAGTTTTCTCTTGAGATTCCATTCTACTTGTGATTGCGTCGACTAGCTAGTCTTGATGTTTTTCTGCTCCTGTTGTGATTTTTCTGAATTTGATCTCAAATCTTATTCCCACCAGCCGAAGGCCGTTCGCAGCGGATCCCGACGAGTTGAATTTGGGTGAGGATGCAGATCAAGAGTACAAGGATCCAGAGTTTTGAGCAGAAGCAGGCCGTCGATCTTCCTGGTCTTCTTGTTTGGTGTCAGGGGACGACATCTCCATCCTCTGCAGCTACAGCATCTGCAGCTACAGCTTCCAGTGTTTTCCAAGTGCATAGAAGAACAACCACCTCCTGCTTGCGCATTGATGAGCACACGTTACATGGTTCATGTTGACCCACCAGCACGACTAATTCATCTACGATTCTTCATGATGAAGATACATGCAGATTGATACAACGCTCAAGAAAATCGATGGAAAAATAAATGCAGGATGCAAATATGCAAGTGTGACCTATCTGTATCGTCCTACGTCGCAGTGCAGTGCTGCATCTGGCTGCGTAAGCGTCGACTTAAGTAAATGTGCGTCGATGCGGATATATTTGATCATAGACAACGAAGTACATTCTGATTGCACGACTCAGACCATTCGCGACGATCTTCTCCTGCTAGAAGATGATATTTTTTCTCAATCTGATACTTTTTATCGATTTTCACCGAGGACTAATGGGGATGACTGCACTTCTTCATCAAACGCGCATATCTACGAAAAGCGGAGACTCGTCTAGTGCATAAACTTGTGCTTGCCCCCTCTGCTATTCTGGGATCTATTATCATATTTTTTGGTGGAAGATTAGACGTACTAGGATCTCAATAATTCGGGGAGAATCTTTCTTACTCCCAATATGTTTGACCAGGTAACCCCCCTTGCCGAAAAGTGCTAATTAGCAATAAACATAACGAAAACAATGTCAAAGCCTGTAGATAGGCAAAGCGGCATGTCGTTATGCCACGTATCGAATAGAAGATTTAGTATAAAACAAGTGTTCACTGTTCAAAAGCTACAGGATGAGTCAATTCGAAGATATTTTGAAGTTTGAAAGTTCGTGTAGTACTAGAATCCTAGGGGCTTTGCCTAGAAGAGCCAGTGAGAGAAGCGTGCAGAGCGTCTGAAAGAACAGGAACCTGAAATGTATGAGTGAATCTATTGTATCGCAGCTGATAGTAACTACAACTCACATACTAGTACTAGAACACAACTAACTTCAAAGGGACGAGCGGGAGAGAATGAAACAATCTTTACACCCCCGTTTTGAATCTTAGTGATTCAAAATGAAACTAGCCTCCACAAGCTTCGCCCGGCTTCAAGTTTAGCACTATTCTGCCTCCCACGGGCTACAGCCGCTTGAGTAGAGACAGCCCGCGGGTGAGCTGTTGCACTCTGCGAATGGACTACGACACGAGTCGCGTGCCGGCGCTGGCCGACTCAGATGCGTCGACTCATGGGCAGAGAATTGCGCAGCGGTCGGCTCTTTTATGGGACTGCCGGGGGGTCATGCAAATTTTGAAGAATTTGCAAGCCCCCCACGGCAGTCCAACAAAAAAACCAGAAGAGAGCCACCAGGCACGCACAAGAATCCGCAGGCCCCAACGCGCGCAAGCGCTCGCCTCGCGGTGGCACCAGGCAAGAACGGGGGGCGACCTTGACGGGCCAAACAAGAAAAAGGAGCGCATGGCTGCGCTGCTTGGGTCTCTCTACGCGCCTACGGCTGGCGGGGCTTCTTCCTTGCTTCGTCAAAAATCTTGTGTCAGAAACAGAAGGGCGCACTTCGCGGGAGCGTGGGGCGCCGCTCCTCGGGCTGGGGCTGACGCCTCTCGTCAGGCTGACGCCTTTCGTCGGGCTGACGTTTTTCGCCAGGATGGAGACCGACGCCTTTCGTCAGACTGGTGCCTTTTCTCAGACCAACGCTTTGCGCCGGGCTGACGGCTTTCGTCGGGCAGGCAGGCACCCTCCGGCCGACGTCTTGGGCCAGGCTGAGGGCTTTCGTCGGAGTGGCGTGTCTCGTCAGGCTGACGCCTTTCGTCAGACAGAAGCGCTTCGCTTGACCGAGATCCTCCGCCGAACCAAGGCGGACGCCTTTGGTCAGGTTGATGGCTTTCTTTAGCTTGGCGCTTTTCGTCAGACTGATGCACTGACCACACTAGGCGACGCTCCTCGCCAGACTGGCGCACTACGTCGCCAGGCGTCTGCCTTGCGTCGGAGCAGGTTGGGCGGAGCTTTTCTGCGGGTTGCAGATGTCTGCCGTCGTCGTCGGATTGAAGCTGTTCGCCGGTCGTTCGCCAGACTGACCCCTTTCGTCGGACTGGCGTGCTTTCTCTATCGTCAGGGGCCTTTCGTCAGAGGTCTGTCGCCGCGGATCCATCTCTTGCCCAAGGTCTTTCGTCGAAGGTCTTTTGACGAAAGCCTTTCGTCAGAGGTCTTTCCTCAAAGGTCTTTCGTCGAAGGTCTTTCGTCAAAGGTCAGCGCGTCAAAGGTCTCTCGTCGGAGGTCTTTCATCGGAGACCTTTCGTCGGAGATCCTTCGCCAGAGGTCTTCCTTTAAAGGTCTCGCGTCGAAGGTCTTTCGTCAAAGGTCTGCCGTCAAAGGTCTCCTGTGGCAGGTCTCTCGTCAAAGGTGAGGTGTTTCCTCGCGGGTCTCTCGTCGAAGGTCTTTCGTCGGAGGTCTTTTGTCGGAGGTCTTTCGTCTGAGGTCTTTCGTCAAAGGTCTTGCGTCAGAGGTTTCCCTTCGAAGGTCTTCCGTCAAGGATCTGTCGTCAAAGATCTTTTGTGGGAAGTCTTGCGTCAAGGGTCTCTCGTGCTCGTCAAAGGTCTTTTGTCGGAGGGGTTCTGTCAGAGGTCTTTCGTCGGAGGTCTTTCGTCACTTCGGACTTCTCTCCCCAGCTCGCACCCCTACCCCCGTCGGGCATTTATTTTTCTGGCTTCTTTTCTGATAGTTTGCCACGGGGCCGCGACGTAATTCCCAAAATGAAAACGGTCGGAGACTCTCGCGCTTTGAGATTGAGGGGGGGGGGCGGAGGCTCTCCGCAATATTTTCGTGGGAAGAGTGGACTCATCTCCGGCGGGTTAGGTGGGGAGTTTTGTGGCGGTGATCAATGTAGCTGAATAGTCTAGACTAGTAGCATTTTTTTTGCAGTGCTTGAGCAGCGCTATCGACTTATCACGATTTCAAGCCGAGAAAGAATCAATAATCACCTCGACCTCCTAAATTGTTTTTGAAGAAGCTTATAACGAGGAGAAGAATCTTAATGAAGTCGATTAGCCGCTGATGTAGCTGTTGTACTCGTAGATGAAGGCAGGCTTCGTTCATTGCTGCGATTGATGGATGTCGTTGGAGGCAGCGACGCGCTTGGAGGACGTAAGTCCTGAGGTGGTCGAAACACCAACTACGCCATCCGGTGAAGGCCTTGATCGTGCGGCTCCACTAAGACTGAATGGACAGGAGGAGCAGGTCCCTGCTCTAGGGAAGCCTCGTGGGCGTGAGGAGAGCGCTGTTACTGGAGGGCAGAACTCAACGACAGTACTTCTAGGTGATACAACTACTGTTCGTGAAGACAGCAAGTACAAGGAGTCGGCCTGCTCTACGTCAGAGCCAGAAGAGGACGAGGGGACCATCATGTTACCGATAACGAGTTTGGGCTTTTTCTGTAGCTGCGTGCCTTGGTTTTACGGACCCTATGGGCAACAAACCAACTTATTGGCTTCATATTTTTCTGAGCTAAAGCTGGCACAGAAGAATTCGACAGCTGAAAAATCTGCCAAATCCCAGTGCAACGCAAAGAATGAGATCAAAGGTAAAAATGGCACTAGTACAACGGGGACGCCAGCAAAGCAGTCGACGAAAGATTGCACAGCTTCACCCACCTCAAAAGCTACTAAACATAAACTCGACAAGGAGAAGCTCACGCTGCATTGGTTTGTCCACCAGAGAGAACCTCTGCCACTGGCTGAGACGCGCAAGTATCCCCATATTCGATTTCATCGCGTAGGCAAAGCACCCTGGCTCTATACCTCGGAGATGAACGAAATGTTTGAGAAACAGGGGGTGCAAGCCTTCATCACTCTGATGGACATGAACCGCGTTTTTGTGGATGAGGCACTTATGCTTTGAGGATAGAGAATTGGAGTTAAGTTTTCTTTTCATATTGTTTGATGATGCTCTCCAGTCCTGTGCTCGGATCCTCACTCGTTCGGCGTGTGACAAGGGTACGTCGTAGCATTATAGTACGTACGTCATAGTTGTAGTAGTACTAAATCTAAATGCTAGCATAGCAGCAAAGCTGCAAATTATAATCCTGAGTTGCTAATTAGACTAAAACTATAATACGTGATGAATTATGTTGTTCTCTTTTTCATACTGTTAAAGCCGCTTGCGATCAGCTGGTTCCCGAACCATTGGGAGAAGTTGGACATCCACAGTAGGCATTCCTTGAGCCAGTTCGATGTGGTGGTGCCACTAGCGCCGAGTGACGAGAGTCTGATCCAGCGGCAGCTTCCACATAAGGTCGTTCGTCACGTACCTCATGTAATTCGCGATGTGCGATCATTGTCTCGGTATAGTCTTAGTCGCGGCGGAGGCAAGGGAAAGAAGAAAGATAAAGACCAGGATGCTAGGAGTACAAGTAGAAGTAGTTCTCCATCTCCAGATGCTGGTGCTGGTATTGGGAAGGATAAGGAAGGAGCTGCATCTTCGCTGGAGTATTTGGAGTGGAGAAAAGTGGAGAAAGAAGCGAAGGTTCGAGCAAAGCGGAAGCGGGAGTTGAGAACCAAGATCGGGACGATTCCGACCGATGCTTTTGTCGTCTTGGTCTTGTTCGGAAACTACGACAAGAACAACCGCAAGAGCGTAGACGTGAGTCTGCAAGTCTTCAAGGAATTTCAAGAGGGAAGGGCGCCGGGATCTGTCTTTCTCTACGTGCATGCGCTTGCTACAAGCGGCAAATCGGGCGCGCCGAGTGCAAACGAGGGTGACGAGGAAGGCGCAGCAGCTGGCGTGAACATGGAGTTGCTGATCGATGCGGTTGGGCTGCCTTTGTACAGCTATCACTTGAATCAGCGCGAACTGAAATACGAACAAATCCTAGAGTTGCACGAAATGGCCGACGTTTTTCTGCACCCGTCCAAGGCAGAGGGCTTCGGCTTGCCCGTGCTCGAGGCGCAACTGCTCGGCAATCCGGTGATCACGACCAAATTTGGGGCGATGATGGACTATGCAGCGTTTGGCACGAGTGTGGAGCCGAATGGCCGTACCTTTATGGAACTCGGCCTCGTTGCGGTGCCGGATTTTCGTGGAACCCTTGCCGCATTGCAAGTCTGGCATGAGCGTTTGAAGAAAGCAGAGCAAGACTCGGTTGCGAGTAAGAAAGAACTGGTGAGATTAGCAGGGGAACGACAGCGTGCCCAGGACTACATCGCATCGACTATGTCGCTAGGTGCCGTTGGTCGCAAATTCGCTGAAATCCTAAAAACGGTGCAGAAAGCGTCAGCTGCACGCTTCTCGCTGCACTCCTACGCCGATCCACCGCCAAAACCGACGGCCGGAAGCTGCCAGCATCTCGTGTTCCACTCACCAGCGTATGTTGTCGATCAGTCGCGAATCGAGTGGCTATTGGACGAGCACATTCTCGAGAAGAAAAAAGTCAATTCAACTGGTACTGATCAAAAAGTTAGTAGTCCTAGTCCCTCAACAACATCTGATACGAGCGCAACATCCAGCAACAAGAAGAACAAGAACAAAGGTGGCAAAGATGAAGGTAACAAAAATGGTGTTGGAGCATCTTCGGGAGTGCAGAACGATACCAGAAGTGCGCCTGAGGTTTTGTGGCTTGGTGCTCACTATGAGTTACAAGGCGGAACATTACCGCAATTCGCTTTCGACGGTGGCGGCGTTGCCATGGCCTCTGGAGGTAGCAAAGCCGTAGCAGCGAGAGACAACAACCGGATTGACAACAGGATGGCACCTATCGGAGCGCCCGTTGTCGGATCGCTCCAACCGCCTAAGAGCGAACGCTTTTCTGGAGTGCTGCCGACAGTTATTGTACCCCAAAAGCTGTGGCAGCGCATCTATCGACCACCACCCGCCGACGTCGGGCAGATATTTCAGAATCCGGAAATTATGGCCCTTTTTCGCTATGCTGGCGTAGTCGGAGTGCGCCGCCCTACCCAACAATGGCCGCAAGGGTAAAGACCTTCTAATCGTGATTCGCCTCGGGTGGTCGTTGTTCACCCATATGCTATGTATACTTAGTTGATGCACTTGCCTACTTCAAGTAACTGCCTGTAGAAAACATGCGATGTCAAAAATATTTCGAAGAAACCAGTAGCAGTGAGAATCTCGTTAGAGCGGAGAGTGCCCCTTCTTGCTTTGTAAAAATTTCGATTGTTGAAAAGACGCATGAAAAAGCAGGCTATTGATTCGAGCGACCATGATGAACTTTATTGTTACATTTAAATTTATACAATTATTCCTCGAGCGTAATTAATTGATGTTGTTGATTTCGATTCGGGCTCTTGTACATACGTAGCGTGGTCGCTTGTTGACGTTGTTGGTAGCAGGACGAGAAATCTTCACGAGGGAATATACAATGTTGAAGATTGATGTCTTCTCTGCTCCGCAGCGCTTGTTGAGGGTCCCTTCGTCGTTTGTGTGGCTTTGAGTCTGATCTTCCTTCTACACCACATCTTCTGGTTTGTTCGATACGACGAGTCGTGTTGCTGAGTAGGTTGCTTAGTTTGATCTTGCCGTTACAAGTAGCTAGTCGGTTACGAGTGATGAGTACGACGATTTGTGCAGCAGGTATGCGGTTGATCTGAGTGATTTACTTTCACTAGAATCAAATTTCCTACAACACGTGTGATCCTTCAACCCCTTGTCAGGCCTTTTGAAAAGATCAAGGTCTTCAGGGATATTCTGTTGTTTTCTTCAGATTTACAATACAAGAAATCCATACTAAGTTAAAGAAAAAATATATATTCCCGTGTTCGTCGAGATCATGATCAAATTGATGATTTATTAGATTGAGTAACCTGTAGCTACTTGGTAGATATCGTGTGTTCAATTTCTCTAAAGATAGATTCCTTATTTTCGTTGTGTTTCAGGATCAGGACGGAGCAGTAGTTTTGAACTCTTGCTTAAGTGTCATTGAAGGCGAGTGTACAGGAAGGAGCTCTAGGCCTATAATATCGTGCTGAAAAGAGTTTCTCGTCGTTTCCTTTGTGGATCTTTTACTTGACTTCATTCACATTTATGTGAAAAGTGATTTACGGTAGAAGTACTTAGACTATGACTTTGGAGAACTGCAACGACCGTTTTACTCAGTTTTTGTACAGAAGTTGTGTAAGACAAGAAAATGATGAGTTTAAGCCATTCTATCGTCCCCGCGTCGGCGTTGCCGGCTGCGGTGTTGCCAGGCGACACGAAGAACGAGGAGGTGTATCACCATTTCCAGCTGACTCAGAATTCCGTGAGTGTGACAGGATCGACTAAGCACTTGGTGTTTGTCGTCGATGTGTCCGCTTCGATGGATACGGCTGTGGCTGCAGTCGCTGAGAGCGGAAAAAGCGAGTATCATGGGTTCTCAATCCTGGATTTGGTGAAGCATTCCTTGTTGACTATCACGAGCTCCCTCGATTCTACGCAGGGCTATGAGGTGTCGTTGGTCACGTTTTCGCGTCAGTCGGCTACGGTCTTTACTCGTTTGCGCATGCATGTTCCTGAAGAAAAGGCGAGGGCGGAACGTTTGATCTTGGCGCTTGAGTCGGACGCCACTACAAATCTGTGGGCCGGTCTGCAAAGGGCCATGGATCTCGTACGCGTTACGGCTTTGAATCCGTTCAACGACCGTAACAACACCCGTGATGGCGATGAAACCGGCGACCAGGACAGCGTTGCGGCAACCACGGCACCAGTTAGCGATGCAGGTGAGAGTGGAGAACCAGAATCCTCTGCTCCTTTTCTTGCTGGTGGCGAACAACTCTCTGCGACTTATCTCCTGGAAACGGAAGTCCTTCTTTTTACCGATGGTTTGCCGAACGTGAACCCTCCGAAGGGTCATGTGAACACCATGCTGAAGTATCAGACGGAGAAGAAGATTCCTTCCTTCACACTACGAACCTTCGGTTTCGGCTACTCCCTGGACTCCAAACTGCTCGAAGAGCTGGCAACCGCAGGTGGTGGCAGTTTCTCTTTCATTCCGGATGGCAGCTTTGTCGGCACTGTGTTCATCCATGCTTTGGCGAGTATTCGCAGTGTCGTCCCTGGATGCCCGGGAAGCTTTCTGCGTGTCAAGGTCGAAATGATGGACGAGGATGCCGATCATGGTGGCAACAGCGATTCATCAGCGGTGCAAATCCAAGTTGTGGGCCACCGTGACAATGCTTTGCTGAGCAACAGTGGAAACACTTCTTCTTATCGAAACACTGATGGAAAACGGGTTTTGACGAAGAGCATTCCAGTTGGAGCTACCCTGGAGTGCGGTCAACCGCGCGATTTCATTGTGCGCGTGCTTTCCACTCAGATGAAGCAAGAAGGCGGGGCGCCTGTGCCAGCGAATGCTATGCAGGTTACGGCTGAATACGTGCGTCCGAACCTGTCGCTAGATCTAGGAGGAGAATCCGCGACGATTGTTTTGTCCATTTTACCGCAAGACCAAGAGCAGAATGATGACGCTACGAAGAAGATGAAGGTGGTCTCCTTGCTCGGACAGCTGTTGCGTTTGGAGACTGTTTCGCTCTTGCATAAGATCGTCAGTCGTGGTTTGCCGCCTTTTGCTGAAGAGGGTAAAGGCTTCAATCCATACACCAGATCCCCATCCGCGTCCTCATCTGTGGGAAAGGACGAGTTGGCCGAATCCCTCAAGGCGGTGGCGGACTTCGCAGAAAAATGGATTGCGTACCTGGAAAAAGCGAAATCCGAAGAAGAACACCAGGAACAAATAAGCAAAGCAGATGAACTAGATCATGATCAGGAACGTCTACTTCAAGACACAACAGGAACAACAGCGTCGTCCTCTTCATCGTCGTCGGCGTCGTCGTTGGTAACGGCCATGCTGCGACCGTTGTTGGATGACTTGACTGGACAAGTGACCGAAGCCGTGTCTCGTCAAGATTGGTACGAGAAGTGGGGCGCTTTTTACCTTCGCAGTCTTCGTTTTGCCCATCTGCTGCAACGGCGCAACAACTTCAAGGATCCTGGCGTGCAAATCTACGGGTCTAAATCTGAGTTCTTCGAGAACGAGGCTGAACGCATCGCGGATCTTTTTATGAGTTTGGCTCCTCCGAAGCCGTCTCGTCGGGGCTACATCAGAAGTGGTGGAGGAGGAGGCTCTTCCGCAGCAGGTGCACGGGTCTCGATGCGCGCTTACAATAACTCTCACGGTCCTTGCTTCACGGGGGATGCCCTGGTCCATATGGCGGACGGGTCTTTGCTGCGCTGTGATCAGATCGTGAAGAACAACGTGATCTTGTCGGCCCGTACCCACGTACTGATGCGCGTAAAGTGCGTAATCAAAACGGTCGGACCGGATATGCGTGTTGTACGTTTGACCAAAGCCGCAATTCAAAAAAGCATCCATGCCACGTCGATGAATATTACCTTGGTGGAGGACGAGCAGAACAACTACTGCAACGCGAATGATTGTCAAGTACAAAAAGAAGAAGAGACCTCGTCGTCCAATCCCCCGTACAACACTGCGAATGACTACGACACTCTCGGTGTGACGCCTTACCATCCACTGCAGACCGCTAACAATGGGTGGGTTTTTCCAGCTGAGATTGCTGTGCAACATCCAGAAGATTCGAAGCTCGAAGTTGCTGATGCTGTTTACAATTTTCTGCTGGAGCCGGTCCGCAGTGTCGGTTCTCTTCATGACAAGGGTGAAGATCATGATTTGCAAGTAGACGTCTTGTTGTCTTCGACTTCTACTGCGGCGGACGAGACGTCGCAAGGAGTTGCAGAGGAGGAGCATCAGGACTATAGTCGAGATTTCCGCGAGGATCATACTATCGTGGTGAATGGTGTGAGCACGTGCACGCTGGGTCACGGAATCACTTCGGACGCCGTCCTCTCGCACCCTTACTTCGGAAACTACAAGAGGGTCAAAGCTGATTTGGCGGCTATGACAGGCTTTTCCGACAAAGGCCTCGTTGTGCTTGATTCGGAGACGTGCTGCGTTAAGGACGCAAAGACGGGACTAGTCTGCAAATTGATTGGAAAGTAAAAAATGCATGGGTTCAGGTTGCTTTTGGCGTTTTGACGACGAATTGGTAATATCTTCTGTGAAACAGTAGAGCCAAAGATAGCACTTTATGAATGTCAGAGATAGAACTTTATGCTGCGTATCCGTCGTCGATTACCTGCAAGTGGTCTAGTATCAAAATCACGATGGAAATATAACCGAACCGAAAATATTAGAGGATGTTTGAATGGAAGAAGTTATGTTGGATTATAACAAGAGAGACTCCCGGTATAAACAGCTAAGCTGCATGTAGTAAGTCGGATTTGTCTCAATGAGACTGTCAATAGCATTAGAAATGGTGAAAGTGTTGCAAGTTTAGGAGCCGATTCGCTGAAGTCTTCATGTCGCGATGAAGAAATTTGAGATAGAAGTGATAAGTGAACAGGCCCACCCCTAAGCCACTAAGCCAACTGCGCAGTTGGCTTAGTGGCTTAGCCGTTGGCCTGTTCACTTATCGAGAAGTATTAAAATACAGTACGATGATGCGTCACGATTAAGATTGAACAGCGTCAACTAAAAGCAACTAAGAAAGATTCCCGGAAGATTTACCCTATGTATAGTACTAATGCCTCTCCCCTACCCCTTCCAATATCCTGCAAGAATAGTTTTCTTTCAAGACGAAGTCTTAAAATGATTTCTTTCTCTACTGCAGTAGAGATGAAGCTACATTAAAAGTCCCCATCTTCGTCCTACAAAGGACACAGGCCTTGCTTTTTGGTCTTTTGATGGAATTTAATGATCGAACTTCACGCATCATTTCAAAAGAACAATCTTAAATGAAGTGATAAGCAACTCACCAATTCATTGGTTTTTCAAACGTGCCGATTGAAGAGGTAGCCATCATCATCATGACCGATATTTCGTATTCAGTAGTATTTTCCACACTAGGTCTGTAGAGGTGGATTATGCTCTTCACGGCTTAGTACGTTACTGTATGCTCATCGGGTTGTCCCTTTGGGTCTGGTCTTAAAGCTGATTTGGCAGGTCAGATTGGAGACACATGACATGACATCAGCTACTTAATATATTGCTGAACAAGAAGTAGAGAGATCGTGACGATGAATCCTACTTAACTTTATTTTGAAAGAAAGAGACACAGAAAAGAAAGAAACATTTCGAAAAACATTGTGTGTTGGTCCCACCCTATTTACGCGATGGCCTTCACAAGCTTCCTTGCATGCATCTAAATTTCCAGCACTAACTGAGACGAGTGAATCAAAACAAACCTCAGCTTTGCTGTGTTCTAAAGACTGATGTAGTCGTCTCGATCCAGATCATAGATATCACAGGAGGAGATGGTCGCGCTGAGTGTTGGAGCGAATATTACTTATAAGTACTCTGTAGAGTCGTAGAGAATTGAAGACTTCTGTTGAGTGCAGTTTGATGGATCGTCGTTTCGTTTCTGTCGATTTTTGTGGAGGGATTTCGGTTTAAGTGGTAAATTTCGATCTCGTCGTGAATTGCCTGTCGTTTTGTCAAGGCTACCTTCATGCATCTATGATATCCATGCCTCTCGACATCAATGAATCTATTTCTCCAAGCTCAACATATGTTTACATCTTCGTACCAAGCAAGTACTACTAAGCATCTTTCATCAAGCACATCAATCACACCTTGGAGTATATTATACTGAAGACTTGACATTGAACTGAATAATAACGACCACTGCTTTGTACCGACAAGAGAACACAACAAACAAAAAATTAGGTCCTTCTCATCCAATCCAAAAAAAAGTTAGGTCCTCTTTTTCAAACCCCAACTACGAATAACCGATCATCTGATCGTCCTTTTTCGTAGAGGTTCGAAGAGCGTGCATTAACAGCGAGAACAGTTTGTTACTTTTCGATAGATAAGTACATCTCCATTGAGCTTCAGAACAACAGGTAAAAATTTCTGGTATTATCTATCTCGAGAAAAAGAAATTGTGATATTTCTTCAACAACATAGACCTACACACACGGGACACGGAGGAAATCCTCGTGGTCCTACTTTTTCTTTCAAAAAGGACAATCGATTCGACTTCTACTCACAAGGCGAAATACAGCGAACTTCCTCCACCTAAGTAGTACAATACAACTTTCAACTCTACCTACACGAAGACTGGATACAAGAACGAACAAGATGAAAAAACTTTCTCCGGCGTGTCTTGTACTTGGAGTCGGCTTTCACCCGACGGGGGTGAGCGGTGACCGCGTGGCGCCAGATGCGGGTGATACTGAGGCCGAGCGCATGCCACTGGCTGAGTGGGGAGCAGCTGGCATTCCGGTACCTGTTCGAGTGGTGCGTCCAGATGGTCGCGGAGGCGTCAAATTTACAACGGTATCAAGCTAAAACTTGAAATTTACTGGTGGTTAAATATTTACTTAGTACTTGTTGTTCGTAAGTAGTCAGGAGTGATAATCCAAAACAAATACTACATTCGACATAGTTACTGTCTAACAAGATTGAGATTGATCGAATCCTTCATGTAAGTATTCACATTCAGCGAGCTGTCAACGTAATCCAAAAGAAGAGTCGGCAGATGCATTTACTCAACATGAAATAGATTTTCTTTATTCTACTTTCTCAACGTCACCCTCAAGCACAAATATCACAATATATCAAGGACAGTTCTGGAGCACTTCACTTACATACATTTCATCATCATCCACCTCCGCTCCTAATTATGTTAATGACTCATAAACTACAGGAAGCCTCGCACACGGCCGACCCATGGTGGCAACCCAAAGCAGTGCTCCAGTACATCATGGATAGTAAAATGGAACAGGCACAGTCGCGCAATATCACCTTTGCCGACGCGTTCAATAAGACATTATGACGGAGTAGTGGTTATTGATTCGAGCTTAGGTTCTGCGGTCGTCGTCAGCAAAACGACTCAGCATGCCTCTTCCTATTTATTTTAATCTTTCGTTCAAATCTTTCTAAGAGAAGCGGGAACCGGAAAGAACACTAAGCCTTATGGGCCATTGATACACAAGAAGGGTCGGGTTGTGACTCGCGGCCAGCTTGCTTTGGGGGGCAGCATCAATGCGAACCAGGACCCACGTGCGGCATCTCTGCTCATCTCAGAGCATGGTCGGAAGCCTGCAGAATCGTACCCGACAATCCAGAAATCCCTTATGAAGAAACGTCCGCTACTGCTACTAACAATGTGTATAAAGGTACCTCCTTCCTATGTGTAAGAAGGAGGTACACGACAGAAGAAGGAGGATGTGTAAGAAAGATCTCAAAGATGGACAAGAGCGAAGATTACTCGTTTCATCCAAGATAAAGATAGACAACATCAACAGGGGAAAATCGAAGTATTGCATAAGTAGGTAACTTCCAGCACGCCCTCAACGAGCCAAAAACGTTCTCACTGATAACATCCCACGATCTTCAATCATCTATCACGACCTCACCTCCTTAAAACACCTCACGTCTTTATCCACTTATGTCCCTGTTCATACTCGAGAAGGACAGCGGCCTCACTCCTCGGGAATTTTGGTTGCAAGCAAACACGTTCAATTTGTTGACGGAGGAGGAAACACGAATTGAACGCAGTCGAGGAGGTCCGATAAAGTCAACACGTGTCTGGACGCCAGCTAAACTTAAGGCTATCTCGTCTAGTGAACTGCTCATCTCTTCTTTCTATACAAAGTAAGAGATTGGTGAAGATCCCTCAACGAACAATACATAGTATCTATAAAGGTAACTTTTTCATCCCTTATTTTTCTCCCTTCATGATGAGTATAAAAAAGGGAATACTCTTGATCTTGAGGTACGATCCTTCCCCAGAGGCAAGAAAGATGAATATGAATTCGGGATACATAGCTCTAATGAAGATGGGAGAGGAGACGAGGAGACGACAAGTGAAAGCGAGGATGGCGTCGAAGGAGACTATCATAGTGGTCTTATGATTTCAGATGAGAAAGATATTTGATAAGAGTACTTGTAAGTAGTGAGATGAATTCTTGAACAAGTCGAGATAAGAATCTCACTTTAATCTGATCACGTTGGAGATTGATCATAGACTCTCTGGACTGGTTTGTTCTCCGTCATAAATCCTAGATTAGTCCCTCCAACCAATTAGACTATCAGAGTATTGGTTCAAAGATTGATTTTGCTAAAGGCTTTTTTCAGATTTGTTAATGTAATGCATCTGTATCTGTTGAAATATTCGGATTTTGATGAGGATTAATGTAGTAAGTTAGTCTAATGAATATAGCGCAGACGGGTCAGAAGAGGAGAGTGGGGAAGAGCACGATCATGAACACAATGACGGATCGGATCACGAAGACGAGGATATACACACGGAGCATCACCACGAGAAGAAGAAAAAGAAGCACCACAAACGCGAGTTGACACCGCTTGATTTCTTGAAGTTATGAATCGGGGAAGAATTGTCAGACTCAGAGTTACTGACAATACTATTTTTTAATCTGAAAATGAAAAGCAAAATCCTCACTACTTATACAGGAACAAGTTACACAGAATCAATGCACATCGAGCAGGCTAGCATCCGAAAATTCCTTCCTCTGTGCTCCGAGACCAGGCGCCTTATCTTGGTTACAAAAAACTAGATACATTGTCATTGTGTTCTTGAGCTTTAAATGTATATATGAGACCCATTTTCCACCTCCACGTCCTTGCATAAAGCCCCTTTCTCCGGTCCTTCTTTCATTTCTTACCGAGCTCTTTGGCGACTCGACATATAAGGGGCACCGACATTACCGCTGGACCAGTTTTCACAATTGGTTCGGTTCCTTCCTCCTCGATTACTTGGTGCTTTGCATGGACTTCTGTGCCCTTCTCGGAGGCATTGCCCTCTTCCGGTCTGTCGCGGACGCAGGCGTACGAGGACTCAGCATACAGGTCGCCAAAATGAATTTGAGTATCAAGAGTAGAGATATTTATATAAACTAACGAAGATATGATCGATATCCAATGAATCTACTCGTCGTGAAGATAGTGAGCTTTTTTAGTTATATTTTCCTTCCCAATAAACAAGAAAAATACACTTCTTCTAGTAGCTAGTACAACAACAACGAACAACTCATTATTGCTAAGTACAAGCATACAACGATCCCACCAACAGAGCGCATGCGTTGCTGCTGTCGTGAAGATGATGCATTTCATCGTTCAAGTGGAACACGCAGACGAGAACCCAACCGAACGCAGTGATGCGGAAATAACGATGTTTAACTACAAGGGTCTCGTCTTACCTCAGGGAGGCTTTCTCTTCATAAATCTCCTCTCAGCAGTTATTGCTATCGCAGCGGTCGTCGTGGTCTCGCAGAAGGTACTTAAACATGACATTTTGGTTGAGTGCCTTGAGTTCTTTGAGATACATCATGATACATACTTTTCATGATGGTTTTTGTTCGTGTCTGTCAGACAAAGAAATGTATCATGGTACAGAGAACAAATATAGACGATCAACTTCGAGATCCGACTTGCAACAACATGAACTACAAACTCCACAAAGTTAGAACTTTTCGATATTTCATCTCAGGCGATCGGATTGGATTACGTGGGTGACAATTTTGGTGATTCCGTGACGTTAGCCTTCCTGTCGTTCGCGTTCGGTCGAAAATTCGCGAAGCACCTGTTCGACGCCCACTGCACCAAATTCCGCTTTGCATCTATTTTCGCGAGTTGCTTTGCCGTGGTTTTGGGGTGGTTCGTCTTCCGAAGGATGTTCCTGGATGGCCGCTTCTTCCCGGTAAATCCGAATGCGCCAGCGGTGTTCCCGCGTGAACTCGTCGTTGCAAGCACGTTCGAGGCGGCTAATGTATCTTGTCTTTCGTTCTTGGAATTCATTTTCGATCTTGTTTATCCTCAGAGACAACTTCTTAAGAGCCGTCGTCCTAGCAATCTTGAACTTGTTCTTTACCCATTTTGATTAAAGATTAGGAAGAGAGAAACATCGTCTCTCAACACCAACATAACACAATCAGATCGTCCTGGTAATCCCGCAATTGCGCGTGATGCGTACGGAAGGTCATACGCCTGCACTTTTGGGTGATTCGCTCATGCTCCAGGCCTTGGGCAAATTCTTCCGCTTCTTGTTCTTCGTCGTGCTGCCCTACTTCCGCAAGTGCTCTTTTAGTGACGTGCTTTTCTCAGTCGTGTCAGAAATCGTCAACGTACTCCTGATGGCAGACTTCGCATACTTTAAGGAAACTTTCTATCAATGAATCTACACTTAAAGTAGGACAGTTTTTATGAAGGTCCTTCGCGTATGTCTGAGAGGCAGTTGTTTTAGAAAGGTGGTTCTAGGTTGCCTGATTGCGGACTTCGCAACTTGACTCATTCGTACTACTTTTAGGTTATCAATACACACGACCTACCAAAAATAGTGTTACTCAATCAAATTCAAAGCAAGACCAAACGGAAAATTTTTGCTTGCGCTAATGTTTGCTACTTCCGATTCCGATTGATGCCACGCCTTCAGAGAAAAGGCGAAGTCGATCCTGGAAAAATGAATCAGTCGGCGGTCAACATAATCCCGACAAAAGAGCTGACGGGAACGATCGCAGGTGGGCTGCAAGTCTACTAAGTGTCCTATAATATCATTGGGTATAATTTTTAGGTAGTATCTATTACTAGAACTAGAAATATAGAATTTTCTTCTCTGTGTATTATAAGTAGAAGTAGAATCAATTAAGTAGATACATGTACATTTGAGACTTATGCCACGCCATGAAATAGAAAATAAAAGAAGTGAAAGTGTCGTAATTGTTGTAGTAAACCTGAAATGGAAAAAAGTGTATAACAAACAAGTCCAAGACACCATCTTGACTCTAGACTAAATACTAAGATGCACAGAAATTATTTGAACAGTCTAATCTCGTAGCACGACATGACAAAAAATGAAATAGAGGACTTAACTAAGACTTCACCGCATTCTCGCAGCAACATCGAATTCGCAATGCAAAAATTCATGTGCCACGTATGAATGTACTCTGTCTTCATTATAATGTCCTCCTTCCGAGAAAGCGTCATAACGTAATCAGAATACGATCGATATCAACGTATGCCATCTGTATCAAAACTTCTTTTGGTTCAATCAATAATCTATCTAATACGTAAGAACAAAAATCTACCACTGCATAAACGTAATAAATTGTAAAACTTTTCTGGAGATTATATTTTGGAATAAAATTCATCTAACATAGAAGGTTCTACCTATTTTAAAAAAATGTACAACTACTCATTGAATCATCGATCCACACTCATGATCTATCGACCATGCAACTATTTACATTGGCGTCTTGACCAGTACCTACACAACATGATTAAGAACTCCGAAAGACTGATATCTAACGGGGGAACGAAGAAAGTGATGTCCACAGAATTTCGGTTGGAGTGAGTACCTTTCTATAGGCATGTGATGACTGAATCTCAAAATGCTAGCTTTCCCTGTACATCTGTTTGTTAAAAATAAGCATCAACAACGAAAAGTGTATACATCACATTGTTTGAAAATTCAGAACTAGAATAAATTTCTCTTGACTCACTGGAGCTCTCTTCGAATGCAGCGATACCCATGCCTATCATCTATTGGAGATTATTTGAAAAAGAGGCTGCAAGGACAAGCGAGGAGGTCGCATTCGCTAACCTGTTGCAGTAGGCGTGGTAGATGCATGATTACTGGAGGGCAACGCTGCGAAATTTAGTTTTAGCATTGGCTTGATGCTGCCATCAAGGATCATTTTGGGGATATTATCGGTCGAAAATTCTTTTGTGAAGAAGCGACAAGAAGAATCTTTTTGTGAGAGGGTACTTGTACTTACAACTGAGTATCATGGATCAGTGGCAGCATTTGGTAGTGATGCGATATCGAGTTCTATCAGGGATTATAATGAGCCTTCTTGGTTTAAGAGAAAACTGTAAGAGGAAGCACCAGCTTAGACTACCTCATCTTTGTATGCGCATGTTAGAAACATCTTTTTCGCATCTAGTGACTTAATCTTCCATACTCTCTTCAAGATCAACAAAATGGTGGATACTACTCTTTCGTTGGACAGCTTGCTTGGTATCTCAGTGGCGAAAGCCCTGTGCAATACCAGTTATGAGAAGCGGAAGCAGGCGGCCCTTGAGGTGGAGAAGCGAATTCGTGACGCAAATCATGAGACAATACGACAGACGCTTCTCATCTTGCGCGACTACATTGAGTCACCTACACCGAACGCGCGCAAAGGCGGCTTGATCGGTCTTGCAGCGGTAGCATTGGGGCTGGACAATCACAACTTCCTCTTCCATTTCGCACAGCCAGGAGCAGTAGCGCTGTATGGCAGGACTTGCCGACTTATAATCTGTTGATGTTCGTCTTCGTTGTATTAGAAATTCACTTTTAACATTTCTGCGAGAAGTAGAAGACACCATACTAACAACAAGACGATTAAAGATCGATAGGTTCTCGCTTCTCCCATTTCTTCATTTGCTCCCTGGTGGTCGTCTAGCGCGTCCGCATGACTTTTTCTCGCGCATGATAGCAGAGCATTATCCGGTCGCAGATGCGAAGGAGGACGTCGATGCTTCTGCGCAGCAGTTGGGCGGTTTGTCTGCAGGCGGTCTTTCGGGTGACGAAAAAGCATCGTCACTCTCTTCTGCAATGACTGGAAGACAGGAGCATTAAGGCGAGTAGTATTTCTAGAAGCCACTGCTATAATATATACGGAGTGATGAAATATAGGAGAGGTACGTTGTACTTAACCACAGTTGTGTGTCGAGGGCGAGTCAGGTAAAAGATCGGGTCTTCTAATCTCAACGCACGCGACTTTTAGCCAGAGACGAAGTACTCGACTTTAGTCGCACGATCCAAGACTACATGGCATTGCTGATTCCACCGGTTCTCACCGTCTTCGAGGATGAGCACCCTCGAGTCCGGTATTACGCCTGCGAAGCTCTTTACAACATTGTCAAAGTCGCTAAAACCAATGCTTTCGTTTTCTTATGGTTTGCCATTCACTCTAGTAGATACAGCTAAGTACACATTTATCAGGATCATCGACGATCCAGAACTAGAACGCGACCGTCCGCAGTCGTGTTTTTTAATTATACCACGCTCAAGCAGTTTTTTATGCTTGCTGTCTTCTCTTGCCGCAGGAGCTCTTCTAATCTTCTTCAACGAGATTTGGGATGGATGTGGAAGACACATCGCGGACATGGATAAGGAAGTGAAGAGCGGTGCAGTCTACCTAGACAAGGTTCTGAAGGACATCCTGACCGAAACACCAGTAGCCAAACAATGGTGGCACTCGAATCAAATTTATGATGAAAGTTAACTTTTTGGATGAAAAAGATGTGCAGCCGTTTTTACTCTCATTCGAGTTCAGAAATAGGACTAGGAAGGCTACTGCCTTCAAGAAGCGCTACATTTTAGCTGTTTCAGAAGCGCGATGAAGCGTGTTGAACTTGTGATTTTTTTCTTGTTTTATATATTTATAAATTAGGCTTCATCTCGCTTGTCAGGTTACTCTCCAAAACATCTCTACTTCACGAGTTGCAGCATCTTCTTGGCTCGGGTCCTAGCGACGCGGGTGAGATGTTTCTTGACACAGATGATGAAGCGATGGCCTTGCACCCGTCTGCTGGGGCGGTGGTCAATCTGGCAACATTCATGCCGCTTTTAGCGCAAAGGATTCTATCCAAGAACCCCTTTCTCCTGTCGTTTTTAGTCGGCTGGGTCCAGCTTCTGCAATCCATACCAGATTTGGATTTGTATCCTTATGGCTGCTCTGTGATGTCTTTCGGTGTGTAGATTTCGAGATATTGTGAGTTTGAGTCACGGTGATCTTCTCATTTGTTTGAGATTCACTACTGCAAATGACGGAGTAGCTGCTGCCCATGCAGGTGGTGCTAATCCCACTAACTCATTCCATCCAAATATTAATGAATACATTTAGTGTTGTTCCTCTTCATGAGCAGCATCTTCCGGATTTTCTCCCTGGCCTCTTCGGAATGCTAAGTGAAACGGTGAAGGACATCCGTGTCAAAGCGGACCAGTGTTTGCGCACCTTCTTGGATGACCTACGATCCACTCAGACGCCGATGAAACGGCAGCAAGTGATTTACTCCACCGTTAAAATCCTAGCGCAGATAACTCGGAGTGAGCGCATGTCCTTGCTTTCTCGCACCAGCGCACTTTACTGGATACAGACATACGTGGATCTCACAGCGGACAACATGATGGAAGGTACTCGTACTTACTATTAACTTGATAGAACAATTCGTTCTAGGTCGTGGACGACAGAAAGGGAATCCAGATCCACTCAAGAACTACTCATTATCCATTCTTACACAGCACCGGACTTAGTTCCGCTGAGCTCGCCTGAGGAAGTGGACTCTTTTGAGCTTTTACCGGTGTTTCTCTCGGGGGTTTTGTGTTGTTTGGATTCGCAGGACCGTGAGCTGGCGAAAATCGCAGTGGAGACCCACTCCGCTCTATTGGAGATCGTAGATAGTTCTGGCTATGGTCGCTATTTTTCACGGTCACTTCTGCGCGCCCTGATCCACGTGTTTCAGAGGGAGATGGCGGCCAAGAGAGCGCGGCGCCAGAGCGGGCCGGGAGGCAGCGCGTTTCAGCAGCAGGGCTCGCTCCCGGCAGAGCAGCTCGGCGGCGAAAACGCTTCTGGCGCGAGCGGTGCAAATCCGCCTTCAGACCTGAAGGAAGAGCCAACCGTTGATGACGATGTAGTGCTAAAAACGGCCAGCCTGCAGTGGTTGTGCATGCTTTTATCGAATAAGCCAGATCAGATGCTGGAGTTGTCAATGGATCTCTTCGATCCTCTATTCGAAACGCTGTCGCACCCCGACACCGAGGTCGTCATTGCTGCACTACAAGTTTTAGCGCGCATCATGACGGCCAGTCGCGAACACCTACAGTTACATGCAGCTAGTACAACTGGAGAGGGAAAAATAGGTGGACAAGGCGGCGGGGAAGCTTCCACTGCTGCAGAGGGTGCAACTGGAGGGCGTCAGAGCGAGCGAAGCAGTTTGTCCTCAACAGCTGCTATTTCCAGTAATCTCTACACAACGACTGGACGTGGGCCCTTAAGCACAGCGCTGGGGACTAATGCAGCACGGGTTTCAGCATTTGATGCATTATTGAGTGGACCTCAAGTTGGCGGGGTGCAAGAAATGCTGAACCCGTTGAACATCGATCCAGACGGACCAGGGGTTCGGCTAGGAGTCAATCAAGCCGCTTCCTCGAGTAGTTTGAATCTGGGGATGAGCAACCTGGGGGGATATGGTGGTGTAGCCAGGACTAGTGGACCAGGAGGTGGTGCTTCGGGCTTGGGAACTTCTTCTAGGGACTACATCCCTGGATCGGGACGCGCTGCATCGAGCAAACCTAGCAAGCAGCACTTGCGGCTCTTCCAGTTGTTTCCGGGGGTGTGCCGCAAGCTCTTAGACTTATTTCGTGTAGATCCACAGATGTTCGACCAACGAGGGCGCTTAGTCATCCGCCAGCTCTGTGATAAACTGGACTGTGAGCCATTTTATCGCACAATAGCGGAGCTCGTGCGCCAGGATTCATTGCTGTTCCTTGGGCAGCATAATTATGGCAGAAGTAAAGATAAAGTTGTGCTTGTGGTTGTGGGGAGTAAGGGCATTGTCTCGTGACCTACCTGCTGCGTTGTACTCTACTATTGCAGGAATTACTTGGGCTCAGTAACACGAAAAGTTGTAAACACAGATACAACGAAGAGTTTTTCCTGTAGTGCCGCTCCTACCTACAACAATATCTATATCATCCAGCCCTCCTCCTGTAACAACCCTTCATGTCATTGTCGTCTCACGTGCGAACAATAGCTGGTCCTACACTAGTCGGGTGGAGCGCGACCGGCATCGGCAGTTTTTAGCTCAAACTGTAGAGATCTACAATTGGATCCTGCTGACAAGTCGGGAGACACATAATTTCCGAGGTAATCTGCTGCGGGAAACCCCCGGAGAATCCATCGACGACAGGTTTCTAGACGTGGTCTTACTTTTATGACTAGGAAGATTTTCTTGGCCAGTTGTAGAAGTACAAGTTGTATCTGTTAATTTGGTTTTTTATTTTGAATACTTATCACCAGAGTACGGGACCATAAGTCATTTTTCTTTGAGGTTGGTGGATGTTTTTGCGCTGTATGAAGTCGCAGGATGCTTCTGTCTAATGAAGGAGCTTGAAGCGGCCGAGAAGGTGGGTGGTTCAGTAGGTGGCAGTGCGCGCTCTCGATCTCCGAAGAAGAAGGACGACTCGGCATACTTATCGGGGAATGACGCGGGTACCGGAGTAAATGCTACAAACAAAAAAGATGAACCAACTGGAGCCGGAGCATGTGGACAAAATGTAAAAACCACGGCGACGTCGGCAGGTAGTAAAACATCGAGTAGCAGCGTTGTTGGCGGCGCGAAGAATCCCTCCGATGTTCCTGCGTCAAAAAATGACGACAAACTCGGCAAAAGTGGAGGTACGCCGAAGGCAGATACTCCAGGTACCGCAGCATCGGAAGACGCTTTTACTGACCGCGCGGACTTACTAAATGCGACGCCCTCACTCTTTCTGTCGCTTCTGATCCCATGGCTCTGCGATCCCTTGAGCGCTCTTGCCCTGGCGCTGTGGTGCGAGCAGTACAGCCTCGCGCATGTGCTAGCACAAAAGATCGGGGCCCTCGGCAAAAGTGACGCCAACTTCCTGAATCAATTAGACCAGTTAGTACACCTTTTCGAGAGCCCGGTATTTCTGTTATGAAGAAACAGAGAAAGGGAATTAATGCGTTCACATTGTGATTTATTATATTTTCATCGTATTATTTTATTTTTGTCATTGTCGCGTCCAGTTGTCTGTGCCTCATCTGATGAATGATCTGCAGGTCTTGAAAGTTGAATCAGTATAAATATGATTTCTAGATGTTGATGTCCAAGATGTTCATCGACTACTTATATATTGAGATGACTGTCTGTCTTTGCTTCATTTTCCCGTGCCCGCATGCGTCTGTTGGATCCCGCTGGTAACGCGGAACTGTTGAAAACGCTAGCAGCTCTTTGCATGATTCTTCCGCAAGGTAGTGCCTTTGAAATGCTTCAAAAGCGTTTGGCGCTAGTGTCCTGCTCCCGAGGTCTCTTGCCCGCAGGAGGTGTCGGAGACGCCAGGGACTTAGATTTATGGCTTCGACCAATCCATCTTCAAGAGCATGCTTCCTTGCCCCTTTTTCTACTTGAAAAAGAAGCTAAGGATGGCCTCAGGCATGCGAAAGCGGCTTCTCCAATTATAGATGCGGCAGAAGCACAGGGAGGCGAAGGTCAAGGAGGTGCATCCTCATCGGCTAAAAACAAAAATAGTAGAAGGGTGGAAATGCCCATGACGCAAATCCGCAAGATAGTGCGGCTATGCGATGCGTTTTTTGTTGGAGAATGCGGATAGCGATGGCGACTAAGAATCTGATGGATTCAGACTTGTTTTGTCGTTTGTACTCGGAATAGCGGATTTATCGAAGTTACCACTCCCTCCACGGGATTAGTTCTTTCCCACACACTGCTGAGCCTGTTTTTCATTGTTATCTATCGAAACTAAGAGAAAAGCTAAAGCGCTACTGGATCCGGAAATTCCTGCGTCGCTGTGCTTCTGAGTTCTTCATCAGTTGCGACGACTGCCGCGTTGCAGCGTGGAGCTTTCTACAAATGTCTCAAGATTGCATTTGGGAAAGTGACAGTCACCTACCATCAAGAAAATTTTGATTTGATTTTTTTCAGGAGGACATGAAGAAGATTTTCATATGATCTAGGACGTACCCCCGGGAAATTGTTGAATCAATACATCAACATAGTCTTGGAGACTACTTACCTCAGATGAGTAAGACGAGACCATAAGCCTGTCCCTGTTGCCACGTTACCCTAGCATATTATATGCCTTGAATAATTTGGTCATAAAGCGGGAGGCGGTTGTATGGATAACTTTCAAGCATGATTTCCTCATAATTAATTGATATAAAAGACGAACATCAAACTCAAAGACGAATGAATATGAGGCCCGAAGAACAAGATTGCCCTCGTTGCTTCCCCTCGCGGCTGCCAAGGCGTCGTGCCGGGTTTCTGACGTGTTTGCTAATTCATTGGCTTACCTTGAACAACGACGACAAGCACAGGTGCTTTGTTCTGGGACTCCGGAGTGATTTCGATACCCGTCGGGCTCAGTTAGAAAGACCAGGTGTGGTGTCCTCTCCAGACGTTGTACCCTTGGACGAAACTTCTTCTACGTGGTCTGACGAAACCGTAGTTGACGTGTTGGAGACCGAGGATGATCGTGGGCGTCGACTTAGCGTAAGTCAACAAGAGCACTCTTGCGGTGCGAGTCATAGTTCCGTTGCAGCTTCGCCCTCGCTAGACGAGCCAAGCAGTGAAGATGTGGGTGAGAGTATCACCGCAGTGTCTACTAGTTCTATGGAAATCGAGTCGAGTACTGGACATGATTTATTTCAACTGCAAGCTCCGGAGATACAACATGTACAACTACGAGAATCTAGTCCGGAGCCTCGTCAAGAAACGGGGGATGACAATCGCCTAGGACGAACGGAACAGCATGATCGACTGCCAGGGCCGTCGGCTTTTAGCTCACCAAAACAGAGGCCTCGTAGACCGGAGAATATGTTTACGCTTGTTCCTCTTGCCGCACGACGAGAGCGAGACTTCTTTTCCTCCTTGACGCCGTCGTGTGGGACTACACAAAAAATAGATGAAAATACAGGAAAGGAACAAATCGACGCGAAAACCCTGATTCATTTTCTGGTGAACTGTGGCAGTGTTGATCTACGACTGGAGAATGCATTAACCGGAGAAGTCTATACATCAGGAAAGAGAGCAACAAAGGTAGGTGTGGCGGCATCAGACGCGTTAAGAACCGATCAACGAGCACGTCTAGAACATGTTCAGGTCCGGTGCTCGCATTGTGACTCGCCAATGGCCCCAAGTAGAAAATTGGTGATACCGTTTCACCATTGGCGCGAGAACGGCGTAAGAGAAACCATTGCAGATTACGTGAATTGTTCTTGCCTGTCAAAGCGCAAGCCACGAGCAGTACGAAGTCACGTCGCCGGTAGAAATGCACCTATTCTTGACCACATACCTCGACCCATTGCGAACGGGCAAGGGCTGCAGCATGGTCTTGGTGATGACGACAATCATCGGACTGAGCCGAAACCTCGGCTCAGACTTGTGATTCCCGGCGAACAGACTGTTTGGACATGGGAAGATGCTTTCGATTTGATTCATCGATTGAAAAATATCGAAGACTTCCCGGATGACGCTAGTAGCGATCGCGCCCTGCCCCTGTGGCTCGAAGTCGACTTAAAACACAGTGTGCTTCCACTACTCACTGACAAGCTGAAGCAAGAGCTTTTGGTGCGCGAGGGCCTCCAGGGAGAGGACTTCGGGAGCGTGAAAGATCTGGACAGCGTTTCCGCGAGACAAAGCGACACCGACGACAACTCTTCTGTATTTTCTCGCAACCCGAAAACCAATCTTTCCGATGGAACTAACACTGAAGATTTTGGTCGTAGGCAACAATCAAACAGCATCACTATCAATAATGCCAATTATGTCTTTAAGACCACGACAAGTTCGGCTTCGGAGATGGACGAGGACGACAACAACTCATCTGAGAATTGCGCCACATCGACTTGTTCTAGAAGCAGAAGCAGAACTAGTGCAGAAGTAGAGGGTACTAAAACTAATGCTGAGACGAGGACACGAGAACAAGGTGCTGGGTTCGTCGAGGATCGCAGTCCACCTGTTCATCCTCCAGTTGCGACGTTTGTTAGAAATAAGATTCGCACATCGGCAGACTTCAAACGTGTTCTGGCTGCGTTGCGGCTTGCGTTTCCCACCTATTTGCGTCAGCAAGACTTTCAAGCTATCACTGCTGAGTATCTCAATGTCAGGATTGTTCTAACTCTTCTCGTTGTGAAATAGGTCAACGTCAACGAGTTACTTACAATGAATAGCAGTATGCTATATTTATGATTATAATGATCTTGATCATGTCTTCGTCCTCAGCTTCACTTTTGGACTATCACTGATATCCAATTCGCTTTTTGTTCATAAGTGTTTTACACAAAAATTATTCTCCCGAAACGCCGAATCAGCTTTCTAGCTGGCATGTAGAAGGCTGACGGATGAGCTTACTGATCTCACATGCTACAGGTTGACATAACACCAACGCCACTCTCGCGTTGCGATTTTTTACATTTATTTGTCAAGCTGGATATGTTGCTTATGGATTCGATTTTCAGTACTACCGTGTTGTCCGTCGTGAGGATTCTCCATGTGAGTTATGCAGCGAAGTACTTCTAGCTACCTTGCTTATAGAAAAACTCAATTGAATGCTCACGAATACGATTGATGCCGAGCTCGGCCTTTCCGTCTATGCCTTAGTCAGGCCTTTCCACGACAGACAACGACATCCACGTAGAATTATGCTGGTGAACTGTCAACCTATTATCGCTGATTTGTTTTTTTTTTCGTTAAATCTTCTTGTCCTGTACAGCTGTAGACCCACAAATGATGATCGAGAACTCTGGCATATCTCCTATCGCTTCGATAGGTCCAACAAGCATATGTATCGCTGGTGTGTGCTGAATCAGTGTCTTGATTTTTTTATAAGTTACAAAATTTTAGGAGCACGTATCTGGATCTCCTCAGACAGAGTTCTGGATAAAACGAACATGGAAGAGGCACACTGATTTTGCGACATACAAGGTGTTCCTCTTCCACGCGAACGGGCTTGCGCGATGAAGACTGTTTGTACTGGATGTGGAATGATCTGCGAAAGGTAATGTGCCACATGACGGGTGAATGATGAGTGATTTTTTTCCCGTTTCCGAATAATCGCTATATTATAAGTACTTAACAAATTGTCGTAGTAGAAGGAGGTGCTACTAGAGCTATTTAGTTTGCTGCTAGTGTCACGTAATGCTAATGGATCGAAAAAATCACATGTTACAGCGCTTGATAATATATAATTTTCACTTGACCTCCAGGTCCAGGGTTAACAAAGGTTCAGAGTGATTGAACGAAAGTTCTTCTGTAAGATATTTCTCTTTTCAGTCTGGAAAGATGAGAAAATTTGTTTGGCCGCTGGCCGTTTCTTGCGTTGTTCTTTCTGGGTGTGACGTTTTCTTCGCACTGCGTTTTGCACGCCGCCTGACGAGGAGCCAGACGGGAGTGGGGTCTACAGAGCATACGACAACCCTTCCAGCAGACGACAGGGCAGGCCACGTCAATAATGGTAAAGGGCAAGCTGCGCACGTCGTGGATAAGGTAGAAGATGACCAAAGCGAGGCGGTGGATCTTGAGGTTCCACAAGCCCCACAACTTGCTACTACAGCATCAAATACGAGTGAAGACCGACAACTAAAGCCAGCCGCTCAACACGAACACGTTCTTGAGGACGAAGAGAAACAAACAACACCCGCTGCGGCAGTTTGGTACTTTCTCGACCAGTTTGCTGAGGTGTATCTCGAAATGGAGAATGCTTTCACTGGATCGTTCGATGTTCCTGGCGTTGAAAGGGCTTTGCGCCGTGTGCTGGTCGACCGGTATAGGACGGCTCGCAGCATCGTGCTTCTTGCGAAGGAGCGCTATGCAAGTTGGAAAAGAATCACCGCAGGGATCACCGCAGCCTACGCACTAGACCCAGACGAGGAACCCGTCCCAGAAATGTCTCTGAAAGTGCTTGGAGTGGTAGTCACTAGTAACGATGCAGATGGGCAGTGGCCTGGACTTACCCGAACCCAACTCATCCAACGATATAATTTATGAAAATTTCATCTTCTTCATCCACATTAGGCACGACGTTGCCGTCGAATAGATATGAATCATCAACATCTTGATCGTGTTAATAGTACAGGTGGATCTTTTTTCGACACCACTGCAGTCAGATTATACATAGGACCACCGGTTCATCATCAAGTTCATCAAGAGTAACTACTCCATCGATGTTGATGGATGACTTGGATTTAGGATTGGAATTTCTTCATGCCTCACGAGGCCCGAGGCTGATCACGGGAAGGACATGTGGCTGGAAATTGAATTTGAAGAGAAGAGCCTCGCGCATATGGTAGATGTGCTTCTTCCGAAAGACGCAAAAGTGCGCACTTTTGAGGATTTGCAGAGACTTCTCACGTTTCTAGGAACGGTCTTCGATGATGTCAACATGCTCGGATCGAAGTTCCACGATCGCGATACAAAAGACCAGCATGCGTGGTACATGAAATTCATAAAAAGCGTTAAAATCGTTTGCAGGGTGGGAGTTGTAACATGGCAGCGAGGCCAATGATCATGATGAAGGGAATTTGTACCTTCTATCACAATAACTTTTCGTTTTTTTCGGTCTTTTCCTAGTTAGGTTGGCTCCAACACTAATATTGAGCATACCTACTAAGAAGTTGCAAGTTGAGCGAGAAGGAGACCGCCTCCGTCGGACACTAGGTTCTTTTACTACTCCTATATTTGCCCAACCTGAAAATAGAAAATCTTTTCGACTGTCAATATTCGAGGAGTATGCAATCAACCCGTTCTTTTCAGGTTTATTGCAAAATCCAGTATGTCTATGTCAATCGATTCTAGATAAAGTAGGGTTTCTTGAAAACAGCTTTGCTTATCTTATTACCTTTAAGCAGTAGAGTATCCCCACGTGACAGCATCACGCATTTAGCAGAATACTTCTACACGGATTCGTTCTCACGGATGTCTAAGGTCCATCAGGATCAGCTTTTTTTTCAGTTGCAACAAGGTTTATAATTGTCTTTCTTCCGCGAAAAAAGGAGGAGATGTTGGCAACAGGCTGCACTAGCAGCAAACTTTCTGACAAATTTTATACTTATGTTGTCGTGGATTGTGACGCCACTAATGATGTATCAATCTTCATTTTTTTGGACGACTTATTTTCGAGGTCTCTCAAACTTTTCCTTGGCATGTAATCTACAACATGGAAAGTTAGAAAGACTAACTAGTACCGGAACAAAAACTAGTTGCAAAATTACAGGCAACAAGTAAATGCAACGGATGGTTCTCCAGTCTGTGTTACGGTCCGGCGCACTGCATCAATAGGAGGACGATCTACAAAATGTGACCGTGTCGATAATGACTCAATCCTGCTCTTGAGGAATTGAATACACGCCACTCGAATGATCTATGGACTAAGAGCAGTTCATCTTGCCTGCTTGATTGATCTCTGAGCCTGTCGTGATGATTAGAAACAGGGTCTTGCATTCGACGTCGAAATTGATCATCAGCGCGTATCACGTTGTCGAGGGTGTGAGAATACAAGAGACGACTGAGAACTGCGTGTTGGGCGCTGGGATGGATTTCGTTTTAAGGAGAGAACGTTTTAGCCTTTGGGTGCCAACATGATGGTGCCGTTGGAGCCAGGCGGTCACGGTCTTCATGGTGCGCTCACGAAAGCGTGAGAGAGAAGTAAACCTGTCAGCTTTGGAAGCGGAAGAGGACGGTTTGATGACTGGAAAAAATGGTAGACCTTCATGATAGCCCTGGAGCGATAGGGCACGGCTCAGAGAGGAGGCGCAACTATAGGAGACGAATCAGAGGTATGCTTCCATACGCGGAACGCTGCGAGGAGGAAAAGACGAGGAGATGGAGGAGTGCTTGCAGAATACGAAAGAGTTGTTCCAGGAGGAGCTCTTCTAGGTGCAGTGGAATGAGCCGTATCGAAAACGACAACCAAGGCCACGTGAATCCGCTGGATCGGGTAAAGCAAGGCGGGAAAAGAACTTCGTGGTCAATCGGAATAACGGCAACACGGGTGTGGCCGATGAAGCTTTCATTCTTCGCAACTGCTGCCTGCTGTGTGCTTTTTGAGAGGCTGCTCCGATGCGTCGTTTCTAACAGCTCGAGTCAAAGCTTCTCTCTCTTTGCTTCTGCACAGAAGACAGTAGCTTCCTTAGGAGATCCGTGCGATTGCCATCAAAATCACGACTACTGGCAGACAATGCTAGATACGATGCTAACGCACCTACAACCAGACCTGAACACGGCGTTGTTTGTCACGGGTTCCGCTTCGCAAGCTTTTTTTTCGAAGCAGAGCTGCATTTGGTCATCAACAAATGAGGAATCGCACCGACTAGCCGCATTGTCTGACTGCATTCCGGGTTTCGTGACCATGAATATGGCAGACTGAAATAGCCCTAGCGCTTAGAAGACGTCCGTATTTGCGAGGACGCATTATTCTTGATCTCCTCGCTGCATTCAATGTACTAGTCGGAATAGAACTAAAAGAAAGGTAGGACTCTTATCGCCATAGCTTTCGTTTCCATATGATCCCCGCCCAATTTCTGTCGACTGCTCATGACGACCAACACCCCTCCATTCAAGTAGGAGATTTCCTGCGTGCAGCATCTGATATGGAGCGCCTTTGATGAAATATCTGCCTCGACGGAACCGGAAAACAACGACGATCCACACTTTATCGCAGCGAAGGAGTACGTGGAGTTAGCTTTGGGTCATATGGCTGAAATCATTAGGACTGCCGTTTTCGGGAAAGAATGCATCGATCCCAGTGTCTGGCCAGTGACCATGAACGATATCACCTCCAACTACATCCGCTTTTATCGCACGCATTCGTACTACCGAGTCACGGAGAGGATGCTAGCGGCTTTGGTCTGGACGTCGGGAACTTGCCAGACAACGAGGGATTGCGTTGGAGGCAATGTGGCTGGCAAAACGTGCAAGAACGGAAGATGTGTGCAGAGGGACCCACCACTAAGCGCAGCTGATTTGGTATGCAGTCTTCAGCTACTTACAGCGTGTTTACTTATATATAGTAGAGCCTGCGTTTGAGATTTTTATACAGTGAATTTGGGGACGAGATGCTCGTCGCCGTTCTTGGTTTGTGGATACCTAGAGGAACAATCAAACTGCGAGGCTTCAATCAATCAATCAGTCAATCAACCAATCCCCAGGATGCGTTCGCACTAGACCCGGTGCGGCATTTTTGCGTGCAGCCGAATTCTTTCCACGACGCTGATGGTAACTGCTGGCATATGGGCAAGCAAGGTGCTTCTTGCCGAGAAACGTGTGAGGCTCTAGGAACAGTACCGGCGAAGGACTACAAACCGCGGAAGGACCGGATGATGACGACCCCACTCTTGACTGAGAAGAATGAGGCCGTTGTTATCCTGCTCATGAACGATCCGTGGATGGAACAGGAGTACCATCATAATATTGGAACTTTATCTGACAGTTGATTGAAAACGACGAAAAAGGTATAGGCTCCTATTTTTATTACTCTCAGGAGCAGATTATAATTGAAGTTCAAATTGTTTTTAGTGTACTTAAGTGAGTACAATGAACATGAAGTACACTGCAGTCGAGTACTGATCGAATATATGATTATCATCTCAACTACCTGAGCAGGTGTTACGTCCGTTCTCAGTCCCGGTTTCACCCAGCCGTCGAATTGCCGCCAGAGTTCCGCGAAGCGTATAACATTTCTGACCGCGAGGATTGGAAAGATGAGCTTTGTCATCTCTCGTGCCAGTGTGAGAAAATCCCAGTCAGAAAATCGCAGACCGGCTCTCTAAAAGCGCGCCAGTGGGGCGATTGTGTTTATGAAGTTGAGAATATGTGCGTCACGAATGGAACGTTTTATCAGAGCATCAATTACAACGAACCACAAGCCTTTGAGGATGGCGGAATGTTTCGAGCCTGTTCGGAAGTGGGGCAGACCTTGTTTCAATTCGACACATCGGCAAGACTCTTTCCCCCTCACCCTTTCGGTCCAGTTATTGGTGACAATATTATGCAAGGGTTACCAACATAGTACATTCTCGTCCGCGACTAACATCCTTGACCTTTTTTCGAGGAGAAAATAGGTCCAGGTTAAGTATACTCTGAAGAATGTAGTGGTGCAGCCTTTAACTGTAGCAAGGAGGAACGTGTTGCTTTTATCGTGCCTGTGACTTTTAAGTTGACTTCCACGTGGCATGGGATCCATAGCTTGATTCCGCCGTTTGTAATGCTGTATTACCCGGAGGTGATCGAGAAGTACGCGCTGCAGCAGGGTCGCAATGTGGACCTATTTTTAAGGCCTCACTTAATCCATCTTTTGGCCGGTCTATGAACTGTTTTCAAGAAGAAAAGCGGAAGCAGACCATGAGAGAAAAGATGGATTGTACTGAGTTCTAATATTTCTGGTAAATCAGAATTTGGAGCGAGACGTTGAGCATTGGAACAAGCTTTTGGGCTACGATACGATGAAATTTGACGGCAAGTATGGCTGGTTTTCGAACTTTCTAGACGGCTTCGCGAATGTGGACATCTACTCTCAAGGGTATCAGGCAATTGATCGCTGTTATCGCCGTATAGTTTTCGGACACGAGTTGTTGATGTACAGCGGCGGGGGCTGGGTGGAGCCAGAGCACGTGCAATTCTTCACTCGAAAAATGCGGAACTACTTCCTTGGTGGCGAGCGACTACGCAAACGAGCAAAACTTTCGGCCTCAGGTAAGGACCCAGACGCACGACCCTTCTACCGCGGCAGAGCTAAAGGGGGCGATGAAAATGACGCCAACACAGTCTATGCTTTAGTCGATGAAGCGTTTGAGGGCAAGCGGCTGCTAGATGAACAAGTTGACACCACTGACTGGCAAGAATTTTCGATTCCTGCTGAGGAGGACTTTCTGGGGAAGAAGAAGGACTCGGAAAATCTTCAACAAGATCTCTTTCGCTTCAAGCTTCCTCCAGGAGAGTTTTTACAGCCCGTGACAAAGGATTGGGGCTTCACTTCGCCGAAAAAGCTATTCTTGATCCAAGATCGCGTGGCAGGCAAGAGTTTCCACCGATTCGTCGAAAACATGGATGCTGCTGCTCGGTTTATCGAGCTAGCACTACCTGCGGATGAGTGGACTATTGAAAGGCACGACTTCGCGGCATTGGACTTCGTAGAACAGGTTAGATTGGCGTCGAAAGCGCGCATAATGTTCGGTGCGCACGGCGATGGATTGGCGTGGGGACTGTTCATGTTATGCTGATGAAGTAAGATGCCGGAAGATGGTAGCTTGATAAGTAGTTATCTACTTCTAGGCTGCATGTTAATACAGTTACTAGACTTGACTTTTAGCTACGATTTACATTTCGGTTCTTCACCGCCATACTCGTTTTGACTCTACCTCTAATCCTTCCACCAGCCAGCGTCGTCATGGAGGCGGTGCCAGTGCGGCGGGGTGGCTACCAGGTATGCGACGAGGGCCGGAATAAGAACCTCCGTGGAATTTTCGGTGGGCTTTTGAAATTCGCGGAGAATGTGACTCATATCTGCTGGATGAACCCTCAGGGCGCGGCCAATGGCGCCAACATCACCACAGACGTGTACGACTGGAATTGGCGTATGCTGAACTTGAGGTTAGACATGATGAAGCTGGCCCATTGGCTTCGTATGGCCTTGTGGGCAGTAGAAGGAACTATCAGCCCAGATAAATACAGCAACGTGCAAACGGCTTTAGTGAAGTACTACGAGGAACGAGGTGAGGAGCCGCCTGCAGAACACTCATCATAGAACAGATACGAGTTGTGGTCGGATGTTTGCTCACGCGACTGATTCGCATCTAGTAGGGTTGGGATTCCTCGTCTGAAGCTTTACCAACAAATGTTGTATGTGTACATTAAAGGACTAGGAGAACTAGATGAACTACAAATTAGTAGTTCTCACCTCTTGATGATTTCATGCGTTGCGGTTTTCTCTCTGCTTCGTTTTTTACCAGTTCTTGTCGCAACATTGTAATTTGCTTTCTGAAACCACTATCTTCGATTATCGATGTAGCAGCAAATGCTCTTATGCTTTCAGAGAATACAGCCTGTCAGGCGTGAGACCAGGCTACAAAACTTTTTGGGGATGTTATTTTTGAATTTCGTGGACTTTCTCGTCGTTCTTACAAAACTTAAAAATGCAACAGGCGATTGTTCACTGGAGGATATTTCACTGGATGTGAGAAATGCTGCGCCTGAGGGTGGTCGCAAAAACATGCACTTGCGTGAGAGCATTGAGGCCTCATGAAAATGGCAAGGAGCGGAATACCCGGTAAGCCAAGGAAAAGTGAGGTAAGGAACAGAGACGGTTTTTCCATAATTTCCATGCTTGAATTTTTTCTGTCATGAAAAGAGATGACGCGCCTCGTTAATGGCAATATAGCCAGGTGGTGATTCAAAATCTAGTTCCACTGGAATTAAGGCAAGATGGAGTCTCGTCGGCGCAAGCGCCGGGCAGAGTTGGATGCTCTGTTGGGATTGACACCGGCCGTCCAAGCACCCGATCAAGAGCATTCATTATTAGTTTCCGATACGCCTCAGTCCAAGGCAGGAGGACAGCTAGATTCGAGTCTCGATCGATCGACCGCGACACTGGACGCGGTAGGCGGTTCAGCATCGACGTCCAGCATTGGCACTAGGCGTCACGCTAGGAAGAATCGTATTCTAGGACAGTTGGACTTTTTGTCGAACTTCAGGCCGAGTTCAGCTACTACATCTGGAGTGGAGAAGGAGAATGTGAACAACGATGCAAAGGAACCTGTGGAGGTGGTTAAAGAAGCGCTTGTAGTTTCGCAGACGTCTGAGAAAGAGCACCAAGGAGCATCGAATGGCGGCAATGAAGGCAGGACCTCGCATGATGATATAGGAGGGCGAGCATCTTCACAGGAAGCCAAAAGAGCGCAAGTAGGGTCGAGCCAGGATGATAGTTCTTGTGTGCCTCTCGGAAATGCAAACGCTCCCGCGCAGACTGCGCCAAAAATACAAGCGAATTCCGGTGACTACGTGGAATCTTCTAAGCCTGCAAGAACAAATGCGTCAAAAAATAGCAACGATTTGGATGACATACTTGCGCCAAGAGCCACCGCATCAAAAACAGCAGGTGTGGATTTATTCCTGTCTAGAGCGCGGGCTTCGTCTGACATCTTTGGAACCCGCAGTGGCGTCTCGTCTGGAGGCGGCTCGAAGGACTCAAATTTCGATAAGGCGGAAACAAGAATTCGAAGTGCAAGTAACGTTGACACTTCTGTTTCGGATTTTAGTACCGGATGTGCACGACTTGGCGCGCACCAACAAGAACAACGGCACGACGAAAGTCGGCAGCAGCACGCCGTTTGGTCTGATAACAAGTGTTCGGCGGGACAAAGCAGTCGAGGCGCACAAGACAGACCGAACAGGCTATTGAACGATAGAATTCCTCCTGATGAAACTAGAATAGAAGAAAGTGACCTCCCGCGGCCTATTGAATGCACTGCTTCCGAGCAACGAAGGCCGCCATCAGTTGATCTGGAGGCGCGGACAGCTGCATCAGTTAGAGATGAAATAAAACTACAGAAGCCCGCCGCTCCACCTGCAATTGCAGTTGTCGCTTCACCTAGAAGCGCAGAGGCTCCAGCGGCTCTTGTGGAAGATGCGGAGGCGAAGCGCGTCACCGAAAATCTGGCCAGAGAAACAGCAAAGTCGACGATGCTGAAACAGCAACTTCGGGAATTGGTCGGTAAGTGCGAGACACAGCAAGAAAAAATCAAACTACTCAAAACTGGCTACGTCGAAAAAGCAAAACAAGTTGAGGTATGGCGACGGAGAGTACTTTAGGTTTTCGTGATTTTATCGGGACTACTTCCAGTTCGTTTTCGTTGGTAGTTTGTTCTGGTTTTGCTAGTATCAAGTCGGATCATGCTACTTTCTTAGTTATAGTTCATCAAAAGAAGTTAAAGTTTTCCATCTAAAAAAAGGGTTGGAATTTCTTCTATCATATCGCCGCCCTCGTCGTTGAGCTGATGTATATTTTCCCTTTTCATCCAAGCAGTTGGAAGTGGAGCGTGAAGCTCTCGAAGCTCAGCGAGCGGCATTCGAAACGCAGCGCGAGGCCTTGTTTTCTGAATCAGAGGCGAGCCAAAGACATACTCAAGAGGTGGAAATGGAGGTCGATGCGTTGCGTGGACAAGTCAAGGCTCTGAAACAAGCCATACAACAGAAAGGCGAGGCGCGGGGTTCAGCCGGATTTTCCCTGGATTCTTTGTTCTCACTGAACAAGTTAGCTGGCGGTGGAGCACCAAGTGGAAGTGGATCACCCTCAGACGCGGAGTATGGGGATGGGCGTAGTAATTCCGTGACTCGGAGACAAGGGCAACATTTAAGGCTAGAGATAAAGTATTGTCTCTGACTTCTGCGTCCCTGTAGAGTTGTACGTATTCCTCTTGTTTCTGTAGTACATCACGATAAATGATGCAGCTCCACGGTGAAGGTGAATCATGGAGAGCGCTAAGACATGGCACATCTTCAGGCGCGAAGAGCCGGCATCAAACACATCTTCAAAATGGAAGTGGAGGACCGCATGGTGGTGGTCCCGGATCCGACCAAATGGCAGGCCCGCGTGGCTTGCAGTTGCTACGCGAGGAGCTCAATCGCCAGATCGAGGAGACTCAGCGCGTGCAGTCACGGCTTTTCGATGTGCAACGTGAGAAAGCCGATGAGCTACGAGCATTAGAGGACCGATTGCAAGCGGATGTGACTGCGAAAAATGAACGGCTGCATTTATGATCAAACCTGATGATATTGTACTTCTTGAGACTATTAAAGAGAGGGTCCTCCGCCTCCCAAGAGTCTGTCATCCCACTACTTTAAACACAGAAGTTGTAAAAGTGTATTGGTAGTTGTATCGCTTTCCGCCGCCACATGCACATCTGTATTCTAACCTGCGACCTGGAGAAAGACCTGACAGCCGCTCACAAAGAATCTGTCGCAGGCAAAGAACAGTCGCAGAGACAAGAAGCAGAGAAACAACGACTAGCGGAACAAGTCCGCGAACGGAGTTCACGAGTAGCTGTTGCAGAGGAGAGTCATGCACGGCTCCTCCGTCAGATCGAATCTGAATCGCATCGACTCTTTCCGGTTTTGCCTGGAAGACCATGCACAGGCTCCTCGGTGATGTCATCTTTCTCTGGGGAAGGTCCGCGCGACTTTGTCTTTGATGAAAAAGCGATTGCGCATCTTTTCGGTGGCCCGCCCAAGGTATCCCAGGGTACAGATCTACGTCAGTGGCGAGCGAAGCTACAAAATAGGTGTACTATGCCCTTCCAACGACGAGCACGAGAAGTTGGTCCTCACGTATGTCAGCATCAGAACCGGTGGTGTTCTACTTTTCAAACACAAGTACATGGTAGTACCTCTTGGCCAGAACACGCGACGAGAATTCTGCAGTTTTTTGAAGATTTGACGCTTGAAATGCTTGGCGCTGCACCAACCAGTGCTGTGCCTACTGCGGTGAAGGGCAAACTCGTGCAGAAAATTTCCAAGAACAGTAATATTTTTGCACGAGATCTGCATAGGCTTTGCGCTGCTGTTGAGGGCGTAGCGCAGTACAACGTACTCGGAACTGCAGAGCCTGTGCAACACTTGAATGACAACGGACAACATGGACGAGATCATCGAGGGCATTTTCATAACGATCTTCCACTAGATGAGTACGCAACGAGGACACCGAGTGTACGCGGGAAAGATGTGGGAGGATCCAGGTTCCCACTGAGTCAGTCGCTCAACGATCAGTCGACTTCGTCGCTCGTTTTGGAGAGTCCGCCACTCGCCGGCGAAGACGAACACGAAACGGCTTCATCCTGTTCTACGGCCGCCAGCGTGTCGCAAATACACGGTGGCGAAGGCGGCCAGTCGGCAAATGCGACAGGGCAGGTCGTGGAGGGTGGGGGAAGAAATGAAGGTCGTGGAGGGTCCTCAACGGCATCAATACCAACCCCAAGCGTAGCTTGTGGCGCGACAGCACCAGCTAATCAGAGGGACAACTTCAACTCCCATGGCTGCAACGGGTATACTTCCTTAGTCTTGGAAGACTTTTTCGCTGAAACGCGATCCCTTTGCGATGATTTGGACAGTGGAAGTTTGGTTATCGGCGAAGCATCTTCGGTGCCTCCAGCGCATCGCGCGAAGTACTACTCCATTGCGTCACCGGATAAGGGCATAGTGTTGCAAGAGAGCAGAGAACGCGATCAGCCGCATGTCATGAACTTTATCTTACAGCAAGAGCAGCAGGCAGCCGGGGTTGTACTACAACCCGACGAGGGGAATGGTCGTGGCAGCGTCAGTGCCACCTTGGTGAATGCTGCAGCTTCGGAGTCAGCCTCTACCACCTCTGGTGCTGTTGGAGAAGTTCTAAGCAGAGACACGTCCACTGGAAGCAGCCCGCGCATAGTCAATTTTCTGAAGTTGAGGGAAGAGAAGCGCAACCTATCGCAGGAATTTGATGCAGTTCTTGGAGGCAGTGACACAGCAAATTTAGCCGGAACAACAACGACTCTGGTGAAAAGCTGGATCTCGAGTGCAGTGTCGAGCTTGTCTCCTGAAAAGCTTCGTCTTGCGGGAAGCCAGTTCGCGCTTGAGAGACTCGGAAGCGCTACTCTGACTGGTAGTGGGACCCTCCGACCGCCGAGTCTGGTACAGGAGAACAGGAATAGTGCTAGGCGGCCGGCGTCGGGGGAATCGGCGAGAATAACTGTACCTCCCACAACAGGATCGACCATGCAGAAAGGAGTCGGAGGCAAAATCGGCGACACTTCCACGCGTGGCGGTGGGCGGACAAGAGCGGACTCCTCTTTGTTGAGTACTTCTTCTAGTACAGTTGGTAGCAGCGCGGTATTATCAACAGGTGAAGAGACGAGCGCGACATCTTCTTCTAGGGACACAACTAAAAAGTCAATACAACAAGACTCGACCAAACAAGAACAAAGTAGGACTAGTAAGCATGATGCCAGAGTAGCAGAGGATGATAGCGACAGCGACAACGACCTAGTCCTGGATGAAGCAGCGACGCGAGCACCACCTGTTAGCGACAAAGCTAGCAAAAGTGGAGTATCCCCAAGCGACGCAATGACACCGAGAGACAAGACTAAGGGCAAATCTGCGACGGCTGGACTCGCGGTACTGGGTGGGTCGGGCAGGGCGCTTCTTTCCGCGGCAGCAGGAGTGGTGAGTCAGGTGTTGCCAAGGAAAAGCGAGAGCAAAGGCGTTTTAGTCGGTGAGGCCTCTGCCATGGAGAATGGGATGAAAGCAAAACAGAGTAGTCGCGGGCCTCTTCTGTATTACGAGGAGAACATCAATATCATGACTCCCGGAATAATGAGTGGCTCCTCTGTGATCGCCGGACCTGACGAGATGATTGTAGATGTCAACGCGATTGTAAAACCAACGGAAAATCGCGCTGTGGTACCTGAGACTACGGAGGTGTCTCAAAGAAAAACGCAAGATGTCATCCCTAGGAAGCGGAAAAGTCGCTTTCTGGTTGTTGATGAAGGTTATCAACGAAAGCACGCGATAGACACCAATACACCAATGCTCCCTGGAGAGCAGCAGCAGCAGCAGCCACCGTCGGCAGCTGGAAGAAGATTCGTGCTTGCTCCTACCGGATCAGCATCACTGGCCGATATCTGGCGTGAGGTCCATCTATCGGTTCACTCGTTTCTGAAAACGCTGCATCGCTTCATCGGAACTCTAGCACTCGCTTCAGGGGTCTTATGCGCGAACGGGCAGTCAACGAAGTTTCGAAGTAGAAAAGCATTAGATAGTAGTATCGTGTCTCCGTACTGCGGCAAGTATCTTTCAACAAATGTTTCGATGGAGGCTATGGACGGACGTCCAGTAGGATATTCAGGTGACGGCTTGCTGTTGGAAGCCTACAGCACTATCCATCAATCCTTGACGGACTACGGTGCCTCGATGGCACCACACGAGTACGAGAGCAAGAAAGACTTGGAGCTTCATGCTCTTCTGTGGTCGCTGTACCGTTCTTTGCGCAGATGGATGCGAGCGTGGCAGGTGGTTGGTGTTGCGGCTGTCTCTTCGGAAACAGCATTATCGTCAGCGGCGCACTTTGCAAATGTTCGAGAGAGACTCCAAGAGGCTGAAGCTCTGGCAACAAGCTCAAGCTCTAGTAATGCAGTTGCTAGGATCTCGGACTCACCTTCTCCATACCAAGAAGACCGTGTCCAGATCGGCGTATCAAACGCAAAAGCAGCTGCCGAGTTGAGAAGAAAGACTTTGTACGACAATGCAGTCAAAATGATTACTGGCGCAACATCTAGCTTGCATAGCCTGCTTGTGGGAGACTTGCAGCGACGACTTGGGCACGATAATGGTGAAAGTGCGCAGACCACTGATGTGATGAGGAGCTACACTGCATTCCGTGAATTGCTAGACGCCGACCAAATCACCGCCGTTCTGGCAGATGTAGTGAATGCACGAAGTACATTCAATGACAACGCGGGACTGAGCTTGATTGGGCTACCTAGGAACCGATTGGAAATGCAATTGTTGGGTCTCGGGGAAAAGTCAAGTACGGCAGAGGGCACGACAGTCGTTATGAAGATTTTAATGTTTTATTGTTTTCTTGCCAAGAACAACAAGATACTTAATTTCGACGTTGAGAAGTTGCATGAATAAGAATATGATCATCACCGCTATGCTGGTACTTAACATATCACACCAAGTTTTTGAATCGCTCCTCCTCCTACAACTCTCTAAGAATCCAGCCGCTCGTCTGGAAAGCTGGCATGAACTCCGGAAAACACGAGGGGAGTTCGCGACTAAGAACCGAGTCCTTGAGAATGACATTGCGACGATGCGGGACGCTCTGCTTACTGCTGAAAGCGAGGTGACGCGACTACAGGAGGAGGTGAGTATCGCGCAAGATCAAGCTTCGCGAGTTCACATCATTCCGGGAGATCCAGAGTATCTGCAAAGTATGGAAACCACTGACTCTAACACTGCTACTTATTATAATCTAAATATAACTTGAATTTCTCTCTTTATGAAAAAAGATCTCAAGCTCATTCTACATTCTCCTTAGACGACCTGTGTAATAACTAAGCTATTTCATGATGAGCGTTTCCTACCTCGATCATTGTCGTTGTAGCTGGGTTGTACACCGGCCTCGACATGTAGTACAACGTTTCTAAGGACAAGCCGTCAGAACGAAAGGACGATGCCAGCAAGAACAGAGTTCTAGCCGCCGCTCGCTCAAATAAAGGGACCCATAAAAGTACAAGCAAAACATCTGTCGCGGGTGGTTGTAGTACTAATCTCGATTCTTCTACCGGCGATGCCGCAGTTGAGCAACAACTCTCAAATCGCGAATTGCTGGTCGAGCAGTTAGAGGGCGCTCTGGAATGGGCAGATAAGCAGAAGGGCGACCTTGAAAGGGAAAAGCTCAAGTATTTGGCGCAGATCCAAGATCTGACGGAGGCCAGAGCGACCATGGCGGAAATCATCGAACGGAAAGTAGGGGAATGCGAGGAGGCGCGCTCCAGAGACATGGAATTGAAAAGGAGCTATGAAGAACAGATTTCTTTACTATCAGAGCACACTTGCAAAATAGAAATGCGGCTCAAAACGGTGGAGAGAGCGGCGTCAAGGTGTCGCGTGCGATGCGGAAACTGCGGATCGTGGGATAAGCTTCCGCTATTGTCTAACATGAACGACGAGCAGCAAGAAGAAATCCAAATCTACTGCGCTGTTTGTAGGAGCCTCCTATTCGTCATCGCTGCATGAACGAGACAATGAATGTCAATGATTTTATGTTTTTTCGAAGGAACATAAAAGTTTCGGAGACGAGCTTACATATCAGTTTTATGTTGAATATCGAAATCGATCGTTTATTTTTTCCATCTCTTGAATATATTTTTCTATTTTGCAATTTCATTTGAGACGATTGCAATTGCAATTGGGGAGACTGGGTTTTATTTATTCGAAACAAACAAGCGAAGTTTGTTAATATAGCAAACAGACTGCATTGCGATTGCAGCTACTATAGGCGTGTGATCCAAGATAAAGATTTTCATTTCCTGTCACGGACAGCTTTAGAGCAAGAGCAGACCATTTCTTGCAATGACCGTCTGTGGCTCTGCAGCTGGGGGCTAATCAATAAACGCAAACTCATGATACGCGACGCCGTTGCTGACGCAACTTGGAGGCGTATTAGCTAGACTTAGACTTCGGGTTCGGACTCGCGCGATGGGCAGTTATAGGGCTTGATATGGCGCTGCCCGTCAAAGAAAGCTCGTGGTAAAACAGCACTGACGCTCATCAGATCGAAGTGACAAGAAAGGTCCGCAAAAAATGAAGCACTAAAAAGCACCACAGTGAAGAAGTTCAATCTAGACCACTGATTTTTAGTGCGAATGTTCAGAAAAGGACGACGATCTGCGGTCCCTGGAGTCTGTAGAGAAAAAGAGCGGCTGTTCCACTTCTCATTGGTTACATCAAAAAGTATTAAGCAGTTACTTATGCATGGTAGACTCGATTCCCCGAGTAAAAATTGGAAATGGAGCAAACTGATAGCGTAGCACTAGACAAATGAAGAAGAACATGTTATCTCGCATTGCTGCCCGCCGCAGCGAGCAATATGCGGGAAAGAAAAGTAGAGAAGTTTCCTGCAGGGCTTTCTTCTCGACGCGCCTTCGCGAAATCGGCCCAAATGATTCAAAAGTTCTTGCAAACGGGCAAGATCACCTGCTGACTCCTGAATCCTCAGCTGCACGTCCTACAGAAAACGTCGAGCCAGGAGAAGCGTCGGGAATCGCAAATACGAAGACCGGCCTGCCTGTCAATCAAGAAGAGGGCTACTTACGCAATGCGGCGAAGGTTGCTTCGAACTTCCTGCGGGTTGTCGGTGAGACGGAGTCCTCGAGCTCCCCTTCGGCGAAGAACAAAGGCCATGGTAGGAATAATACTTCTTCTAGAGAACAAAAGAGGTGGGACGGCGCTCCATCCACTACATCAGCACCTGCTGCAACCGAAACCGCTTTCCACTTCTTGCGCGAAAACCAGGAAGCGCTCGAAAGGTTTCTCACCAGCGTTGCAAGTATGAAAAGACAGAACAAACGGCAACGTGCATCGACGACTGCTGTGAAGCCGGGAAGGACAGTGTCTTCATCGTTAAGTTTGGCACAACCAGTACGAGTACCGGGTGCAGGAAATACAATTGGGGTCCTCTTTGATAAAGACCTTGACACGCTGGCAAGCCGCTGTGCATGTGCAATGGTGAGAATATACTCTAACGCGGGTTGCCTTGAGGACGCAGAAGGAGTCCTATGCCATTTGTTTCCGAATCGTAGGGTCTGGCACTTCGTTCTACACGGGTATGCACAAGCTGGCCACCTGCGGGAAGCATTGCGAGTCTTCGCGCAACACGTCTATATTGATCGTATTGTTGACGTCGATGATGCGAAGGGTCGAGCGGGGGCCACGGGAAGCAAAACACCGACGAACAAGTCGAACTTGAAGGCGGAACGAGAGCTACTAAAGCCTGAGACAGATCCATCAGATAATGTTGTGCAAGCAAAGTGCGTTTTCGGAAGTACGCAAAGTGCAAGAGCTGCGTCCGCTGGATCCTCAATGGTGAAACCAACCAAGACGAACGAAAGTCGACTCCTAACGATTCTTAGCATGGTTAATCCGGTGCACGTGCAAGACAAAGGGGGTGCGATTTCCTCGTCCAATGTCAAAAATCCTGACAGAAATGAAGCAGGCATTGATGTTAGTGAAGCAGCAACACCTACAAAGAGTGACCATGACCAACGCAAAAAAATGCGGAATAGATCATCAAGCCGGAGGACAAGGCCGAAATTTTCAGCAGACACTGCGAGCCTAAATCACGTGTTAAATGCCTGTGATAAAGTAATGAAGAATGGGACGCACTTTACGCTTAGTACTGCAGTATCATCTTCTCAACTCGAATGCTGGCATGTGGCTAATTCCTCATCATCAGTTGACGAGCACCGGTTAGGCACCCTGCTAGACAGAGACAACGAGGATACTCCGGAAAGAGAAGTGCTTCAGCCATGGAAAATCGCCGACTGCTTCTTCCGAGCGCTGACTTATAGCACCGCAGAACCCAGGGAGCGGTGCAAATTTGCAGCCGTCCAGCCCACAGAGAGTACCTATGTCGCCTATGTAGCGGTGTTGTCGAGAGCGGGACAACTTCGCCGTGCGTTTGCTGTTTTAAACGGCCTTGTAAGTCAGGGGAAGTACAACCATAGTATTTTGCTGGAGGAGCATCGACACGATAGTGAAAAGTACAGCTCGATAGCCATAAAAACTGCTGAAAATCATAATCAAAGCACAATTCTGTCCTGCACGACAGCAATGTGTAATGCGTGGTTGAGGGGGGTGCGAACTGCGAGCGCCGCAGAACTAAAAGCCGTGCAGATGGATCTTTCTTCTGGCCAGGATGAGCACGTCCCAAACAGAACCCTGCTAGAAAATATGGAGGAGAACGTCATAGGCATAACTTTTCTCGCTAACATGCGTTCAGAGATTACGATGTCTTTTGTGAAATGGCTTAAAGAAGTGCGTGGTTTGTCCTGCGATGAACGGACGCACACAACTGCTATGTTAAGCTTGACATCGGAGGACGCACTAGCATACTTCCGAGAGCATTTGCCTAGTCCGACGCCTCGAAACTACAGCGATCTGATTTTTCTAATCGCAGATCGTGCTGGAGCTGAGCTAAGCGAGCAGGAGACGTTGACAGATTCATCTGTTCTTAGGGTTAAAGGAAAGGACGACGACGCAGGAATTATTCTAAAACGCAAGGAAATAAATGCTAGAAGTATAATTAAAGCGGCCCTAGTCGAAAAAGCTAAAGGAATCCTGCACGAGATGGATTCAAAGAATATGGTGCCGGACGTTGTAGCCTTGACTCGATTTCTCTCAGTGCTAGATGACTGGGATGAAGTGGAAAAGTATATGGAACGATATCTAAAGAACGATTCGTGTACGAACACTATCTCAAATCCACCAACAACTTCTCGCACACGCACTACGCCAGGCACATCAAAGGTATTTGTATCTTTTGACAGAAAAATCGGGGCTGATCCTGATGTCCAAGTCCATCCCGACGCTGCGCTGTTCGTGCCGCTCTTTTCGAAGTGTCCCGATCCTGAACAGCTTCTTGCTCGAATGCATCGAGAGTTTAACGTTGCTCCATCTGCCGCGTGCGTGAATGCGATGCTCTCGGCGCTGGTACTGAGAAAAGGAGAACATAGCCGCGCCCTAGAGTTGTGGATGCGATTGCCAGCAAAACGAGCGCACAATCGCAGTGGGAGGCACATCGCTTTGCAGGCTTGTTGGAAGTCGCTTTCCTCTTGCGACTACCTAGAAGTAAGACATCAGCTGACGACGCAGCAAGATGAACATGATGAAAATGAAGAAGTACAAGATAAAGATCAACATGACGAGTCCTCAAGAACTACAAATCAGCCAAATAAAAAAGTATACTTGGAACCAGACCTACCCGATGACAACTACATTGTTGGAGGACCTGCGACGCCCTTTTCCTACCCTGTTGGAAGCTCTAAAAAGACTGTGCAAAGGGTCATTGAGAGCACATTTGATGAGAGCTTGAAAGCACCTTTTTTGGCACGCCGTGTAAACAAATGTCTCAAGGAGGAGAGCGTCATAGACCACGAAGACGAACAATACCCGACTACTTCCAGGCAGGCCACGACAGGATCCCCCGCAACTTGTGCCACCTCTAGAAGGACACGGGCAACCGCTAGCTCCATCGTGGAAAAACATGCGAAAAAACAGGGCGACCTTGTGAAGCTCGCTTTGCGCACAATTTTTGAGCCAGAAGCAGCTAAGATTTTTCAGACTTTCGATGTTATGCTCGATATTCTCCTTTTCGCGTGTGGCCGATTTCGCCTTTTTCTGAAGCCAACACCTACACCGCAAGTCTGCGCGTATCGTGCCTGGTCGGATGCTTTCCTCGCTTTTCATGCAGGAGACTCGAGTGCCACGATCAATATTACGGAGTCGTCTATCTCATCAGTGTCACTCGTTGATGAAGCAAGCACACGAGATAAAAAAGAACCGTCCTTGAAGAACTCGGTAGAGGTCCAGAGTAGAAGACGAGACACCACGAAGGTCAAGGACCCTGAGGCTGAGCAGCGTTTTGCACTGGATCTGTGTGTCGTATACGAGCAAGCTGTCGCGGCCCATATCTTGCCCAATTTCAAACCAGATTCGAGGATTGGTCTCCTCTCGAACGGGCGTCAACCACTCGTACTTGACTTGCATGGCTTCTCCCGCCAGCTAGCTGTTTTCGCAGTGTGGCACGCGCTCCGAAAACACAAACTTATAATATCTGGGGATAAAGTTGAAGTAGAGTGTGATGGGGGTGAAATCAGTAGAACAGCGGATCGCGTTCTCTGTTTTATCGCGGGACGCGGCAAGCACAGCATTGACGGGGAGGCGAGGATCCATCCTGCAGTTTTGAGTCTTTTCAAGGAGTTTACGGATCAAGTACAGTGGGATTCACCACTACCAGGATGGCTTCGAGTGTGGGCACGGAAAAGACACTGAAATAATTCGGCCGTCCTGCTTTTAGTGAAACTGAATATTTCTTGACGATGGTGGGTCCGAGTATAATTCCGTGGTAAACGTATCTATAAGAAAATTTGCGCAAGAAGATAGAAGTGGTGCGGACATGTACGCTTAACGCTACAAAGATTTTACTGAGCCATGAAAGACTAGGTGCAGGGAGACAGCCGGTGACGAGAGACTCGAAATAATGTAAGGAAAGATGGCAATGAATGGGAGTGAAAAAGTATGGTCGACCGAGCACGCGGATAAAACGAAAATGGCCTATGCAACTCAAGACAAAAGTGCGAAGACTGCACACTTGCCAGCCCCTTCTGCGAAAAGATGTAAAAGAAATGACACGAATCCATTAGTTTAGATATCTTCTCCAGTAGGGAGAGCCTCAGTTTATTGTCAAGAAAAAAGCAATAAGAACTACACTTAGATGAAAAGTAACTTCTCTGCACCTGCTCTTCCTCTTCGTTATCCCAAAATAGACGATGTCTTTTGCACCTGGTGACCCGGTAGACGTGTGGTCCAAGAGTGGGCAGGTCTTCATCCGCGGCGTAGTCCAACAAGTAGTTTTGGCTGGACAGAATGTGGTCGATAGAGGCGAGCGCGTACCCCCTGGCAGTATTTACGTCGAATACGGCGACACAGCGAAATGGATCATGGAAAAAGACGTGGGGCGACTTATTCGGAGGGTAGGATGATTTATGTAAATATATTACGTGCAGGTTTAGGTGTAAGAATCACAAATGTATCAAAGGTATATTTTGTGTAAAAATCGACGGTGGTAGTTGATGTGAGAATTGCATGGTCGTTCAAACATAGACGAATGACTCTCTCAAGAGCATATTGCTTTGTCCTTTCTCCGACCCTCGTGACTTCTGATACATTTAGATAACCTTGACTAGCGGAGCCTACTCTTACGATGAATTTTTTGAAGGTAGACTCCGGAGGTGGACCTTTCGCTCCCCCAAGTGGGTCCACGACGACAGGGCCATCGAGCGGTGGAAGTAGTACTGGTCCTGTTCTTTGCAAATGGGGCTGCGGACACCAAGTTCAGCCTGGACTTACTAGGAATCTAAACGCCTACGATACATGCTGCAAGAAGTGCGGCATCACTAAGGGCCAAGGTGGACATGACCCCAATTGTCCAGGGCCTCCGGGATCCGCCGTGCAATCCCCTGCAAGACCTCCGCCAAGCGAGCCGTTAAGGGCTAACGAGCAGGCCGGCGGCTCGTCTTCATCAAATGTTCGAGGCACTTCGGTACCTGAAATCGAGAAGATTGCATCATCGACACGAGACTTGCAAGAATTACGTTGGGATTTTCATCCGCTGAGAATTGAAAGGAGTCTCTATTCATTGTGCGGTACTATGAAAATGAATACTCATGACTTCCACCTGGTATCTTAGTGCAGCTGCTTGTAGTTTGAAGAGTGTACTATACTATAAATGTCATGCTTGTACTAGTACACCTACTTTTTACTCATAGGCATGATCTTGATCAGCCGTGAGCGTGACTGCTTCGACTAGGTCCTCTTGCTTCTAAGTATTCTCGTAAAAGGCCATTTGAAAGCTTTCGGCAGTGGAGCAGGTGGACACTTGCCCTCCCGGTTGATGCATAACGAGTTCCAATCTAGTTACAGTCAATTTTGCGCCCAATTTCTGATTGACGAAAACTTCTCGACTCACCTGAAAAAATTTCTACCTGGCTACATCAACAGTGGAGGCGGAAGCGCGGATGCTAGTGACTTGCTGAGTTTTTATCGGGAAATACTGCGGGAAAACCTTCGGAGCGTTTTGCAGCCACAGAAAAAGTTGGAGATAGAGCGCAAGATGCTAGTCAGGCAGAATCCTGGCTCACTAGAGGATTTCTACAAGGTCGGTCGGAAGCTGGGAGAAGGATCCTTTGGGAGCGTCCATCTTGTGGAAACGAAGAGCCAAGATCCCCACTTCTCCCCTGAGCAACGCGTATGTTAAGACTCGTATGTTAAGACTCTAGATGCTCTTGCTGATGCCATTGGTTTTCACACAAACTTAGATGATATTAGGGACTTCTTGAGAATTCAAATTAGTAGCTAGAGGTTTTTTGAGGTTGAGCGTACTTACAGTGATCTTTACTGTGATAACTTTTGCTGGTACAACCCGGCCGGCCTCCCGGGTCGATGCTGTGAGGACCGTACTTTTCTTGAGGACAACAAATTGATAAAGTACTACAGTTTTTAAGTTTTAAACCGAAGAAGCTCATCTAAGAACGCAAGATGATTCGACTAGACGGATTTAACGAAGGAACCACGCTGCAAGAGCTACTGCAGGAAATCAGCATAATGGCCGAACTGGATCATCCGAATGTGATTACGGGTAGGTTTTTGGCGTTTCTGTTACCGTTTGTTTTTACTGTTCTCAGGGAAAAGAGTAAGCATAACAAACGGGGAACAGATGAAACACCAAGACCCTACTTCTAATGTGTTCAAAGTTTTCGAGTATTTCACTGGTCCGACACGCGACAGGGTATGAACATGGAACTACTAACTTACAACAAAGAACTAGAAAGTAGTCGCAGTCCTCGCCAGGTTGTTTTTTTCTGAATAGATTTTCAGGAGGAAATTTATCAAACGACTACGACGAGAGCAATCCTGCATGCTCGAGCATGTTTTAATTCTACGCTTCTGCGAGAAAAGTAAACAGTCCCCTCTCAATATCTCTCTACGCGTTCGTTGCAAGTGATTATGGAGTTATGCCAGGGTGGCGAACTTTGGGACCGTTTTCCGAAGTACGAAAGCGCTCCCGCAGCTGAGAAAGAACGGTGGGTATTCAGTATCCTCATCCAGATCCTACGTGCCCTTGCCTTCATGCACGACTCGGTCCGGATAGCGCATAAAGGTACATCTAATTGTTTCAAGTATCTCTATTGAATTCCTGTTAGTGGTCTTAGAGTGGGTCTGGGTGTGACAAGTAGGCCTAGGACTACTCCTGAATTAGAATGGAGATGTAAGTCTGTAAATGCGGATCGTAAAAAGCGTAGTGCAAACTACCATATCACTTCATTCATCTAATTACGAACGCTTCTAATTTCCCAAATTTTTGCAGATCTGAAGCCTGAGAACGTGCTTTTTTTGCATCGTGAGTCTGAGTCTTTGCGGATCATTGATTTTGGACTTGCCGAAAAGTTCAAAATGGGCCAAAGTAAGTCGGACCAGCAGTGCGGGACGCCACTATTTTCTGCGCCAGAGATCCTATCAGAAAAGGAGTTCGACTTCAAAGTTGATGTCTGGTCATGCGGAGTCATGATGTATCACATGCTCGAGAACAGAGGCCCCTTCCCAGCAAAGACCCTCACCGAATTGAAGCAAATGGTCTTAAATGTATGATATCATGATACGATGCATTGAGATTCACATTCATTTTCATACATCACTAGTTATTAATAAATAGCCTAAGCTTGTTTCATGTGATTAGAGTCCAAGTAAACCCTTGCACACCAACGTTTTTTCATCTCAACATCATTAGGTTTGCACCAACGCTTATGCTATTCCCCGACCTGGCCGAAACACGCGTGATTTGTCTTCTGACTGCATCGATTGCTGTTTCCGTATGCTGAGCCGGGATCCGCGAGATCGTCCCAGGGCCTCCGACGTCTTGAAAAAAGACCCTTGGCTATTACTTACGACTACTCCTCTTGGTCAGTTGTATTTTTCGTGGAAAATTGAAGACTGACAGGTCCTCCTCCTCCCGAACTCGAAATCCATCTCGTGGAGGACCAATGCGATAAGTTTTCTCTCTTAATTTAGAAAAGATGGATGTGTGGATGTGGAAGTCTTAGCTATACTTCGCGTGGACATGCTGTCCGATGAAGCAAGTGCATGGCGTCAAACACTTTGGATGAAGGACGTAATTCAGCATCAGCACACATCGACTTGTTTCCTTTTCTTTTAGTCGTATCTTCACCCTTTTTTTCGCGTCTAATGTTCGCATGAGCCGTGCTGTAGAGGACGGCGGAATGATTTCACCCGGCGTCTGCCAGATTCTCGAAAATTACCATAGACAATCCGAGCTGAAGAAGGCTGTTTACCTCTTCATCTTATGGACTGTTTTTAATTCATTTATGATACCCCTAGGTCCCCGAATACCTTCCACCATGTTGATGTAGAGTATAGTGTATAATGTTATTTCATTTATACTCTCGACAACATCTGGATCTGCATCCTGCCCAGGCCAACAGAACTCAGCGCTAAGACTCGTCTACTTCTATTTCAACGCGAGTCTCAACAAGCTGGCGGAGCCCGTTCGTGTGCTGTTTACGTATCTGGATTTGAACAACACTGGCCGGATTCAGCAAGAGGACATCCGGCAAGTGCTCTCACGAGCGGGGTTGCATTCTCGCGCGTTAGCTGGAGGCATTGCGCATTCACTCTGTCGACGAAAGGGGGCAACTTATGGAGGGAGCGTTACATTCACTAGGAAAAAAGTTCTTTCTCGATGTAAGTAGGTTACGTACTTAAGTTAGATGCACAATAAAAGATAAAATGGAACATCACTTCTATCACAATACTCTCCATGAAGATTTTTGTCTCGCTCCATATTTATCCATCCATTTCTAATCGATTGATGTTGCGTTTTCCGAATTTTTAGCGGCAATATGCTCGATCCGCATCAGTACGCGACAGCACGAGCTCATTCGTTTGGCCTTTCTCGCTTTCGACAAGGGGTCGAAGGGCTACCTCCTTCCTGCGGATCTTGTTCGTGTGTGTGCTGGTGGTCGAGATACATCGCTTATGACTGTTGAGATGCCATGAATATCTTCAGATAGAATTTAGAAGGGGGTAACAAGTAAGTAATTGTAGTTGTTGCATTACAAGCATCTGCTACGGTTTGATATTACTGATGATATTGATTTATGCATCGACCAGGAGTAGAGGCATTGGCTTCGGATATTCGAAAACTCAAAATAACCGAGTTACTGACTGAAATAAGGGAGGTAGCTTAACATCAAGGCTACGCTTCCTTTTCATTAGTATCTCGCTTATTCTGATCAGTTACTTGCTTATTTCAGTTTTTCGAATAGTCAAAATTCTGTATCCAAAAGCTTGTTTCCACTTTCATAGTACAAGACGACGAGCTGCGACAGCTGATATCAGCGGAGTTTCCTGGTAGAGATCGCATAAGCTATGACGATTTCCTAGCAAAAATGCGGAGTGTAGGGGCAACACAGGGTGGCGACCAACTGATGGGCGTCGCGTAGCTAATTTGGTGCTGTAACACGATCACGAAGCGGAAGCGGCCTTACTTACTCACAATATTGCTAGTGTATAATGTACCTATATGTACTTATACTAGAGTTAGATCTAGTGTCCTGCTCCTGCGAGGCCGCTCATACATAACATGGTAGTACCGTAATTTTCATAGCCCAGTAGTACAACTTATAGATGTAGAACCTTGTCATTTATTTTTTGATATATTCACAATAATCTTACACTCGTTAATCTTAATGTGGATCTGCATCATTGCTTTGGTCATTTTGTGTTTTCATTCTCTTTCTACATCGTATTTGGTATGAAGGATATCGATAAAAGCTTGCGCTAAAGTTTCTTCGTTCGATTTTTGTTTCCCTCATGTTCATACTACATTGTTGTCGTACATCGTCATCGGTTCGCTGTTTCTCATATTGATGGGACCAGCCAAGGTCTACGTTTCGTTATCGGTTCTTGTAAAAACCGAAGCGTCTCCTGTCGCATCATTCATATTTTTTACTCACTAAATCACAGTCAACACGGACTACTTGTAACAATGTTGTCACAAATTAATTCACGAAAATTGAAAATCGTTCTTGTCACGCTCACGACGACATGATGATTTTCTCTGACAAAAAAACGGGTCATTATAGACTCGCTCCGTATGTTGAGATTTGCGTTGCTATTGTACCAATGTTTTTTCAGCACAATATCTATGGGTGCAAACAGCCACAACAGACGGATAAGAAGTGGTTTAATGTCAATTTACTGGAGCAGAAAATTGTTGCTGTACTTGTTTTCCGCTTATATGAAAATAATGACTATATTCAACATGCCGGATTATACTGGCTGAAAATTAATCGCAAAAGCGAAAAGTAAGAGAGTATGAAAGAACGAGATCGGGGTTCTTGCCCTGTTGAGGGGCTGTGCGTGCCCCCAGTGTACAAGAAACCTTGTCAGCTTCATCGAGGGTTCCAAAAGATGCGTACGAGTACGCCTTCGCAGCTATCCTTCTCCGAAACGATTGCTCGTGCCACAGTGTTTTCTGGTGTCCTCGTTCGACCTCGTGGTAGTATTGTTAAGTAGTTATAATACGCTTAGCCAGACCCAGAGGCAAAGCAGGACCAGGACCAGCACGTATGTCGTATGATGCAATCTACTTGTCCGTCGTTTATATGTAATATTGTTTTTGTTCATCAAGCGAGTAGTTGTCATCTGTTTGTCAGAAGACAAGATCTCGTTTCGCTACAACTTGTTCGGTCTGTAGTATCATGTCTTCCATCGGAATGGATGCTCGGATTGTCTTGGGAACACCTCCGCTCCTGGTTTTTGAGCATGTTGTCCTCACATCGGTCTGAGTGCGCGATGAGCGGAGAGTCCCTGATGCCCGTCTGAACGCAAGTCGATTTAGATACTGCGATTCTTTAATTAAGCTTCACTTTTGAACAGAAAAACAATATCTCGTTTTCGTTTTTGAAGCAAGTAATCATGTGTCGTGTCAATCGTCGATATCGAAAGGTAGTCATGCAACATTATTCAGTATGATCAACTACGATTGGATATTGATTTATCTCACCGAAAAAGAGGTGTTTGGAACTTTCATTCAAAAAGAAAGCAAGAATTAGACGCACTTCATCTAGGTAAGTACTACGTTCTTCGAACTTTTCTTAGTAGAGCAAGTCTCTCATCAAAGAAGGTTACAATCAACTGGTACGAGGTCTAGACGTACGCAGAAAAAATATATTCAGTATCTTCAATCATCTATCATCTGATTTCTAAGAGAACTACGACGAAATAGAAGATTGATCTTCCTTCAGCAACAACCTATTTTCCAAGAGAATTACAACTCACAAGAAGTCTTCAAAAAAGGAAAAATGGTGTTAGGAAGTGTCGATATCGCGCTCCCCTGGGATGCCTTGAGCGGGTTTGGGACTGGTCGTTGGTCTGGCGGAACCGACCACGATCTAGTTGGCAGCATTACGGCTTCACATTTACTTACTAGAAAGTCCATCTCCATCTGGACGAGCATTAATTACAGTAACTGGTTGTACCCATCATGAACATGATAGTTCTTTGACTCATCTTTTCTTCTATTGCCATTCCTTTCATCCACCAAGTTGTATGGTTGGGGAGATGATGTTTGCGTGTAAGGATTGGACGGGATGGCCAATGATGGAAAAAAGGAAAAAAACGCCGAATCGTAAATTGTAGTGCAGAGGCATATGAGATCTTGTTGTGTCTATCCTGTGGAAGGCTCAAAAATATAATTGCCCAGCATGGTAAGCCTTAGAGTCTAACAGTTGAAGTTCATATTGTGGCGCAACGTCTCCACCTTCCGCTCCGTTCAACACTTCTTTCTACGTCGACACCTCGTCACAGCATCATACTGTTCTCCTTGCTGCGAGAAATGATTTCTCAAGTAGTTTTGCACAGACAGGACGAAACCTACTGCCGATTGGCGCAATTGGAAATCACTCACGAGCATTAAGGTTTGTAGCAGTTGTTCATACAGTTGTACAGTTGTTATAATTTGTATGTGTACTACGACGAATTCTGTCGAATTCCTCTCATCGAGTATTATTGTCCCGGATCTTCAAAAGTGCCTTCCCCCAACACATCTTCTAACATGAGACGAGAGCGCATTTCTCTCGACGCCGTCCTCGTCCTCTAGCACCCATTTGCCTGCAAGAGCCCACGGCTACGGAGCGCGAAACGCACCTTAGGGAACAGCTTGGTGATCCATTTCGACACATTTAGTGAATAGCTAAAAGCATTGCAATTTTTTTTTATTTATATTTATGCAAATTTTGATAAAAGTGACTATTGATGCAAATACTTACATCGATCTGAGTCGTATCTATGTAATTAAACTCCTCCCATAATAGGATGTTACTGCCTCCCCCTTATTTTTCTCTTAGAGGTGTGTTGCAAATCTTGAGTGGCTCTCACCTTTAGGTGAAGGCTTAGGTCCAGCGACGCTCAAAGCACTAAGTAAAGCAGCCGGTTCGTTTTCACCTCTACAATCTTACACTTATCCCATGCAGCAATATATTTATACGGATCTCTGTGTTTCTACGTTCTTTGTAGCCCTTCGTCTATCGTACCTTGTACTTCCATGTTTTGACGGGTAGTCTATCTTCTTAAGAAAATAATCGATACCGAGGCCCTCGAGATCTACTTTCAATTTTGTCATTGTAATCATAGTGTCAAACGTATTCATCTAAGTATTTCTTATATGCGTAACTAGAGGAAAGGAAGCAGACTAGGAGACGCTCCGACTGTTGCACCTTGACCTAGTTCTAGATGAGAATCTAGCCTGAAGATCTTCTGCTCTAAGTGCGAAAACGATGCGTGACCCAATTCGCCCAGGCCCAGAAGCAGCACTTGACCGCTCAAGGAGCCATGCCCGGTGAGGGGGAGAAAATAGTATCATCGGAATTTAAGGCCGTGGCCAATTTGTCCTCAGAAGCATCTTAGATTGCCTTTTGAATAACGCCGAAAAGGGTCTAAGAAGCAATAGTTCAGCAGGACGAATTTCGGCAGCGTCTAAGAAAAGCGTGAAGGATGAGAAGCCAGTGCCTTTTCGTTGTTGCTTAAGGAACACCTCTAGTTTCGTTGTGGTTGTTTCTATAATATCACATTAACAACTACTGCTCTGCTGCCTTTTTTAACAGTACTCGGAAGCTTCCGATGTTACATATCCGATCATGAACCAAGTAGTGAGGGGGATTCTTCTACTAATTAACTTCGGTGTAGTCCTCAACCTCACTCTCCTCATCATCACCATCGTCATCAGCATCATTATCGTCGTCATATATGAGAGGGCTCACTCAGCATTGTTTGTCATTTATACGTATTGAGGTGCGTCAAACATTGAAAGAACTATGTTGTATCCGGTTCAGGAGCGAGAGAAGAGTAGACTTTGACAGCGGTGGTGTCTAATATGCAGGGAGGACGGGCGGGGCGGAGTAAAAGGCCTAAAGATCAAAGAAGTTATGCCTGTCGGAAATGAGATGATCTTGATTAATGCATGCTGATTCTTGTTGAAACCAATTTTGAGTAACAAATTGAATGTTTGTGGAATTGGCGAGGTGCTGCGTAAGCATAATTTCTTTCTTCGTCTTCTGCTCGAAGAGTTTGAGTCCGACCGTCCGACCGTGCTAATCGTAGTATTACCATGTACTTATTGTGCATTAAGGAAGAATTTAGAGAAAGCCCAGTTCTATCTTCGATTTATTTACTCAGATTGATAGGAGCTGATTTCCCCACGCACGAACTAGATTGGGCAGGTAATTTTTCTCTAATAAAGACCTGCGCATACCCTGTAGTCTTGTCGAGAAAGCAAGCTATCAGGAAGCCGTCAAAGTGTGCAAAAATAATAACGCCGTCTTAAGGCGTACAGCATTGCATCCGCCACGACATGTCTGCTCGATGCTATTCCTGAAGGTAACACGTAGAGGAGGCAGACAAGTCGAGGGGGACTGCGGTGCTGTGATTTTCGCTTCTAATGAAAATTTGCGACGGAAAGGCGCTGGCCCAAGACGCAGCGCAAGGGACGGGCTGTGGTTTTGACGGGAAAGCCGTGCGGACGTCGCATACGTGCCGTACTCAAAATGATTGATATTTTTGTGTTGAGTGTTGGATCTTCATCTTCACAGTTTGGGTTTGCATGAGTCTTCATTTTCGGATATAATTTGCATGAAAATGCTGATCGTTACTTACACATTGACTATAATAGGCACTAACGTTACTTTGAAATTGAATGTGTGAAAAAATGCCTTTTGCATTCTCATTGGTGTTGAATGATAGTAAGAATAAAGGAAGACAAATTACACAAAACAGCAAAGAATAATCAAAGACCGCATGATGAAACAAAAACCTACCTAGTTCCATCCCAAGTGGGAACGAAGATGGATGGATTTTCGACGGTGACGGCCGAAGGAGTCGTGAAGTGTATGAAGCCGTCCAAGAAGGCTGCCGTCCGGTGTTGTGGGAAAGACGTTAGGGCTTCAGTCATTTAAGTTTTTATCAAAATCGATGATGTAGATACATAATCGAGAAATGATGTCAAATCTTACATATTTTATATGGCGCCACTTTCTGGTCGTGGATTTCTGGGGCTGTCGATTTGTCTTATTTTCTCACCCCTTGACCCCGGGCCGTTATATATAAATAGATAGCGCCCCGGAATGACGACAACAGAACTTCGCAGGCCTCCGAAGTTTGGCAATTGCTAGGGCCTGTCTTTGGTATTTGGCAGCGTCTTGGCTCGAGGGCTTGCTTTCGTCTAGGAAACGAGGCGATTCACTGCCTTCCATTCGAGAGATTTGCTCCGCACTTGTCCGGGAATCCGTCCCGAGTGTGTTGCTACACCAGCCAAGGCGGCGCGCTTTCATTTTCTCACCGGCCACGGCCTGGGGGTTTTTCTGGCAACAACATGGCGAGGCCTTTCCCATGGTGAGGCCGAAAATTAAGGCAGAGGGGGCCTGGGCATGCATAAGGGGGCCGAGAGTGAGACGCAGGCGCCCCCCTCTTTGCTAGCTAGGTTTGGCCACGCTGGTGCCCATTCACTCGGCCGACATCGCTTAATTAAATCAGCGCTGGCGCAGTGTATCGCGTTCGCGTTCGTCGGGTTGTAGTTTCTATCGGGTTCTTGTGGGTTTGCTTTGAGTCAAAGGAAGTAGCTGGCGCTAGCTTGCGCGCCCACAGTGCTAGCGCATCGGAAGAAGAACCGACATGGAGGAAGCTGGTGGCGGTGGGGCTGAACATCGCCCAAGCCGATAGAATTGGCGTTGCTTGTCTCTGGGTGGGTGGAGCGGCTTCGCGTGTTTCTTTTCCCGGCTGGCCTCTTGTCTGTTAGTGTGTTGCTGTTAGCTTGTTGCCGGGGGGTTGCGGTGGCCCCCTCTGGAAGTGCTTAGATCTTAGCAAGACGCTGAACTGACGGCGGGGGCACAATCGTTTCCAACCCCCGGGGAGCGGAAGGAGCGCCAGCCTTGGGTTGCTTTGTGGGTTCTTTTGCTAGTATGAAGCTTCGAGATTGATAGCGCTGCGCAGTCAGCGCACGCGGGTGCGTGGCGTTCATTCTTTTCATTGGTCAGCACAGCAAACTAAGGGCGGCCCGTTGTCTTCGGTGGTGTCTGTGAATCGTGTCCATCATCGTGCTGCGACTGCGAGCTCCTCGAACTTTTGCTGGGGTCCAATTATTTCAGAGAAGCTTGAAGCTGAAGGAGGTTACGCGAGACAGAAGCCCGAAGTCATTTGCAGGCGCTTCCACTGATGAATGGCTGCGGCAGGCTTGGGCCCTCTTCTTGCTTTGGTGGAAGTTCTTGCGTGTGCGAGCATTTACTCCCGCCGCAATAGATGCATGCATAGCGCTGAGGCTCTAGCTTAATACAGCGATGGGCAGCGCCAGCGGTGTCAGCCAGGTGGGGCCCCGTGGTGTTTATCTGGAGAGAAGACAAGGTGGGAGACTTTGGGGGAGATTGTTGCGTCGGGTGTTGTGTGTGATCTTCCGGACTTTGTTCGGGTGATCAAGTGCGCCGCGCTGCTTTGTCGTGTTATAATTTTGGGAGGATGAGGCGCCAGCGGATTGCCGTGCGCCGTTTGCGTTTGCCTCGTCGTGTTATATATAACTTTATGGGCTGGCGCGCTCTCTTGCATTGCACAAAAACGACAGCGCAGAAACCCAAAACGGCGTCGGCTTATGTTAATTGCCGTGAAAAGACTCCACCAGCTGGGCCCGCTGTCGTTGATTCTGCGTCTGTGGTTGATGCTGTTGCCGCTGTCAGTCTCTTCCGGCGTTGCTGGTTTTTTTCTTGTTTTTTCTCTCTGTTTTTGTCTATTTTTGCATTAGGAGGAAGAAAATGAGAAAACGACAGCGCCACAATTTGCAAAGCGTGGAGCCCCGTGACGCAGACAGCCTGCGAACTGGTCAGATTTCTTAGCTTTTTTCGAAGTGTTACTTATCGGTTTTTGAGTGTTTGGGAAAATGGCAGAAAAACAGCCGAAAAATTAGACGAATCAAGGCAATAGGTGCGAAAAAAGCGTCTCAGAGTTTGGACCTCAAAACGGTCTGAGAGAAAAACACCAGCGCCACGGTGGCGGCATGTGAACCCATTTCCCTCCGGGTGTGAAGAGTCTGAAGCATGGGGGTAGCGCGCTGTGAAGAGTGTCGTCGCTGCTCTGAAGGGACTGGTATATGAGCTCGCAAAGCGCCTTCCGATTGTTGAAAGCGCCTTCCGATTGCTGTTCAATTTATGGCGCTGCCGCTATGGGGCTGTCGTTAATCATGAAGGCCGTTCGCCTGTGATATCGCCGCGGACTTTGTCACTCGATTGCCCCCAAAGCTGGAAGGTTGTGGAAGTTGTGGCCCTTACTGTGACTGGCCTCGGGCTTCCTGCTACTGTGACTGGTCTCAAACTTGCTGCGACTAGTCTCGGGCTTTTTGTGACTAGTCGCAAAGAGTGTGACTAGTCGCAGAATGGCTGCGACTAGTCTCGTTCTTCTTGTGACGAGCTTCGGCCTTACTGTGGCCGGCTTCGACTAGTCTCAGACTTACTGCGACGGCGACCAGTCTCGCGCCCATTGTGACCAGCCCCGGACTTGCTATGGCTAGTCTCTGACTGAGTTCGTCAGGCTGTTCGAATCTTAACACCATCAGAAGCTGGGGTCTGTGTGCTCTGATGGTATTAAGATTCGAACAGCCTGACAAACTCAGCCAGAGACTAGGCGCGGCAGGTCTGAGGCTAGGCGCAATAAGTTCGAGACCGGTCATAGCGATCCTCTCTTGCAAGGCTGGGCTGTGAAAGAATTGCGGGGGCTCGGGTTTGTTAGCTTGAAAATGAGAGAGAACGCGACCGGCGTGCTTGGGGTGTGACGAAGATAGAACCTTTCTGGCAGATTCTTCGAAAGTATCTGAGGGGCCACGAGATCGCCAGGGGAGTGCTGCGCTTGGAGATGAAGACCCAGGCGAGACTTGGCCTTTCTAGTGCATTAGGCTGGCTACATAGCAGACCTTCTGACGGTAGGTAAAGGCATGCCCTCGGCCTCGTCGTGTTATTGTGTATGGCTTTGGCCTCCACCACGATAGAAGCCCGCGCCGCGCCACGCGGTGGCGTTGGTCGCTGTCTCAGTGAATTTATGAGGCGGGTGTCTTTTTACCTTCCCAGAGTGCTGCAGTGGGATGAGTGAAAGAGCGGCGTAACCTTCTAAGAGCAAAACAAAGCCCACAGGACAAAAATGTGAAGGGTCGTAGCTCCGCGTTGTTATATATGATTATAACAGGGTGGAGTTTTGGGCCATCTTCAGGGTATGTGAAACTGACAGCCCCAGAAAGTGGCGCCATTTATATTTATAAAAATCTTGCAGATGTTGATGCTCATGATCCCAGTAAATAAAAGGACTGACGAACAAGGGCAAACACCGAAGAGATCTTCTGTCGTGCGCTCTAATGATGGGCGGGCGGTCAAACAGATGAGCACCTACGGTGGCTCCGGTGGCGGGGGTAACTACGACGCCAATAAATGTAAACAATTTGAGGATAGGACATTCACGGAGGCTGCGGCGGTCTGCAAAAGTAAGGATTATGGTTTCGGGTTTTTCCATATCATGCTAGCTGCAGCCCGTGAAATGAGAAATACTTAGTACTACTTCGTGTAGTGGAGGATGCAAAACCTTTAGAGATTGATTGATACTTAGGTTGTCAGCTTCCTAATTTTCACGAGGGAGTAATTCTTTTTAGGCTATCATCATGATACTTCCTACTCTTAGTGGCCTTCCTACCAGTAGATCAATTGCATCATCAAGCGCCACACCGTGCGTCGTGAAAAGTGTCACTGTAGAACCTTTCTACCTCTATTTTGCGCACCATTTACAACCAGACGAGAAGGGCTGACCCGCTAGTGCCGTCGGTGTGAGTAGCCCACAGCATTCTGCTATCTCGAAACTTACTAGATTCACGGCTAAAATTGTTATTTTGGTGCTTCTTTCTTCTCTCCCCTCGCTCTTTTGTTCTTGGTTAGTAATTTCTCTCCAGTAATATTATTACTACTACTTCTAGTAGTCTTCCGGATTATGATGCTTAAGGCCAGTTGAGCAGATTCCAGATCCCTCATGTAGCTGTTTGGCAGAGAGTGCGTTCTCTACACCTCGTCTCATCATATTCATATGTTCCTTTCTGTCTTTCTCTTCTCTCTCTGCTTCATCCACTAAACCTTCTGGCACTTATCTCACGCTTACTCCGTTTATTTGGTGACGCGAATCTTCTCGGCAAACCGCCTAAGATTTCCCTGGCGACGACTCTTCCCCGCTAGTCTAGCTTGTTGCTGAGTTGTCAGGGGTCTTTCGTCTGTTCCTATTGATGTTTATCCTGGTAAGTATAAACAGAGAGAGCGACAGCTAGCAGGCTTCTGCTTTACTACTTTCTTGCGACCAGGAGAGGGCTCTAGCTATTACTTGTTTTAGTTGTGCCCCTCTTGGTCTGAGGTCAGCAGTCAGCTGCCGCTTAAAGGTTGCGCGCGGTGCTCTTCTTCTCTTGTTGTTGCTGCAGTTTCCTTCTGCTGCGGAGTTCTTTTATTTAAAGCATTCCAAGCTCTTCAAAGCTAGGGCTTGTTCTAAAAACCCCTTCGGATATGCGTGGACCGGAAGGGGATTAGGGAATCTGAGGGCGCAGGCTGCAACCTGAACGGCAAACAGATGTGGACGGCGCAGCCATGTTTGCTTAAAGGAGGAAAAAAGTAGGTAGTGCACCTTTCTGTGAACAATGCACTTGGTCTTGATCCATGATCTCGAACTCGAAACCAAACTGGTTTTGTGGCATCTATAGGAGTGCTGACGATACACTTGGACAGTCGACATAAGAAATTAAAATTTACAGAAGCGGAACACGAAAACTAACAAAGTGAAAATAGAGTATTATGGGATCATATCAATCTTTCTACGTACTGGATACGTAAACTTGAATCGAACTGGTCTGATAAGAAACGTAAATTCATGACTGTGGTGCAAGACAAAGTGAAGATTATTCAAGGACGAAAAAGGACTTTCTTCTACGATGAAAATGCTCGTATGCCACATTTGTGGGGCTGATTGCAAACGTACCAATACTACTTGAGCTGCTATTTCCGTATAATTAATAATAGTTAGGCATTTTCAAAAAAAATGATGATGATCATGAGGATGAACTACCTCCATCATCTTCTGCTTCTACGCTACGTATGAATTCCGTAGGGGGGCAAGATCTTAAGAACTCGACAGGCCTCCCCTGTAGCTCTGATCTTGCTTGGTGAGCTTGAGGGGATCCGGAAAGACCTCAAGGAGGGGCAAAACCGGCCACGTCTTTTGGTGCGTGATCTGCGTGAAATTAAGGGCGGACTGCCTCAGAGGGGGTCATCGGTTTCATGGGGGCCATTTGCTTGGGATCTCGCAGCCCTATGGCGATCCCTGAGCATTATCCGCATGGCCTTTTTGCTCAGTGGTTTCAAGGTCTTGGCGTTCGTCATCGCCATCACATGACACAGAGACAAGCTTACTAGATCGACCGCCTACATCATGCGAGTGGGGTCATCGATGGGAAAACAGTCCCCGTTGCAATTGTTACCACTGTCAGCAAAAATTGTTTGCCGGCCATCATTGGCCTGGTCATTTGGCTGAACAGAGGAACTGGATCAATGATTATTGTTAGCCTGCACCTGCACGGATCTCCAGAGCGTTTCGCAGTGGCATAACATTGCACACCTTTGGCATAGATATGACGGCTGGGAACTGGTTCAGGGTGGGAGAGGTTCCACCCTGGACCGGTTTGGGGTGGGATAAAATGAACTCGCAAAAACCTGTGCCAGGGTGGGATGGGGGCCAAATAAAGTGAAAAAAATGCCAGCGTTCCACACTGAAGCAGAGCGCAGGCCACCCTGAGCCAGGTCCACCCTGGGCCGCTGCCTGTATTAATAATGAGTGGGATCCTCGATGGCCGCGTCGCGCTTGCGGTTTTTGTCCTGCAGAGTGAAGTAAAAAATTTTGTGGTGTTAATCTTATTGTTCTTGTTAAATCATGCAGCAACAATCTATTATGATGTAAGTAAATGACGTCGGTACCACGCCATCTTTAATAAGATGCAACCAACCACTTCGATCTCGTAATATGATATCAAGAAAACAAAAGATGACCAAGAAGAAGCTTCTTCTTACTAGACCAGTTCCCAATAGTTTCTCCTGTCGCTGGTCTCAGTGCCAGCAGACGAAGAGAAATATGATGAGAATGAGTGTCCCCGTCTAAATCTAAAAAATCTAAATCCCGTCTTATATTCTGTAAGTGCACTAGACTACGTAAGTATTCAGATCATCCCGAGTAAGGTATTCAATAAATATTACAAGGATTCAGGAAGAACATACTATTACCCACGACCCTTAGTATTCACCGAATGGACATACAGTTGCTAGATGATGTTACAACTCCGTACAGCCTGTCCGTCGCACGGTGTATCTTACAGTGTTCTCCGTTTTCCATTCCATCTCAACCGCTAGAGATCTAACTCCAAACCCAGTACAACTCAAAAATGTTATAATCATGGGTCTCTTGTTCGACTTCACTTTCGCACTTCTACGTCGGTTTGCGCTGATGTGTCTTCGTTTTTCCTTCCCCGCAGATTATGTTCCCTCGAGTCTCGACTAATGTGGTTGATACTGGCTAGCAGATATTATGAAGGTGTGAAATATTGAATCCGTGCCGAAGCTACCCCGCAAACATACAGTAAATCCCCGTCTATCTTCTTGCTTCACGACTCACTTATTGACGCGTAGTCCAACACTGACTCGTCCTTAACCTCGATGAAGTTGGTCTAAAAAGTCAGATTCAACACACTAGATTGTGAAGAACAAGCAGCACTCTGAACCCAATTGTTATTGTGGATTGTGGTTATTGTGGACTGTGAAAACATGATAGATAAGAATCCGTGACGCATGAGTTTTTGTTTATCCGTTTTTGCAGCAACGATGAGCTAGTGAGAGATCATCTACGCATCTGTCAGAAATGAGGAAGTGCAAGAAATGCTATTGTATCGGTTTTCGACGACTCTATTTCAGTAAAGAACCGTTAGGCAAGCAACAAAAACTTGAATTTTCAGATCTGTTGTTCAATCTGAATCAATAATATAATTCGGTCTGCTGGTGATGAAGAAGCGATACTGGGTCTTCATGCATATTGCTTGTAGATGTGAGTGTCTGTAGGTTGAAGACAGCGAGTTCGTCTATCATGGAGGAGAGCGTCTATCTGTTACTTCTGGAAATGAGAACAGAGTGTCTGTGTCAATCATGGAGAACAAAGTGACCGAAATCCGCCACAGCCGTTCTGTTTGAGAATCTTTTTGTTGTGAGGAAAAGAGGGCCGTCCCAGTTCCTTGGAGATGAGAAAACAGATTGAGAAATTGTGTACTTATCTTGTCCAGATTTAGTTAATCTTAATATCTTGTTCTTTTCTTCGACCAATCATATGTCAATGTCCCTGTCACTCGTCACCGTTTTAACCAAAATGCTCCAGTTAATTATGCCATTCCCTGTCTATTTTCTTATCCCCTGACTTCTGTGAACGAACCCGGCTCAAGAAAGAGAATAGTACCCATTCGTGGTGTATGAAAGATATTTCTTTAACTAGCAATTCGCATTTTCTTGTGAACTTTTTCATTATTAATTAGAAACCACTAGATCTTCATCTTCTGACCTCAACATTTTCTGTTTATAAAGTAGGATACTCTGTAGCAGTACTTAGTGTTTTCGCGATAATCTTCAAAAAAAAGATGGCTCGCGGTGTAACTCCTGTAAAGGGCGGCAAAAGCCCGACGAAAGCGAAGAAGCAGGGAGGCAACTCCCTAGCCCTGTACCAACAAGCGAAGACGTCTTGGGTGGCTTTCGCACAACGAGCCTTCACCAACTACGCGTATCGAACTGCGCTCGCTTAAGGCCTTCATGAGAAGTCTTTTGTCTTACTCAATACTTCATTTGTTTGCTTACTCAATAGCAATACTTAGTACGTCGTGCTACTTGTAGGTGTACAACTAACAAGTATTACTATTAGTAATACTTGTTAGTTGTAATCTAAATGTCATCCAAACTTCACCTCCTACTTCTTCTTGCCCATTTAGTTGTCCATCTGATCATACATATTCCTCTACGCAAATGTACTTATGAACAACAAATATCAAGCAACCTGTTGGCTACGACAACATCCTGAAAGTGGAATCCAGTCCAATCTGCTCTCGTTCATGAAATGAAAGTTAGAGAACCTGAATATGGTCGTCCGCGTCCAAAGTCTCCTTTCTAACTTTCTTGCATCTTGGTCTCGCATGCGTTGATTGGTCTCTACGTGCTGTTTGGTGTCTGGGTATCGAAGGATCTGGAGCCGTTGCCAGATTTCCTCGAAGGTTCGCTGCACGCTGCCATTGCATTCGCGCTCCTTTGCGCACATGTCATGAGTACTATGATGAAATTAAAACTTTAAACTTTCTTCTTGCAATATATACTAGAGTAGTTTATAGACACTGGGTTACGCTGGGTAGCTGGGTAGCTGGGCGGCCTCGCTGGGCGGGCGCTTGGCTAGCGCTTAGCGGACTTGGGGGCCACACGTTGGGCATGCCGAGCCGATGGATTTACTTGCGCCGCGGGGACGCGGTGCAGCGCGTCCCATAAGCACAAACAAAGGCGGCGCGCCGCCCTCGAGGTTCAGGGCAGCGCTGGCGCAGTGCTGCGCCAGTTTGCGCAGTAGCGGACTGCGCCTGCTTTGTTCAGGCTTGCACTGCGTCGCGCTGCACTGCGCTGCTCGATGCGCGCAATGCTGCGCCGCTCCTGTGCACAGCGGTAAACTCGCCAGCGTCGTAGGCCTTGGCCTACGCTAGACTACCACCGCTGGTGGGGTTCTCAAGCGGGCGCCCGAAGGGCGCCCCGCAATTGGAGACGCCCAGCGTCACGCTGGGCTAAGAATTCGGTAGATCTGGCAGATTTGGGTCGCCCAGCGACCCAGTGTGCCCAGCGTGCCCAGCCCAGCCATGTTGGGAAACCTTATAAACTGTTCGAGTATACTGGTGGTTCTTCTACGAGATGAAGCAGTTTTGTTCTGATTTTCATCACTTTCTTCCACCTGCAGTAGTTGTGCCTACATTCGTCATTTTTTTCATTGATTGTGGATGCAAGCAGGTGCACTCTGAAAAACTCGTCCATGATCATCTTCGTGTTGCTGTGCAATCATCGCCATGGCTCAGCCAACTCTTTCATCATAGGTTTTCTTCTCCTTTCCTTCCCCTTGATATTAGATAATGATAATTCTGATATCCCTCCCATCGATCCTCATCAGACACGCACCGTGCCGGGAAGCACTGTGCTTGCCTTACTGGTCTATTTTACCATATGATGACGGGGTGTGCCTGTGCCGGATACTGGATGGGACGCGCCGGTCAATTCACCATGTGCCGGGCGATGGATGCGCGACTCCTCGCCTCTCTCGCTGACGTAGGTATACAGCTGCCGGCTTTTTCTGGAAACTTATGGCTGAGCAAAGGATCGGGTATTCGTTGTTATCCGCCCAAGATGAGCCTAGTCCTAGCTACTTCGAGGATATACGACTCTTTTTCGAAGAATCTTAATCTTTAGCTTATGCTTTTCACATTCTACTTGTTCAACTTGTGATCGGTTTCAGTTGTCTTCAAGAGAGTCGCATATCAATGGCTCGCTCGATATGATTTTTGCTCTACTTCTCTTTATAGTTTTAGATCATCATATTGATAGATAAGTTTGTCAACTCAACCTTATTCCCCACCTACTACTTCTCCTGCTGCTCCTCCTTCTAAGAATTGGGATGCTGGTCGCGATGTACAAGTTCAACAGCTGCGTGCTCCTCATGGTCATCATGTATCAAGCACCAGGACCGGGATTGCAAAAGTTTTTCAATGCGACCTTGTAGTCCTATGCATATCAGCTTTAAAAAAATGATTCCTTATGATGTCAACGGAGGACGAAAGCGTACTAGTTAAAAAGATAAATGATTCCTTGTGAAGATGTAAAAAACAAAGGAAGTAGTTTCTTATATGTCATCGTCCTAGGTCTCTTCCTTCAAACAAACACTATATGTCATGAAACAAAAGAAAAAGACGCAGGAAAAAGAGATGGACATGCCATGATGTACGCTTAAATATTTTGATCATGATTTTTTCGGAATCGCTACATTACAGATACCACGTATGATGAATACTACAGCTCTTTCGCATTAGACAGCAATCGAACATCTTCCATCATTGTCCTTGTTGGCATGGCGGGTACACAAGCACCAAGACTTAGGTAGGGGAAAATACGCAGATGCAATTTGTGACAGGAGCACCACCAGATATCCAGTCACAGCTGCATTCGTTGACGTCTACAGCCATCATGATTGATGGATGCAGGAGATTATAACGACAGAAACAAAATATACTTAACAGGCTATTCGACATAATTGACAAATGCAAGTCTGACAAACGACGAGAAGACGACGACATCGATTCGTCTAGCCTTTGCCTGGGATGAAGCTAGTAGGATGCCTAGAAGCAGCAAGACCTGGAAGAGTGTGCTGGTATCATGAGAGCCTTTGGTGTGAACAATCTTGTGTGTCATCCACCGCGAAAGAGATCCTGATTTTTTTGTCGACATTATATTTACTGCGAGATGAATGACCTGCTCGTGAAAAAGCGACTAGTGAAATAAAGAACGAAAAGAACAAGTTACAACATCGAGGGACATTAATGATTTTGATTTTTATGTTCATCCTGCTGTTGGAGAAGACAAAGATGAAGAAAATACCTCGGGACTGATAATTTTTGATCGAGGGGGAATGCTATGCATGTTGTTAAACTTAACTAGTCGATTCAAGAACATAAAAATCTGCATGTTGGATAGCTCACCTCCGGAAGATAGGAGCTGCAATGGCAGGAGCCACAACACACAAGACATAGGAGTAGGACGAGAAACAATAATAGATAACCTGGTTACAATAAATCACAAGTATGGCGATGGCATCAGCGCTAGGTCTTGGGACACGGGCAGCCGGTGCCCTGGCCCCACCGACATTGAATGCACCGACAAAGGACGGCCCGAATCCATTCTCTCAGTTTCGTCTCGGCGGCAATCGCAGTGGGCCAGTAGTTTTAAGGCGAAAGAGATTCGTGAAAGATCTAATGTGAATATTTTTCGCGAAAAGAATTGTCTACTTTCTCATCTAACTTTCGATCAACAGGCAGTGGCAATGCAGAGTCAAGCAGAGCTAGGTGTATCAGCCACGTATCCTGTTCCTGTGTCGATGAGTGGAGCAGTACCTGCGTCGGCATCGTCTGCTTCGGCTGTTAGGAAAGCGAGCCACCCACAAAGCTCGCTGACACAACAGCAACAGATAGCGCTTCAAATGCAGCAGCAGAACCTAGCAGTCATGGCCGGTGGCGGTGGCCCGGCCTCAGCTAGTTCGAATCGAAACAGCGCAAATGGCGGGGGCGTCGGCAGCGGGGTGCCAGCAGTCCGGGAGCAGGTACTTGTACTGTATAACTTGTGACGCAAAATCACGTGTTCCGGTCATCGTTGTGCTAGTTGTAACAAGAAAGTTCTTAAGTACACGACACGACTCAACTCATCACTCAACATCGCTTTGATAAGAACGCAATGAAAAAGTCGTAGTAGCTACTTTTAGTATTTTTAGTTTTAGCATAACTTTTGCACATGCACTACAGGTACAGGTAGTACCAGCACCACAAGTTTCTGCGCCAGATATAGATTTGCGAACGATGTTGCGAGATTTTTCGCAGACGCGACGGAACCGCCTCGCCCTTCAGCTACGCATTAAGAGCCGCAAAGTGACATCCTCTACTTCTTCTTCTTCACATCTTTTTTTTCATGCAGCAATCAAATAGAAATTATATGAAGATGTGTTTAGGTAAAAACTTTTAATCAGAAATTGTGCGATGACGACGCCACCGATGCGGAGAACGAACTCTTTTCAAAAATAGAGACCCTCGTTGCGGCAAGAGTCGTTGCTAGTGGGAACAAGGTATCAGTCTGACCATTCTTTAAGATCCACTAAACTGTTGAACATATCTTTCCCCAGATCATATGGACATCTGCTAATAAAGAATTTGGTGGACAATGTCGCCCTTGTTGAAGAACTTGCTGGCGCCGGTTATTTCCACCGACACACGACATGAGTAATTAACACGACACAATTGTTTCCACCAAACACACAGTTCACTTTATCGACAACGCCGACATCGATTCCATTTCCAGCACATTCGAAGTGCAACTTGCCACCGTTTTTTTGGCAGCCATCGACTGACTACGAAGCAGAATTTTCGATATCTGGGGAGCACAGTCACGTCGTCACTAAAGTCAAAGACTTTGAAGACAAAGGCTGGGTGATTCCGGTATTTGATAGATAAAGTGGTCCATTAGATTTAGATATTATAAGATATTTATACATAGATCTACTATACATTTAGTCTGAAGTTTTTGATATCCATATTATCATATTGGTCAATCTGATTCGTGACACTCACATACCTTTCTCTAGTGCAATAATCCAGGTTTCGGGTTCCCTGCGCATGGTGCGTGGCGGGGTGTACAAATGGACCCTACACATAGTCACGAAGTGCCATCATAGGCCACAAATGCAGTTCGGAATACACTTATGGAGTTGTTTCAGTTGTTTCCTCAACGTCTACTCTCTCTCCCAACCATGTATTTTTACAGTGAAAAGAAGTGTATCTCAACATCTACCCTAGGTCGTATATGCTAGCGGTATATGATTGTACTTGTAGCACCACAAAATGCATAAGAGACATTTTTTTCTTCAGAGATCAAATTGAATAATGATACTCTTGCTCTTCATATCTCGGTGAAAATCATGAAAAGCCATGGCGCCTGGTCACGACTTCTCGTTGTAGTAGGTCGCGAGACGACGACCCCTGGAGGGATCGTCCCGGAGGCGACAAGTTGATAGGTACTGAGTTTTTAAGATAAGTACACAAAACGTCAATGTGAGTTTAGATGCAAAAAATGGTGACGATGGGCTAGTAGTATGCCTTTCTTGCACCAATGGGAATCGAAATGGTGTTGATCCTCTAACTTGTTCCTTCTCTAAATCTGTTCTACTTCTGTAGTTCTTGCTCCATTTATTTAGAAAGGTTTTTTATTCAGTTTCACGACCACCCAACAGATGAGGGTGATTACGTGACAGTGATTGTCGATTTGCGATCGACGCCTAACCCGGAAACGCAAACTGCCGCTAATAGTTTTGGCAAATTCCTCTACGCCGTTAATGACGAAGCTCCGGAACTTGTCTTCGATGATCTTCCACTGACGACGCCCCTCATGCCAGTGGTGTCAATGGGTGGTGATGCCTGTTCCATAGAGTTGGTTTACTGAAGATCACTACCTCGTCGTCTTCCTCTCCGATACCATAGATGCAAATGGCGAAGAGAGATTGATATTACAGGAGTGAACCACATCTGACTCGCGGAACCGGAACAAATAGCAACGTGAAATCTTTCAAACGTCCTTTTTATCATCCAGACACGAACTCGCGAAGTAAAAAGCCTCACAAATAAATGGCATCACTCTTGTTCCCCTTGAAAACCTTAATGAATTTATGGCAGATACCTAGTGTTTGAGATGCAACAAACTATTTATGAGTAACATTCCGATTTCTATACATGAAGATGATTAGAAGAAAATGTTGTTGTCATGTCGTGCCTGGTTCTTTCTCTATTGAGAGAGGGCCTTGACTTCTTTGTGCATAGGTAGTGCGCGTTGTTTACATTCACTGGCATCATAAGAAATAAAATTTTCCTATTGATGTCTATTGCTAATTAGTTTAGAAAAGAAAATAAAGGAGCTAGTCACATGATCAACATGATAATATCTCTTGAGGCAGTTGTTCTTTCTCTATTATAACCTACCCACTTGTTGGTCAACAAAATGTTTATGAGCAATTAAAGTCGTATTCCTGTTTCTGCGGTTCCAGACGCAATATACAACTCAAAAGATATATGCATCCTCGCAAAACACCTTCACGAATTTCTATTTCAATAATATTGCCATCATTTTGTTCATCGCTCAATGTCGGTCAAAGGATCGATCTTTCCTTGTGTCGTAGGTATACTATGCATAATTGTAGTCGTACTACAATGTTGTAGTAGAAGAATCGCATTCATGCCGTGAAACTACGCATGTTTTTGCTCGTGAAATAGATGGATCGATCTACATGTACAATTACAGCGCGAAGGCGATTTACAACCTGCATACAAGTTGTAATTTTTTTTTCATGGATCACGATGTCTTGTCATAGTTCTTGCAACAAGGCCAAGGGAGATTGATATTAGCCACTGAAATCGCTCACGAGTTGGTTGCAAGAAACATGCCTATTTACATAGACAAGCGACATACAGAAAGTAAGCACTCGTTCTTTAGAGCAGCCTCCGGAAGCCAGAACCAGAAGTTTCTTCCAAGCGGAAACGAGAGAAGCAAACTTTGCTAAAAAAAGTCAACAACTTTACTTGACAACTTTACTTGGCAGTGGGAATTTGAGATGATGAAAGCAAGGGTTGGATTTGGAAAGGAAAACGTACTCCTCAATCAACAGTAAAGAGAGCCTGTTTAAAGTAAACGAGACAAAAATGAAAATAAGTGAAGCTCGGAGTTGTCAGCTGCGACTTTTTAGAAAAGTAAAGGATGTGCTAGAAGATGTTCATTCTTTCCAGAAGTGAAGCTTTCGAAGTTTTTATGGGAAAAAGAAAAACGAAAAGACTAAATACACAGTCTAAAAAGATTGCTTCAGGAGGAAGAGAAGACGACAAGAAAAGCAAGAGTGCACTACCTACTGTGTGTACAACTAGAAGTTCCTCTCGACTCAAAAAATGTAATTGTAGTCCTTTACATATTAACTGGGAACTTGAAGTACAAAATACAAAATCGCTCGAGTGATCATCAACTGCAAAAAACGATGACATCAGAATGATGAAGACTTGTTTCAATAATATTGAATATTTTTCACAAAAGTCTATGGTCCTACTAGAGCTCGACGACACGATTAGCAGAGAGGACGCAAGGGGGTAAGCTTGAGCAGCAATCTGCGCAGTCGCAGCCTTCTCCCTTGCAGCATGATTTCGGAAGCGAAGTCACCCGATGGTGCAGGCAGCGAACTGTATGCGCGCGTGGCTAAGATCGTCGCGGACCACCCTGAATGGGGACCATCGCAGGTTGCGAAGGAGGCGTCCGCCAACAAGGAAGCAGTCAAACGAATGTTGAAGAAAATCAAAGTGGAAAACGAGTACGAGCAAGTAGCCCAACAAGTCAGTAACAAAAGTAATACTACAAAGGACGAACGTCAGGGTTCTACAGCTACCAGTGCAACGAACACAACGGCACCAGAAGCAGCTTCAGGTACGATAAGCAAACCGCAAAATCAGAAGGCACAAAACACAGAAAGCAGGGCGTCGAGGGGTTCCAACGTATCTATCGTGTCTTGTCTTGGCATAAGACACATCAGTAACTGACTAAAAATATTTTTTGTGCCTGTCATACTCATAGTCATGCTTTTTCCGCTTCTCTTTTCTTATGACACCTGATTTTTCCATGCTCGACCAGGGCCAGGGATCGATTGTCAAGACTGAGCCTGGCGCAAGTGGATTTGCACCTAATGCGCGAGCAAAAGACGAGCAACAAGAATCGCTGCCTGAGGAAGAATTCGAAGAGATTGATGCTGATGAAGATCGTCACCGTCAGCGAGGAGGTCAAGCGCCTCCGCAGCAATTGATCACCCCTCAACGATTGGAGGATCTGAAGTTGCGAGCTCTGATGCTAGCGCAAGTCGAGGAAGACGCTACGGCCAGTAGAGCAATGGCCGCTGCCCGACACGCGGCAGCAGGAGACGGCTCTCCTCAACAAGGTTTTCGCGTCAGTTCCTCAGAAGAACTGCACCAGAGGGCCGGTGCGATTTTGCGGGTTCTTCTCACCTGGGAGCAAGACAGAAAGCATGGCGCGACTATCGAGGAACTGGATTTATGATTAAGTATTTAGTTCTTTAGTTTTAGTACTGAGTCAGTATAGGTTTAGGCGTCTGCTCCCATCATCTTGAGAATACCCCTTAGGCTGATGGGGCAGAAACAGAACGCATCTTGAGTAGAAAACTCAGCTCAAACGCATGCGGTGTAAGACTCTCTTGGAGTGTACATTTGAAGATAATTTCCCGACAATCACCTGGGTTAGAGGATCTCCATGTGAGTCGTAAGTACGACGACGACAGATTTCAAAGAACTGCCTTACCTAAATTAGAGCTCTAATAGATGCTAAATTCGAGCAATTGCTTGAAATGGTAGGTGGCCAGGGGAGTCCGAGCGAAGGTGACACAAGCAGTCCAACGGCATCCTCTCCCGACAGTTCACCACGATCGCGCGCTGCGCTTGTGAGACGCCGACTTCTTGAGTCCGAGTCACCGGCTGGAACCGCTACTAGAGGTGGTAGCACGAGCACTGGAGGAGGTGGGAGCGCAGCGGCACAGAGTGGCGTTAGAGCAGCAGGAGCACGCAGTCTGGCATACCCAACAGCAACCTCGAGGCATATGCCAGAAGGGGGGGCAGCCGCAGAATCACCGAGCCACAGCACAGCGCGGGCAGGCTCATCATCATCATCATCGTCATCTTCGACTTCGCGTGGAAATAATACGACAAACAATGAAGCACAACAGCGCTCGTACTTGCGGCTCGGGGGCGTCGCACGGGTGCGAAATGTGCCCGGCCGGCCTGACCTAGACGGATGTCGGGCGCTGACCATCGTTCCTGTGGAGTTGGGGGACGACAGTAGTCCTGATTATAGAGGGAATCGTACTTCTGTCAGCCGAGGAGGACACCATCTACCATCTGTTCTGTGGGAGGTGTTTATACCTGCTGCAGGCGAGGAGCTGCATTTACCACCAGAGCAGCTTTCTCCATGCGACGATTGGCTGATGGATTGGGTTGGAAGGGATAATAAGCGACTCGAAGAGCAGGAGCAACCATCCGCTGCTAAGAAACGCATAGTTTCTAAGCGGGAAGAAGCAGGTGGTAGTAATAGTAAACCTTCTAGTACTTCTACTTCTCCCTCTCCTACTCCTGGTGCAAGTGCAACGGATAAAGAGGAACCACTTGCAACAACGCGGGGGGATAAGTTTTTACCTACCGTCTCTAGCGCTCTTCAAGCGGTGGCACTAGAGTGGGAAGGGATACTTAATCAACGAGCAGACATCAAGATGAAGATTCCTCCTGTTGGGAAAAGAAACGAAGGTGAGGCGGCTCCTCCTGTTGATGTGGATGATGATGCGGATAACAGTACGACCGCACCAGAGGACAATTCGGTCTGCGGTGACCCATTAGGCCAGTCGGCTGCGTCCTCCTCTTGCTCAACTACGGCAAGCGGTTCGTCCTCTGCGAGCGCTCGCAGTAGCAGCAATAGCACTAGCAGCAGTACCCGGAGCACCGGCGGGCTCGTCGTGGCCACCGACGAGATGCAGCGGGAGAGTCTCGCTCCAGATGAAAGCTCTGGAAGAAAAATAACGACAGGAGGAGCTTTCACCGACAGAGGCGGTTCTACTCCTGGAGGTTTGAAGAAAACGCTTGAAGATGGAACGCTCCAGCAGGTCAGTTCGTGCCGTGAAGATACCGTTGCCCCACTACCGCCTGGTGTTCCGAAGTTGCATGTGAAGGAGGTGCTTTGCGAATTTTCTTCGGAAATTTTGAAAAATTGGATGATGAGGAAACTGGTCACAAACTGCGACGAAGAACCAGCAACGAGCAGCACAGCTGTCCCCGATCTCCCCATAGCAACGGGGCGCTACCTCCTCTTCGTCTACCTCAATTCGTTTGGACATGGACTTTTGCTGGACTTCTACAAGCAGTGCGAATCGACAAGCAGCAGTGGGATAAAAAGAGTAAAAGTTCTACGGCCAAGATCTGACGGGCGGGAGGGTGACGTTGAAAGGACGCTTCTTGCTGCTCACTGCCAGATCGACCTCTTCAAGCCAGAGAGTCTGGAACTTACAGAACAACTTGCAGCCAAGAATCGGAGTACTAAAAGTATGCCCCAAGAGAAGGCGGTCGTTCTTGACAGGCATACTAGAAGTGAAAAATATCAAGAACAAGATCAAGAATTTGAACAACCCCTGCGGGATCAAGTTCAAGAGCAACGTTTTTATCCAGTAGTGCGTCAGCCTAGTGAGAGCATCGAGTTTCAATTTCGGGTTTTCCAGACTTTTGGGTACAGCGTGGGCGAACTTCTGAACTTGGATCCGAACGAACAGCAGTTTTTCCGCTGGCAGCAGACGAGGGAGTGGGTGGACTTCTTCACGGATCTCTCCGATATGCAGGTCACCCTGCACGAACTGATAGAGCACGTGCTCACCGAGCAAGCGCTTCAATTTTTTCAGCGTGCGCCCACATGCATCCGAGCGCTACGAGCAAAACCGAAATTTCGGGTGCGCCCACCTGCAATCAGTTCCTTTACCGGATCAGTGAATAACTTCCTGGAATATGAGGCGTTAGCAGCCACAAAGCAAGAACCACCAACAAGAAGGGCTTCATCTTCATCTTCGGCAAGCTCTTCTACCAGCACTTGTACTCCTTCTTCTACAACAAGCTTGTCAAGTAAAACTAAAGACCAGCAGGAGCATTCGCGAGAGCTAATGGCAAAAGCAGCGAGTCGGGAAGCCTTCACCGTCAAGGAAATCTTTGACGAACCGGGTCTCACATCCGAAAACGAGCTTTATGCCAGCGATCCTGACGAGGATGAGCTAGAGGAAGACGCGTCTCCAGCTTCTAGTACCGCTTCCCCCGTAGCGGGAGCAGCCGTCCGCGCGTCGCAGCCGTCTTCGTCGAATTTCAACTCGTCTAGCAGTACGCAAGAGGCGAGGGAGGCGCAGCGCCGTGCTCGGCATCAGAGACGCAGACGGCGCATCATGCGCCAAGCAGAGCGCATTTGCCGGTTATGTGACGTGTTGCTGGACTGCCAACTCACGATGGACCCGGAAGAGACAGAAGAGCTGGATGAACGAATTACTGAGTTCGCGAGAAATCGAATGACGATGAACCACAGTTATGGGCAGCACAAAGCAGCGCCACCACCAGTCTGCAAAATCTTTGTTTGCCGTCGACAGGACCGAGAACGGCTGCTGGGTGTACGCTTGCCACGGGAAGATCTCCGGGAGGATGCTCCACAGACCGCAATATGTGTCTTTTAAGGAAGATGAGCGCGTAGTTCTAGACACGTTTGCTAGCTTGTGCTAATATTGCTAGGCAATCGCAATGTCAAAGCCAAAGAGGAGCTTGACGTTGACGAGGATTCTTGTTTCAGAAGATCGTTGTATCGGATACATCCGTGCCATGCTGGGATATGACCTACAATTTGTTATAGTAGAAGACCACGTGCCCCCGCGACATGTATCTCTAATGCTTCCGCATCCCGTACCAATACATGCAGCATCTATGGCACAGAAGCAACCGTAGGTTTCATGCGGAGTTGGGACCCGAAACGTTTGTGAGAGCGCTTTACCACTATCACGCGGCATATTTGGCTGGTCGAAACTGTGGAACGAAGCTGCAGCTATTCCGCGTAGAGGAAGACTGAAGATGCACCATTATTAGAGGAAAGAAATGGACCACGAAGTTAAGTTGTAAGTACTAAGACTCACCTACTTAAGAGTAACTAGAACAGTAGTATGAAATCAGAATTTCAGCCCTTGTGTTGCGCGCGCACCAATTAGCAGGATGTAATATTTGCGTTTCATCTCGGCTCTTCGATGGTTGCAGTGTCGTGTATTTCTCGATGTGAGCAGTCCTCCTATTGAATGGTAAGTGTAACCTAGTCACTAGTATTGCTTGTTCATTTTTGTTTTTCTTGTTCTTCACTTTTTTTGAATCCTCAAGCTGATTTTCATGCATTTTTTGTAAGAGAAGGCTCCGCTCCCCCCGCGTAAGCATGGACTTTTGTTCTAATCTACACTAGCATTGATGTTTATAGTTATTCAGTTCTTGTTTTTCAATTTCATTTTACAAGACAAATACAGCGTGCACAGAATATCTTTTTGATGTAGTACAGCTTAGTCAATTTTCTTTTCGTTGATATTAGACATAACCTTTGTGAAGTTTCTTCTTCTTGTTTGCATAAATCTAGTTTTGTAAAGAAATTCGAAGTAGTTGTAATTGTATGAGTTTTGAGATGCAGGTTGAACATGTTGTACTAACCTCCATTTTTACTGTCAAGCAGACAATGTTGGTAGATAAGCACTGTAGCTGCCACCTGATATCCCTAGTATAGTCCCTCGTTGAAGAATGATGATGCTTTGATTATATGCTGCACCAAACAAAACAGGCCTATTAAACTAGTTTTAGTGGAAGTACAACAAGTTGGAGACGAAGGTACTAACAAGACTAACTAGGTTCATGGACGATACGATGTTGCTCGGTTGCTGTTGCATGTTGAGAGCGACTTCACTGGTGCCCACAAAAACGCCCACAGTTATCCAACAAGACTTCCATCATTATGGTACGACTTGTAGCTAAATCCAAGGTCAAACAAGGAAATAGGTTGCAGAGTCGATTACAGATTTTTCTTCAAAGCAACCTCCCGAAGAGCAAGACATGATCCAATGCAGATGCTGCTCACCTGCCTTATCCACCTTGGAGTAGTCATCATTCGTCTACAGAGATGGACTTCTGTGAGGACCTTCCTTGGAAAATTTTTCGAATTCGAATGACGGCAGGCCGTTGGGCTTCAGATGCAGGAATGCCTGGCCTCTGACCGTCGGTTATGCATCATCAGTTTCCTCTGTACTGAGGAGGCGTAGCAGATGGGATGCTGGTTCGTGTGCGTGTGTTCTATTAATTCGGACTGACGCACTTGAGGAGCGCATGATGATGATGATGATGATGATGGCTGGAGGTACCTGTCAAAACAGGACCTACACTGTAAGACGCAGAAGAAGTTGCTAGTGCTGGAGCAAAACACGAAGGCAGTATTTTAATTACAGCAAAAAAATGCATCTGAATCCAGGACAGTTAGGCCTTTCCAGACGCAGAACATCACCCACCTAATATTTTCGTTTACTTAATTGGGATAACCACGATGATATGTATCTATTGGATTGAACGAACACGACCATTGATGCTGCACTAAAATAAATCAACACGTGTGAGTCCGGAGTCATCACAAAGAACAATGGATCACTCATTGCGGGGCACGAGGGGAACCTCGAATAAGTCGAAGCCAAAATTAGGGCCCCAGAAGCATGAGGACAGCCGCTTCGACAAACTCCAGGAGGACAATGCTCTACTGCGAAAGGAACTGAGTGAAAAACAATATGAAGTCGATTATTGGAGAGAAAAATGGCAGAAGGTACCTCTACATTTGCTAGATCCTGACCCCGCCTATTTCCTAGAAATACACTAACCTTCACTTCTCCAGTGAGAGAAATACCGCACATACAACGTTCAAGCCCCTAGCCTGAAGCAACTCCAATTACCTGTAGGATTCCCGAGGCTGCTTCATCATGTAGAGTATAGTCCATCTTCGTCGTGCTCGTCTGCCTTCTCCCCCCTCAAACTTTAGGGAAGGAAGTTGGATAGAGTTCATTACAGTTGACTCAAGAAGAGCTCGCGGACTTGACCTTCACACCTACAATCTAATAAGTTCATCATTCCTCTTACTTTGGTACTTATCATGAAGATCTTTCTGGTCGTCTTACTTCACTTAATATTTCTCGTCTAGTACTAGTTCTGCTTGTTACCTGTTTCGCCTTCATCATTTTAGGTATAGGACGATGTGGATGACTAATAGGTACGTAGCTCTACTCGTTGTAGCTGTGGGGTTACACTGAAGATCCCTTCTACCTTAAGCGTCAAGCAAATCTTGGTCGTGACTTGTATGAAAGCCTCTTTAACTACTTTCCCAGCTTATCTTGTCTCCAACCCCATACTAGAGAATTTGAAGAATCTCAGTTCTACTCACCCAGGCGACGGGGAAGGAGCCGAGGTCGGGTGAAGGGAAGCCGCCGAAAGGCCGTATCAGAGAGCTAAAACCACAGCGGAGTTTGTATGAGAGTGCTAGCGCGAGCTATGGCGTCGAAGACGCAAAAAGAGCAGCGTTTGACAAAATGATGGGCGGTGGCGGAGGCTCATCAAGGAGTGGCGTCACTAAGACTACTTACTAGAGTGTTGTGTTGCAGCGATCAAACAACTTTATTCATGATTGTTTCTTGCTTTCCGGTATGATCAGTATGCTAGAGTAGTTTATAGAACGGATGTAGGATGGACTTGGATGGATCGGATGGACCCCCCTGATTCTTCCGATCCTACTCGAAATGGTGGGAAGTCCATCCGATCCATCCCATCCCGGATCTGGCACCCCTATAAATTATTCTAGGCCCTATCAGATGTAGAAGTTGACGCTTTTTTATTATAAGAAAATGAATTGATCATGCAACCGCAACCCCGCCCCGCGGCGTCTGATGAATGTCGAATATCCTCTGGAAGTGCCAGTATCTCGGGTACTATTCTTATGATCTGCGCTAATTCTACGCGAAGGGAGACTAGCGGCGGCGATCGTGGAGTCCGGCGGAGCGCCAGCGCCAGGGAGCCGCAGCGTCATCTAGCTGGCGCGGAAAAATCGTCTTCTTCGACAGCGAATAAGAATGGTGGAGCGCATTTACTGACGAAGATGGATGGAGTTGTAGACGGCGAACGTAATAGGCAGCAGAATGGTGCTTCCAAGGATGAACCGATGCAAGATGCACAGCTGCAAGGTGCAGCTTCGAGAGGTAATAAAGTCGAACAGGAAGCACCAATAGCGCCTCCAGACACGCGCAACCGGGAAGCACTCTTGCTTGAGTTTTTCCGCGTCCTCGAGGACAACAGAACGCCGAGTACAGGCAGTACGAACAATGCAGCGCCACTCATGGACATGGACCAAGGTTAAGGCTTGCCTTGTAGTTCATCTTGAAAATAAGCATGTTAGTCCTACTCGTTCTCTTAATTGGAAGGTTTTTGTAAGTGTAGAGGAACAGGAAACTCACCAAGACGCTTCTCAGGATGAGCAATCTATCATGTGTGGTCTAAAACGACGACAAGATGGATGTGGATTGCGAGGGAACAACAAACGTAGACGGTGCAACTGCAGTGAAATCACATTCATCACTTCTCTTACGGCAGGTTCAACTGGACCGACTGCTTGTACTAGCTGGCAGCTAGGAGATCTATGAAGATTTATTCCATACTTTTTATAAAAAGTATAAGTAGTACTGATAAAAGTAAGTAATTAGTTTCATCTAAGACTTGGTGGGGGCGGCGCTGGGCAGACGTCAGAGTCGAAAAAGGCCAGAGGACGGACCGAGGAAGATGATGAATCCAGTGGCACCGCTGACGCACATCGAGAAATCAACGATGATTCTAACATGTCTCGGTCGCGAGGGTGTTTCAATACAACTACAGGCGATACAACAGGTGCCGACGACAACAATTCCTCCGGTTGGTCGGCTGACAAATGTAGTGTTTTCGACATAGTAAACCTGATCCGGTCTTTTCGTGACTGCACGATCGGGGATCTCCTCAATGACATTCGATCTTGCGTATGGGATTGTCGCTTTGAGAGGTCGCCCCCAGAGGCTTGGGACGACGAAGAGTTTCCGAATCGAGAGCAATATGTTCACCTTCTGATCGCTCGCTCGCTCCTCTGTCTAGAAGGCGTGCGGCTCTACCGGCTGTGGGCTGGTAATGTTTTTCTTCATCCCGTACAAATATGACCGTCGCCCTATTCTCAACCGATTCTAGACCTAGCGGATATCTAGCTGCCTCATTGTCGCAGGTGGCTAGCTCTTTGGGTTTGATGAGTGATCGTCTGGCTGTGTCGTCAATTTCCGAATCTTTGACTTTTTGAAGACGACTATGTATTACAAGCGTTTCAAGACTGCAATTGGTATTGGGCGTCCGGGAGTCATGATATGTCAGTATTCACCTCGTTGTCACTGGTATCGCATACAAATATATTTATATATATTATAAAGAGGATGCGTATTCCAATTCTTGATGTAATAGGTCAAAAGAAGGGTGGCGACGAGCAGGAAGAGCACATGGAAGAGAAAGAATATTGCGAGTATGCGGGAAAATATCTGAATGCGGCGTTGATGCTGTTAGATGAACTCAAGGAGGACAGGCCAGACCTGGGTTTCGGAGACCACAACGATTTTTTTAATGGCATTGTTGTGCCTCTTTATCGAAGAAACTGGGATCAGGGTTTCGACACAAAGCGCTTGGATAAGCTACTCAAGAATGCTCGCGCTGTGCCTTCAGAGACGCTGCTGCTTCCAAAAGGTAGTACAGGATTCCTGTTAAATTTAGGCGTTGCTTGGATGCAAATATTCGTAGAGAATAGATGATACAGTTTTTAGATAGCAGGCGTGACGAGCTTCACTTTTAACTACCATTTTGAATGTTTGACCGATTCGTTTGCGAAAGGTGAGTTGGCGGGCGCGAGTACAAAAAAACTTCAGCTTGTTTTCCTTGTTCTCAGGCCAATCGTGCGTAGTCCCGAGATCAAATCTCGCGCCCGAAGATGCTGTAGGAGACTCCGCAGCCTTGTATACTGTGCGAGGAGTCGAAGCTTTCTCCTCTTGTAAGCGGTACATCTATTTACGACTTGTCGAGCTCGTTAAGATTAAATTCAAGATCAAGAGAGAGTAACAACAACAAGACATCATAGGCAGCCACATCACACTTATATGGGAAGATCAGGGCGGAGCATCACCTGAAAAACTAAAACATGGTCATGGGCAACAAGAAATGCAACGCTGTCTTAGGAGGTTGACGAGGACGTCCTATTATTGTTTCTCTGTTAAGCTCGAACTCAATGTTGAAATCATAGCATGACCAAGAACTTCAATTTCAAATTCAATCATTCATTTTTTGAAAAATGCAGCGGTTTCGGTGTGCATTGGGCTCCTTCGCCCTAGTCTCTAATGTTTGCTAAGCCAAATCTCAACGAAGATCATTTAAACACTGTTATACGCATATGTGTAAACGAGGACGATGAGGACGGGTCGGACATGGATAGTGTTCCAAGAGGAGCTCTCGAGGACTTGGAAGAACCCGGATCAGGTGATCCTGCAACTCCGGTCGCTGGCAGTGACAAAAAGCTTGTTGCAGTTGGCAGCAGAAGTGTTCCTAAGAAAAGACAAGCTGCGAATGCACCAGCAGGCCGTGGTGCTGTAGGCGGTGCGCTAGGCGTTGGTGGAGCGAAAAGCTCAGCTGTTGGTAGAAACGACAAAAAAGCAGACGCTGGTGGAAACTCAACGTCGATGCGGGCACGAGGTGCAAACGGCGGAGGCAAATACAAGAAGCTGGAGAGGCACGCATCGCTAAGCGACGTCATTAATGACGCGAAGAAAAATTATGTTGAGTCGCTCCTCGTAGTCCTTTTCATTGTTTCTCGATCGAGTTTCTGAAGAGTATATCTATATTATTAAGCGGAACAGGATTGTCTCGGGTATAAGGATGCGAAATACCTTGAAGAGATGAGGTGATGAAATGACATGACAACATGGCAAGAAAAAAAAATTGCAAATAATTGGAATTTCATCTTCTAGTCTACCTCTACCAACATCTAAATTTCGCAACGAGTGCTTGAGAACGATGGCTTGCAACGCGGTACGCAACCGGAAATGAGCCCCTTTCGGCTAGGACTAGGGCGCAAGATGACCGGCAAGGAAGAGCAACGGCGGAACCGAGCAAACTTCAAGCAGAGATTGGATTTTAATGAGGCTCCTGGCCTAAATCAGGAAGGGCCTCTCGAGCTCGTTTCGGCAACGGGAGGAGGCAGTAGACTGCTCTTCGACGAGGTAGAGGGACCGGTGGCGGGTGGAGCGAGTGCCGCTCATGCTCTAGATGACGACTTCACTATGCAAGACACAGCTTCGCGCGGTCCGGCTCGAAGGCTCTTTGGCGGTGATCAGTGTTCGCGAATGCCTCCCCCGTCCTCAACCGCGCGGCGCGGGCAACCAGGAAATAGTAGCTCCTCGAGACGAGTTGTTTTTCCAGAAGATGAAGAAGAGGACGACGACCAGGACGATGCTGCGAAGATGGCTCCGGGACAGGTCGGGCGGGCGAACCCTGACAGTGCGAGAAGCATGTTGGTACTTGCGGACGACGATAATTCGTCGCATCATCTCGGTTGTGCAGGCCGTCGAGCGGGCACACAGCGGGCAAACGTAGTCACGCAAAAAGACAAGAGAATGCAGCTGCGGGGAAACGTTCACTTGCATGGAGGGGAGAATGCGTTGGGTCTGAGGAACGACCTGCCCACTGCATCAAGTGCATCGTCGAGGGCTCCAGCAGCTACAAGCACTGGAAACCTCGTTCCCAATGGAGGCGGTGTTGATGAAGCAGGAGACAACTCAGTAGTCGGCAAAAAGAACAACTCGATGACTGCGACTGCTTCTGCAAAAGCCGGCGCTGGTACAACAAACGGAAGCAGCAGCAAGGCCGTGAACGCGCCGAGAGGAGGCAGAAACAAGTCAGGCGGAGGAGCCGCACCGCCAGAGACGCGAAGCGTCGACGCAGATCAAAAATATGCTGGATCAGGCCTCCCAATGAAAGACGCGCCATTACTTAAAGTGCAGAGTAGCGCTAAGGGAAAAACGTCTAAGGCCCAACAACAAGCCAGTGCTTTCCAACCTGCTGCAAGAGCAAGAACAGGCAGTGCATCTTCAGCGGCTAGCACTAGTGCGGCTGCTGTACTCAACGTAAAGGGAGGTGATAAGCCTAGCACCAACAGCATGAAGACGACCACATCAACGAAAAGCGTCGAAAACAAAACTGCGGGAAAGCAAGGAGACATAGCAGCTGGAGTAGTAAATATACCTCCGGTGATGCTTGATAAAAGTATACTTGACGACGATGAAGTAGACGATAGCAGCGCTGATGCAATAGGCGATAGCGCATCGATGCAGAGGCTCCCGACAACCACAAGTGGAGGCCCGGTAAGTCTTACAACCGCTGGCGCCGCTACTCTCAAGCGGCCACCTTCGCAGGACTGCTCACTTGTTGGCTCGTCACTGGGGACCCAAAACACCAACGCGTCAAAGCGCAGTAGGCGTGCTAAACAGTCGTAAAAACATAAAGCGCAGCAGGCGAGCTAAACAGTCGTAAAAACAGAATATTACTGATACATCCCTCTATCACTAAAGTAGGAAAAAGAATACAGTAAACCGTAATATCCTTTTCGAGTTATTGTTCATTCGGATACGCCCGTCGCTCTCGCTTCGTAATTTGAGACCTACAACTTATGCATTTTCTTCTTGTATCGGTTCATCATCAACATATTCCATTATTTCTTCTGTTCATGATGTTGTCCGTTGGAAAGATTGATAGATCTATTCTGGTTCGCTACTTCTTTGGAACACGACTGTATGCTTGGTAAGAAGGCACTGAATGTAAAAATTGTACTTGCAGCTACTTATGCTTTTTTTACTCGAGGTCGAGGCTGCCTGGCAGAGACATGATACCAGAATACGCGGTTGTCCTAATCGGATGATGTCGCCTTTGTTTTTCCAATAGCTTTGCTTTGTTTCCTATTGTTCCTAACCAAACAAGGGGGTTGATAATGAAAGACAACATGGGATAGATTCGTTGTTGTAAATCATTTGGTGATCATATATATTGCTTGGATCGATATCCATCTCTCAGTGTAATATGTCTCAGTGTAATATGTTTACGCCTGGACTTTCTTGTTGATGTCTGTACTTTCTACTTGCTATCGATAGTATCCACCGGTATAAAAGGTTTCATGCACTCTTGCCACGACAAGTGAAGGCAATGCCTGGCCCTGTGGAGTTTCGACCGGTTTAGTCGTATTAAGTATTCTGATCTTTCGTGTTGTCGATGTGGCAGCCATCCCCATCCTTCTTTTCGAAGGGAGGCACGTCCAGCATCGACTGCGATCCCAGTCGATTTTTTTGTTCTCTAACTTAGGATTAGGAACGAGATGAACGACGGTGTTCCCATATTCCAAATTCAATGTTAGTCCGCGTGTTTGCATCATGGTAAAAAAAATGACGAGAGAAGAGCAGTGAATAGTGAAAAAGTGAGCAGAGGGGAGCCACGTGTGTTGGGAGCCACGAGTGAGGGAGACAAGTAGATGTGAATCATGAAGAGTGAAAGTGATTCATATGTTCTAGTATCATAACTCAAGGAGCTGCGAGTAGATTAGCGCATATCTCGGTCCTTCTCCTTCAAGGACAACTGTGTAAAAATGAAACCGGCAAGAGTCTGTTCCCTTCAGTACTAAAATTCGACCCGCCCTGGTCCCTCCCGTGAAAAAGAGCGCGGTATTGTCAGCGCTTTACGTAAGTATGTCGAAAGGATTATTTTCTTGAGCTCCGAAAACACATAAAAAGCACCCTTTACTTAGCGTGAGTTCCAGAAAGATAAAACGCAAAAATGTAAAACTGCAAGAGCATCGATTTCGATTAGTGACCGTTGACGTAAAATGACAAAGCAGGCCGTAGTTAAGTACTTTGATACGGCCTTAACTAATTTGATGATGCAAGGCTCGCGACGTAATGGATAATGCTTGGGCGGGAGCGACAGAGTCAATAGCAGGAAAGATTTTCATAGATTCAGAAGAATATCGCTATCGGAGTCAGTTGTTAAAGATCAGAGTTGTCAGTCGTTCTTTATCAGTTTTTTTTTCCATTGTAGTTCTTCTTGCTATGTTGTTCTTGTTGATATCATCTTGACTCTCCGATCGATCTACTTGATTTTCGTATATATAATGTCCACTACCAAAATGTGGTAGTTTTTGAAATTATGCATGACTCAACTCGAAGCTGGCTGAGAGAGGTGAAGTGACCCAATTTTTGCGGACAACGCCGACCAAAGAAAGATCGGAATCGGCAGTCCGCAGGCTAGTTGAAAAGCGCACGCTGCCACATCGATTGAAAGCGCAGGGACTTTTTCGGGTGGCGAGCATTCGCTTGTCGAAAGAGATGAAGTCCGAATCGCACGAACGCAATCATGTTGGTTTGATGAACGAGTCTCTACAACATCTCTGTGGATACTACACAACTCAAGGGCGACGAAGGTAATGAGATAGAAAAAATGTCGCGAAGACGAAGATCTAAAAAGAGCGGTCCTGTGGGACTGCTGCGGCGTCCGCAAAACCGAGCTTTTTGCCCTTTTCGATGTGTACACATAAAATCGAGTTTTACAAGCGCGAGGTCTCTGTCATCTAGTATGATAGCGACTGCGAGCAGTGCGCCGCGCCGCAATTCCAGGAAGCGGCGCAGGTTCGCGACTTTTTCCGCTGGTGTTCGTACCCTGCTGGTTTCTCAACTCTACGCGACTACTACCGATGGCAATTCTGAGGTGGGACACGACACGGTGAGGGTGAGCGGTCCTCGGAGTGTTGTTCCAGCATCTTCGTTAAGTTCTGCATCTCCACCTTCCTCGAGCGCCCAGGACTATCATACTGCGAAAACAGTAGCAGGAGAACGTGCTAGGAGGTTTGACGTTGAAGGTCCAGCTGCAGCACCTAGTACGAAGACACGAGCGCCGGAAGAAGCAACTTCTGGATCAACTGTTGTTGTAGTACAACGTGCTGGAAGTGGTGCATCATCTTCAAAATCAAATGCACCTGCGGGATCATCTTCCTCTGACAATCCTCCATCGGACCTCTTCGGCGAAGGAGCGATATCTTCTCCGTCGACAACAGTTACAGTCGAACCTTCAGAGGACTTGAGGCACTCTAGAGAGAATGGTGGACACCGCCATCGCCGAGGTCCCTGGCCTGAATGGGCTGCCATACGGAATGCCGCCACGCACGAAGAATGGTCTGCGAAGACGGGCTTTCCAGCTTTGATAACACATGAATTCTGTTGGGAGCTAATGCAGCGCCGCCTCCTTCTACAATCCTCCAACATGGAGACTTCGTCTTCATCGAGTAGCAGTCGCGGTAATATTCACAAGATGAAACAGGGCTCAGACTCCGAGGTTGAAAGTCCTCCCAGTGGTGCTCGAGTTACAGCCTCAAGAACATCGTCTTCTAGTACTGGAGGAAGTGCAAGTGCCCTGACGTCCAGTAGTGGCTCCACCACGAACACGTATGCTGCAGACATATTAGGTCGACATTTGGACGAGGTGAAGGATGAGCAAACCTCGTCAGGAGCGAAGCAGAGCAGGGCACTCTCCGAAGGGGAAACTCAAGCTCGACGTCTAGAGGCTCAAGAGCACCGTGCAGCTGAGGCACAGCGTGCGTTCGACCGGCACGCGAAAAATCCTCGTGCCTTCCCCGCCGATTTTCGTGTGTCCCTCCAAAAGAACAGTCATGAAGATATCGTCGAGTCTTTGCGTCCGTACACGTCACTGGGGGAAGCCTGTGAAAAATATTCTGGTATGTTACCAGAAGCAGCAAAGTTATCCTACACACAGCGGCTCAAAATGGCACGCGGGATGATTCTGTCCGACTTGTTGGCGAAAAATAGGCACGCACATCGCGAGGCCGAGCAAGCGATGGAGCGAGACACAGACATACTAGAGCGCCGGCGCCAGCTCTCGTCGTTGCGGCGAGAACTCATAGTTGCCAGGCGGAGGTTAGCGGATATAGAAGGGAGTAGTACAGGAGGACCTGGCCCAGACGAAGAAGATATGACACGACGAACACCAGTACATGATGCGCAGGAGAAGAATACTCACGGAAGAAGAGACCACTCATCTGGAGAATCTGATGCCGCGAAAAATTCTGCTGTTAAGATGAGAGACATTGACAGTCTCGATGACCACCCATCTGTTGTGGCCGCGGCTCCACATCGTCCACCCTCTCACTCAAAAAGGGCTGCGCGCGACGTGCAAGCTTTAGAAAAAGAAGTGGTTGACGTTGAAAGAGTCCTGGAAGAGGAGGAAAGTCAGTTTCTAGAAGACCGGGCGGTGCCTTTTGTCAAACTAAAGTTGGACCCCACCGTGGTTGAGGCGCAACAGGTGGCAGAGAAACGCGATCGGATGCAACTACTCTACAAAAAATGGCAGGAAGACCGGGATTATTTCCTACGAAGTGGTGTTCGTGTTGGGGCCGACAGGAAGCTTGGCCGTAGGAAAACGGGGGTTTCTACTCAAGAAGATCTTGGTAGCAGTGATACTACCTCTAGGAGCCATGGTGGAGAAGGAGATCATGAGCAGGAACTAGGCGACCCAGAAGGTCGTCGGCGAGCTGCATCACAGGAAATGCCTACCACGACAAGCAGCGACGCGGGCGAAATGCTGGATCGTATGCGGCGGGCACTGAACGACTCAGCGGAAGTGGGCACGAGGATGCTTGAATGGGCGTCGGGTGCCGTGGTGGAGGCTGCAAGTCAGACTGCAAGTTACGTGCGAAAACGGATACTGAACTTTCTGACGGGTGACCAAGCAGCGCACGAGGATGATCCAAATTCAAGAACACATCATTATCCTGATGATCATGAAGAGCCGTCGCAAAACGCCGCGATACATTCAATAATTTCTTTAGACGACGACGCCTCGGCTGCGGCGGTGATATCAGCTAGCGGAGACGCAGCTAACAGAGACGACTGGAATGTGGACATGGATACTTTGTTTAGCGTAAACCATGATGGTGAATTTTTTGTCCCACCGGATTTGGAAAAACAGCTCCGCACTCACTATCGAGGTAAACGCAAGCTGCTCAACTACGGAGGACCGAATTGTATGATGCCACTCATTGAGAACAAAGATAAGGGAATCGAATATCGTTCTTAAGTAAGTAGAAAAAGCGGGAGCGAGAGCGACACTCCCTCCCCTATCGACGTTCTCAATAAGTGGAAGCATTCACTAACGCGACCGCTTTCTCTTTGTCGGGCAGAAGTTCCATTTCGCCAACTTCCACTGCATCAAGAGGTTTGCAATCCGGCGATGTTCGAATCATTGGAGTTGTGAACAGCATGCCAAATCAAACTTTGGTGAAACTACTGCAGCTGCAGAACGAAGTCTATGGGGCCAACGAAGTGCCGATTCTGAACCGCATTCCTCTGTCGGAGCTGCTCGTGGACGATGATAGCGATACAAATGATCCACAGTTATGATCGCAGACTCTTTTTTAGTGTAGATGTAGGGCCACATCCTCTACTAGGCATCGATAATGGGCCTCAGAGATGTAGGCTGTGTAAGTATGTACGCAACTGATGCATGTTAGTTGTAGTTGTTCTTTCTTTTTTTCACGAGGTGGTCGGGTGGAGCTGACAGTTGAAAATAAGTACCTAAGCAACTCTCGCTCTAAGTTTTCTGCAAGCCGACGACAACCCGCACTTGACGTCTTTCGCCGTGTATAATTTCCAGAGTAAGAGCAATTTGGTGCTGCATCAGCGCCGCGGCTCGCTGTTCCTCTATGACATCGATAGTGGAACCAACGACGACGTGCCACGTGGAGCGGACTTCAACGAAGTCCTTGCGCCAAGCATGCGGTTTCGCTTTCACTCTTGCAAAGAGAACAACGCCTTCTGCCACGTGCAATCTTCCTGTTACATAGACCGCGGCATCGTCGTTTTAGATCGCCATCGTGTGCAGATCGTCCGCTATGTGTGGACCAATTACGAAGGACAAGACCGAATCTACGACAAGACCGTTGAGGACATGGTCCTCCGCATGCCCCAGTTGAACATCTTCGGCCAAGTCGACATCGCGGGTGGAGGATCCACGGGTACTAGGAGGAATCAACTATTCGCATTGCCTTCTACTATAAATTCGTATGCTTCGTTTATTTGCGTGTTGTCAGTCATTTTAAGTTTGAGTATGAACAACGTTGAACAACCTCGGAGTCGAGCAGGTGCCGGTGGGGCTCGATGTGCAGGGTCCAGAAGCTAACCTAACCAACCTCAGCGTGATACTAACCTCAAACGAACCAAATCAACCAGGCGTTCGGTCTCCTGGAGCAGTCGTTCGGTATCAAGCGTACTCATCTACGATTTTCACCATTCCTAGCGACGACGGTTTTACCAAAGGGCACAACATAACGAGTCCGGACTTTCAGTTTGCAGGAAATCCCTTCCTGTTTGTCGCTGATACGGGTACTGTTTTTATGTCAGCTGACATGTGAGTAGAGTCTGATGATAGATAATAAATAGACTGTTAGTTAGAAGGCTTAGGTCACGACTCATTCCACCTCTGTCCTGTCGTCAGATTCAGAATTCCCTTGATGCCAATGATGAAAGCATCGTCGTGCTGCAGATGATCATAATGATCTTTTTTAAGATTTTTCCACGACCCGATAGCCATTGTCTTTGTCATACAACCACAATGTTACGCCTCTATGCATAGGTAACAATCGGTTGGTGATTTTCAACGTGACTGGTGCCGAAACTTTCGAGTTTTATGAGGAGTACCGGATGAGCATGAGTCTGAAGCCCGCACCGGAGTTCAATCAGCCTGTTGCGCTTGCGCTTTTCTTGCCTGGTTTCGAGTACAAGGAAGAGCCAATCTTTGCTAACCTTTTGGTAGCAGACAGAAACAATCATCGAATTCTGAAATTGGACTTCGGTTACTACCAGTACACGCAGAAGTACAACTTTACGGTATACGATGACTTCGGCTTCATAGACCGCATCGAGGAACGGACGCACCTGTATCGATTATTCAACCGTGGGCCGTATTTGGAATACAGCTCCCAACTAGGAAACGAGAACGCGATTGGGTCATTCTCTCAGGGTCTGCTGACGGAGCCGATAAGTACAACCGCTAGAATGCTCTAGTTCTGCTTCTGCAGAAACACCGATGTTGTGAACATTTGGATGCTTACTCTGTTTCAGCACATTTTATTGATTCCCAGTACGCCTACGCTCACATTGTTTTATTATTTTCAAACAAATTTAGGAAGGCATTCAGACGTTCTTAGTTTGAATGTAACACCTTGTTCGACCTCCTCACGACCAGGTGTCCAGACGTATCGTCACTACATGTTCGTGTTGCAGAGTTCTAGCGACGAGGTAGGCGTTTTTACGATGAACTACAATGACACGCGGACGTTCATGTTTGTGACGAAATTCACGAATGACCGAAAAATAGAATACGGCATCGGCGTATCCTTCAACGGTTACCTTTGGTTGGCGCAGCAGGAAGCACGCAAGGCGTCCTTCGAGAAGGACGTCGCGGTCTTTCAACTGCCGCGAGACTTGAGGGAGGGCACGTACCCGGAAAAGATCAGCGATTTGCGCTCGCAATGCGTCGACGCGGACTTTTACAACCAAACCGTGATGTCAGATCCAGAAGAGTTTTTCCGCGTCGTAACGAGTGCGCTCAATCTCAGTGGTTTGCAGTACTTCTCGCCAAACGGAACCGGCAGTTACATGGACTACAACCTATTCAATCTGTCACGCACGGATCTGAGCGTGTTCACGCACCAGACCGCTCTCGCGCCGACAACAGCGCTTGATATGCCGGCGCAAGCAGGCTTCAACTTTGCCCTATGGAACGCAACGATCTACTTCGGGCTCATGGCGTTCTGTGAGGTACAATGATCAAAGTGATCATAGTTCTTGCTCTTGGTTCTCTATTTTAAGATTTGAATGTCATTCACCACATTCTACAGTGCAGTAGAACTTTTAGTCCACCTTTCTTCGGAACTCACATTCAGAGTTATGTCAAACATCCTCCTTAGACATAGACAACTGGAATTTTTGTGATCATTCTTTCTTGAAATTTTAGGTCTTCATACCTACACCACCACCTATGCTGTTCGGTGGAACGACCGGATGGACAAGTGCAGATGGAAGTGCCTTGCAGAGCTGGGATATCAGTGCCTCGTATCGAAAGACTGGCTTTCCAACTAGTGGAATACTGTGGACTAGTGGAATATTGGGTATCTTCGCAGTTATACCTTACCTGCTTTCATCCCTCAACTTCAACAGTCCCCTTGCAGACTCTATAATCAGCAATCATAGGAGGCTGGTGAGGTGATCCGCGCGCGGTCAGGTGCTGTTTCTCAAGAGCTGTGCCCGTGCCCCTCTTCAGTTATATAAGTGACCCGGTGTGGAAGATAAGCTTCTGATGCAAATCACAACAAAATCTTAATGAAGATTCCCTTTGCTTTTCTCATCGATGAACCCAAACAACGACAACGAGAGTCCACCTTAGTGTTGTCGAAAACTGACGCGATAAGCGACGAAGTAAACGCGAAATTGAAGATTCCAATTGTTTACTTAGTTCCACTGACTGTGACTTTGACGAAGAGTGACTTGGAAGAAAGATGAAGCCGAAACTAGTACTAGTGGTCAATTTAAGACGCCCACCTCGACCTGACACTTGAAACAAGCTGAAACAGCATCATGCTTTGAAAGAAGACGATCGTGTTCCTCCTGCTCGTCGAATTATATGAGACTGCAACTACGGTGCCGCGTGGTCGTTTATAAAAATCAAATTGTCGGTTCTCGTAACAAGATGAAAAGACAGCACTCCTGTCCTTGGTATTGAGGACGTCTGTGTAGTATCCACAGGGGGGCTGAAGTCCGCTCTTATATGATACGGCCAAGTCATTGATAGAAGTTAAAAACAGTTATAGTGATGAAAAGATTGTAATCAACAGACGAATACGATGAATCAAGATTCTTTATCTTTTGGAAGAAGATCTGTGTTGGAAGCTCTTGGTTCCTCGTGTCAATGTCGGTGATTCCTTCCAACAAGAAAGTCACCATCAATCCTGGAGGCAGGCTGACACAAACGCAGAAATGCCGAAAAGCAAAGAATCCAAATAAGTAGATGTAAAAATGGAAAACCAGGGTGAACAGGTCTGCATTTATTTGTTGTCGTGACCAGTGTGGGCTGAATAGAAATGCTACGTAGGTACTACACAATGATCTTCTATCCCATTAATTATGGTAAAACCTCCATGTCGATTTGTGACAGCGACAGGTACTTCTAGGATTAGGTTTCGTTTGTGGTGATAATCTCGCATGTTTCTTTTCGTTCCGTCGTTCTATGAACGGAATATTACCAAGTGGAGAAGCATCATCGAGATGAATTGTAGCGATTTTTCTTGTTGACGTCATCGATGTACTTAACTACTGCTTGGCAGAGATAAATAAAGCTAGGGCTTTGGAAAAAGCTAGGGCTTTGGACGGTGATGGTAGTTTTAAGTACCCTTGTCCCGTTCAAAATCAGACATCACACGTCTCGTCCCCGAAGAAATTTCAATTTGTTTTTCCAGTTTCATCTCTTTCATTATTTTCCAAAAAAACGCATGTAACAACAGGGGTCGCTGATGTGTGTAGATTTCCTCGGACTTAATTATGCTTGTACGAGTACCTGAGCAGGGTGGATTTCAATTTAGTAAAAGAGTGCCTGTTCTTGTTCCTTGGTCAGCCTTACAACTTAGGTCTACGACTGGATTTTCGATGTATAGTATTCATTGCCAATGAATGTCCTTGCCCAATAAAAATTCCAAAGACAATAGTTATTAAGCCACTAGACGATTGCTTTCATAGATAGCTCCTGCACAGACCAGAAGCTGCTGGTACTGAGTTCTATTTGATTGCTGTTACATTATCATTCTAAGCAAGTTTACCTTCAGTCCGTAGATCGTAACAGAGATGAGTAATTGTTAGCGAATATGGCATCCGTTCTCCTTCTCTGACGTGCTGGTCGGGCGGCCTCGATGGATTCTACAGAGCATATCCATATTAGCAGCGCCTTCTTCAATCAGAGAGTCTCTGGAGAAGAGTCACCGACCTGCGCGACCTCCAATTCACAGCGAGTGACCCGTATTGTCGCCAAACATGACTCGCAGTGACTAAGCAGCCCGCTTAATATCGCATTTTGAATGTTGCCTTGTTTTCCTGCAAAACCACAAACGATTAGTGCTGGAAAGTAGGACTGCCTTGAACGAGAAGATATCGATGAAGCATTTTTTGGGTTGAAAGATAAAATAAGATACCACCACCACCTCTGCTGCAAGTGCAAGTAAATTAGTGCGATTTTTACAACGACGACTATAAGTACACGCAGGTAGACCTCTACTTACAGTTACAACTCTACGTGTACTTTGTTTTTCCCGGCGGCGCCGTCTCTCTTCTGCCATCAAGTTCTGTACTTGCTCGAAGTTCAACATCTTCTTGTTCCCCATTTCGTTTTCATTCTTGTCAACTACTGGTTGCATTCTCCGACTTCGATAAGACAAAAAAGATCAACAAGATGGCTGAGGCACCTAAGCAAGATGTGGGGAACATTTCGCAACTCGTCCAGCCCATCGTGGCACGAGGTCCTAAGGCCATCGACGAATTGCTCTCGCTGCCTGAGCATGTGCGACACTCGCTGGACTCCGTCACGGTAAAAATATTCCTCGATCTAATATCGATTGTTCAGTAGCGGCTCAGTCATCGTCAAACGTCGTGAGTTGTATGAATGTGTAGAAGTTGCGACATTCAGTCTGTTACCTCTTCAAGTTGAGCAGCCTAGACTAATACCAACTCGCAACATCCTGTTTCTGAATACCTTTATACAACAGATCTTGATCCATAAATTGGGTCAATATCCTGCTGAAGATCAGGAGAAGCTGATGGTTGCTTTCCCAAGTTTGCGCCTCCAAGTGCTGCCCGAAGCCATCAATATGATCGTGAACTTGCTAAACACATGGCTCACAGAAAACGATCTTGGCGTGATCACTGTAGAAAACCGGCTGAAGTTACGATTGCAGGTCAACTTTGATAGAAGAAAATCATCCTCAGTTTGATGTTACTTCCACGACATCCGTTTATCATACTACTTGACGAATTCTTTGCTTCCATTCCTGAGAAGGTGAGACCACAACTACTGATTCAGCTCGACTTGTTAGTCTTCCCATTACTCATCCCTCAACTTCTTGTTCTTCGTTCTCTACAAACAAGATAAGCATAGCGAAAAGCATTCCCCACAGCCACAAACCATATAAGTAGTATTGCTCTAAGGTCGAAGCTGAGTGAGCTGCTCCGGAGTGTGCACAGCAGCCCTTTGCTTCCTTGGGTGAAGATGGAAGCCAGCGTGGAGAAGAAGGTCCAATTTCTTTTCGCTCTCGGCACCTGCATTACGCTCGCAACTTCGGGTCCCGACTCAGGCGCAAGCTCTTCAAGTGGCATTAAGGCTGTTCCCCTAAAACGAATCTCCCAGTTCTGTCCTCCTAATCTCTCAGTGAGTGCTACTCCTATTTACAAGATGAGAGGCATCCATCGATCCTAGTTGTAGAGTGAGCGGGGACGTCGTTTCCTAGGTGAAAGATGTAGATGGTCTTCTATCTACTAGGAGTCGGATGTAGTAACAAGTAGGATCTCTCTCCTCTCGAGACGGAAACAACTCCGGAGGGGAATTTCTAGGGCGTTCTTGATCTCGTCTAAATCTAATGGTAGCAAGGACACGGCTAGTGGCTTCTTCGCTTCGAACATGGCGGAGATGCGGCGCGAGATGAAGCGATCCGTCCACCTGCAAACGTGGTGCCAGCGCTTGATGACGAGTTTTTTCGGTGTGCCTGGTAAGTCGAACGCATTCGTGGTGGATACGTGGATCACGGCAAGGAGGAATAGAAGCTACAAGCTGTGGAAACTGGCACTAGAAGAGATTCAGCAAATGCCCGGACCCAAGGATAAGATTAAGAATCTATGCCTAAAAGCGTTCGACCCAGACGATCAAGAGGCGCATCAATTCAAGCCACCAGGAAAGCCAACCATGATCAAACTGGTACCATTTATTTGTAGTTCTTGTAGAAGAAGTAGAAGTAGAAGTAATACATAGTATCCCTACCTGTACCTCCTGAAGGTGAAGGGTAGGATTTTTTTCTAGATTAACATTGAGTCAGCGACTAGCTACTACTTCCAACACTACAGCCAACACTAAAAACCAATCAATACTAGGTCAAGGGTGAGAAAAACATCATCTTCAAACGCTTCCTGAGCGTTGTAAGCGAGGCGTGTGCGGACAAGCCATGTAAAGGATTTTTTAAGAACTACTTAGAAGAGCTGCCGCTTTATTCGATCGACCTCTCCAGTTTCGTCAAGCTGATTATGCAGGTACGACTCCTATTCAGTGGCAGTAGGCAGCGTTATGAGCTATACTACCTAGATAATCAGACTTCGACTAATAACTTCATTATTCCCGTAGTTTTAGGATTTTTGGGTTTCTGCTTTTCAGCGTCTGTCCATGTCCTGGGTCTATTGCTGCAGTATCTACTTACTCTACATGAGCACTTAATGATTGATTGCCACTTTTTATTTAATGTAGTGATCCACGTTAGTAGTATTAGCAAAAATGGTTTGAAATGTAAACGGATTCAATTTTGCAGGTCGTCGATAGAAAACAGGAGCTTTTCAAGCTAGAAAAAATGGACGATGGGCATTATCTGATTCTTACAAGGTCGGGACAAGAACAACTCCGCACTCAGGTCTTGGGCGTTAAGGATCAGAATAAGGTACTTATGCGCACCAGCCTTTTTGCCCTCGTATATGGATGATTATTTTGTAATCTCTTCGTTCGTTGTCCGTGATGATCATGCTGGAAAGGTTTTCCTGCTCATCCTCCCTTACTGCTTGTATTCAGGAGACAGAAAAGAATCGAGAATCAATAAGACATAGACCATGACAATTTCTCCAAGAACTACCTTGAAACTACATGATCAGGAGTTAACGATACCCAAGTGGATAATTGATTACATTGAGAAGCTCGGAGTAGCTCCGCAAGTCTTTTATTCCAAAGACAAGGGAAAGCAGCGCTTAATTGTGGAGTCAATATGCAAGCAAAAAGGCAAACGCATTGAAGACCTGCAGACAGCACCCGAAGGAAAAGGACCGGTACTATTTCCGCTTAGATAAGCTGTAGTTTATTTCATCATCAGAATCTGGGAAGATGCCCGATGGAGGGTTTATCCAACCTAGTGAGTTCGGTCTACTAGAAGTTTTAGCTGCTGCTGCTCATGAAGTATCCTCACCTGTTATAAGGCCAACGAATATCGCCCTTACTCTTCTTCATCTGCCGTAAATTTCACACCAGCTGGAGGCGAATGCCCAGTTTGCTCAGCAAGTGCGAAAGCTCGTTATCGAGATGAAGGGGAAAGGAAATCAAGCAGGAGTGCAGGATTTGAAAGGACGCCTGGCTCAGAAAGGTCTAAATCTCTTCGAGATCCTTCAAGCGAGCAACCAGACACCCGCTGCGTCCTCCTCTGCGGCCTCATCTTCGACCAAAGGAAACGAGAATCCAGAGGAACAAAGAAAAATTAACGTACTTTTTACGGAGTGGTTACCCCCTACGAAGAGAACTGGGGCTGGGCACAGTTTCTTTGTTCTCTTAGTTACTTGTTTTTATCTTCTTTCTTGTTCTCCATTTTCATATCCGGGGCCCTTATCTTGCGCAGCGGAAAAGATGAAACAATCCACGCTTTCGCATAGACGAGGACTTCAAGATATGATCAACTTCTACATTGACAGGTTGTGCTCGCTCTGAAGAACAAGGGTAAGAGCAAGGAAGAGATTACAGAAATTTTGCCGAAGATATTGGCAAACGAGACAGCAATTAATGCTCTTCTGAAGAACGAGAGGATGCCAGATGGTAGCGATCCCGCAGACCCTGATGGCACTGCGGCAGCAGCTGCGGCTGCCGCACCGGCGAAGCCTATATTGGGCGGAACAAAGTTCCAGATGAGTCTGGGAGGTGGCGGCACTACCAATTCTGCGGCGGGAGCTGGACCGACCGGCTCCCCCACGACCTCTAACGCGTTAAACGGGCAGCAGCAGAATCCGTTGCAGCCGCAACTGCAAGCAGGCGGCGCGGTGTCGTCAACAGGACCGACTGGCGGAGCAGGCATGATGCAGACGCCTGGTGGGCAACCCTCAATGGGCCCCGGAGGCGCAATGACGGTGCAACCGGGGGCGTTGATGGCGCCTCAGGGGACCGAGCAAGTAGCGGCCACGGTGAATCCGTACGCTGCCTACGGTTCTATGGCCGCCGGGGGCTCGTCCAGTAGTACGGGGCCGAACAATGGGATGAACATGGCTGGAGGCCCAGGGGCCGCACCAAACTCAATAATGGGAGGTGTGGCTGGCGGTGTGCCACCCTTAGCAATGAATGGCGGTGCTGCTCCAGGCGCAGGTACTGCAATAGGAGGAGCTCCAGGAGGTGGCATGATGAATCCCAGTGGCATGTCGATCAACTTGCAACCTGGAGGAGGCGGACGAGCACCCCTAGACTCACCAAGGGGGACCTCCGCGGTATCGTCCTCCAGTAGTAACGACAATCTGAGAACGGGCGCAGGCGCGAGCATGGATGGCGGAGGCGTGCCAGCGAAAAAAGAAATGAAGCTAGAGAACATCTTCGACCTAGCGGGTAAAGGCGGAGACGACGACAACCCAACGACAGGCGTAGCAAAGAAGAAGCTTACCTTGAACAAAGTCGGAGGCGCGATGTGGCCATTCGCGCCCATCGGCGGAGATTCAGCAGCATCTTCCTCTAAAGTCACGAACCAAGTGGTCTTTAAGAAGAAAAGAAAAATCCAATGGGGCAATCAGGCCTTTCTTCGAGCCATCGTTGGAGCAGGGATTTCGGTAGATTTTGAAATTAGACTTTTGAAAATTTGTGGAGAAAGTTGTCAGTGGGTTGCACAGGAAGGCGTCCTCCGTACAACAAGCATGTGCTAAGTGCTGTGTTTATTCAACTGGTACGATTGCAATTACATTACCGACGCACCAGTAGAAGTTTCTTTCTCGTCTTGATTTTGCTCATCATCGTCTGATATGATTACAACCCTTTGATAGGCCGGTGACGTCGCTTGGTCGCGGGAGTGGCACGGTGCCTTGTCAGCGGCGCAAGATCCTATGGCGCCTATGCCGACCTCCGTGATGGACGCGCCTGCTGGTTTTGTCCAGTCTTTTGTCGAGCGACACTTGTTCGAGGCCTATCGTGCGGAGTGGGGCAAGGAGCTGCTATATTTTAAGGCTTGCCCAATTAATTTTGATTGTTGAACAATTAGAATTTCATCAAAATTTGATTTTGAATTTTTGAGGTGAGAAGCATCTTTGGCTGAACCCCTGTTTTCTAGAAGGAAACACGTGGTCCTCCGCAGAGATGACACCAGACCATTTTTGACTAATGAGGAGAATTTTGGCAACAAGCTCTAATTATTTAGGTCCCAATGAGCCTGACGACGCACCACCACCCATGCGCTTGTTGCAGAACTACGTGGATCGACAACAGTTCCGCGAAGAGAGTGACTCTGAACAGGAAGAGCGGAAACCTAGTGCCAGGAGTGCCAATAGCAGTCGCAGTGAACCTGCAGCACCAGGCTATTCACAAGCGGGAGGAGCGACCAGCAGCACCACGGCGAAGCCAGTCGACGGCGGCGACTCCCTCACAAGTGCGGGAATGATCGCGGGAGGTCCAAACGCCGACGATGCGTCCGCAGCAGGTGTGGCATACCAGCAAACAGGAAGCGGGCATAGGTACTTTCAAAGCAAAATTTTTTCTTTCTCTCTCATTTTTACAACTTCTTCTAGATTATTCAAGAAAAACAAAGAGTTGTAATCTCTGACTTTCTTCATTAACAAGGAATGAATTTTGATTTCAAGAAGTAGAAGATGAAGAAACATACATCTTCTATTTCGAAGGCGCGGAGTGGGAATCGCGACCAACCGTCTTGGAAACGTCGGAATGATGGTGACAATAGGAAGACCAGAGCCACCAGGGAATACCGATCAAACAGTTGCCAATATGCAAGTTGTATATATGGAGGGTGCGAACATGACTGGGTACTAATGCTTAATTTCGTGTCTACTTCAGGCTACTTGTGTTGGGTTTCTTTCTGAAGTATTGTATTTCGGATCAAAGAAATAATAGAATAATTCATAGAAGGGATGTAGGATGGACTTGGATGGATCGGATGGACCCCCTAAGTCTTCCGATCCTACTGGAAATGATGGGAAGCCCAGCCGATCCATCCGATCCATCCCATCCTGGATCTGGCACCCCTATGAATTATTCTAGAATAATAATATTTATATTGCCTAGTATGCCTTCGTGGTCGAACAATGAATTCAAATTCATTTTCAATGAATGATATAATTGATACAAATACAAGCTTTACCGACGGAGTTCCACCTGTCCCCGGTTCTGCTGAAGAAACGAGCCTTATGGAGAGGCGGAAGAAAATTCTCGCAAAGTTGAGACATCGACGAGACAAGCGGCAGCGCGAATATGAGAGCAATTCTGACGACAACAAGGAAAAAGCCTCTGAAAAGAGGGATAAGAAGAAAAATCGGAAGCGGATTCACCTCAATATGCTAGGATTCAGCGACCAAGACGACCACAACTCAACAACAGATGAGGTATGAATGATCAATTATTCAGGTTTCTTGTGTTCCTCAAGTTAGTACTTTTAGTGGCTTTCCTGGCTTGGTACAATTCCTGATTGTACTACAGAAATGAAGAAGAATCAGATTGCTGAAACGAGATTTCTATTCCTTGATTCAATCAATATCAAACGATGGATTTCTCAGGATACCTTGATGGGCGACGGACCGACTTATCACTGGAAGACAAGGATATGCTACTCTTACGAGCATGGACGATGCGAAAAGGGTAAAGCGTGTCATTTTGCGCATTCGGAGAAGGAGTTAAAGCAACCAGGACAGGCAAGGCTTGAGTGGGAAGAAAAGCTTAAGAAACGCGGAGTCACGCCGCCAAGCTTGATGCCACAAGGAGGTACGAATTTTATGTTTTTCACAAGCTACTGCACTTTACGTGGTACCTGGTACTTGTGCGTAGATGAACTACCTAGTTGGAAGTGTAACGTGGTCCTCTGCCACGTCCTCTTCAATTTCGATGAAAGAAAGAAATTTATATTAACTTTGAACTTCATCGTTCTTCAGCTCTCTCCGGCGCAGCGACGAGTGACGGTCTAGTGACAATAGAGCAAGCGATGATGGGCTACGTAGACCCTTGGACTGGGATGACCGCCTACGGAAAAAAGGGCTTCAAAGGCGGGAAGAAGGGCATGCCTTTCCCAGCATCCTGGAGCGGTGGAAAGAAGGGCGCACCTCCATCAGCCATGATGTTTGGAGCAGGAGGTGGGATGCACGCGTCTTCGTCTGCAGGCAGCAGCGACGCCTTTTCCGCCTTTACTGCGCCACCAGAGCAAGTTCCGGGAGGCGCCTTTATCGGTCCTGGACCAGGGATGCTGCCGGGAACAGGCACCGCGCTGATGGGTGCTCCGCCAGGAACGGATGGCGCTGCCGGCAGCAGCAGGAACGACCCCTTTTCTGAAGCGAAAATCAAGGAGAAGAAGGAGAAAAAAGAAAAGAAAAAGGAGAAGAAAGAGAAGAAAAAGAAAAAAGACATCGACGACGAAGATTTATGAAGAACAAGATACCGACTCGAGACCAGAACATCAAAAGCCTATGGTCTAGTCGATTCGCCCTTGTCCATGTCCTTGCTGCTGAACTACACCAGATTGTCCTCAATCCCTACTCTAATCGATGTATACAGGCGGTGTTTTAGTTGTGACAATGTGTGGGTTTTTATACGTGTGTAAAACCTGCGAAAAATCTTAATCTTTCAATAAATTGTAATTGATGTATTTTCCACCTAAAATAATGAAAGCGCAATATAGCGATGCTGCATTACCCCTCACTCCATTGCTCTATAACGCTGTCTCTAATATGTAGAGGTACTTCACCAGGAGGTACTTAGTCAGTACGTGCACCACTCCTGCTCTCCTCAACAATAATAAGTAATTCCTGGTGCTGTCCGTGACTTTTTCATGTTCATCGATTCTGCTCTTGATATTCGCTTATGCAATGTCCTCTATATTGCAGCAACATGATCTCTCCTTCGTTAGACTTAGAGCAACATACTAGATTCTTGGATTGTTCATCGTCTACTTCTCTGAGATTTTGTCCGATACGCAGACGCCAGGCGCCCGCACGCCTTCCTCCCTTTTCTCACCCTTTGATTCCGGCCTTTCCCACCCGGTCGGACAGATTCATATTTCTCCCTCACGCGTCACACATTTTTTACTACTGCAGTTTGGGTTCAGATGGTCCAGGCACGTGATCTTAAAACAGGTTAAGGTTTTCGAAATGAAATTAGCCAGTAGTCCATGCGCAACTACTAGAACCGCTTTGAGCAGCACCACGAATAACATGTTGTAAGTACTATCATATGTCGAGGTGTGTTCGGGGGTACTAGCAAGAGCATCAATGTCAACAATAAATCATCGGATCTGACTGCTCGTGCCTTTAGGCATGCACTGTTCTTATCACGTTTTTCTACTGAGTCCACACGACTGCACTCGAGAGAAGCTTCAAGTGTCATCATGACTGAGACGAGTGGACTCCTTCAAACAACGAGTGAAATCCTCAAACTAAAGAGTGGACTGCCAGGGGGAAGCAAAAAAGGTGGAACCTGCCAGGGCCAGTATAGCTATCAGAAAGAACTTTCTGTTAATGAATAATAAATATGCGTTATTGTGGTCCTTTCAGCAACGTCGATGAATGCCAAAATGTATGAGTATGTCAATGAGCTAGGTCTTGCTTATACCAAGTAACAACCTTGCTGCACTCTCGGACTTGGTTTCTATGGTCATCATCATGTGGTTACTGGTTTCTCGTCCATTACGTGAATTTTTCGAGCGTGTAGAGGACAGTAGGACACCTAAGAAAAGGGGGCGCCAGGTGCTTACACATGACGATGACATGTTGAAGGATTACGACAAGAGAAAGAATTAGGAAAAGAAGCTTCCTGGCTGTACTAGCATATTGTAATTTATAATAATTCATGCGTAGAGAAGGCGCAAAGTCTCGAGAATGTACTCAATCGAATAGATGATGCGGCATCTTCGTCCTTCTCCAGAGTTATATATAAAAGTAGTCAAAAGTAGAAGGGCAAGAACAAGATGATTCTTCAAGGGTGTTCGCATCTTTTATACAAGAATGATTTGATAAGTTAGCGTTGAGGAAAAAGACAACCAGTTTTGGAAAAAAGAAGACAATTTCTTCTACCGCTCTGGCGCTTAACGTGCAGAGCTTCGGAGGCAGCAACTTTGAAATAAAAATCTAAATCTTCAATATAAATAAGAAAGTTTCCAAAAAATACTTTTGGACAAAAGGGGGCCATGCTTATCTTCTTGTTGTTACAACTCGAATTCTTGAACTGCATAGAAGTTTCAGAGAGATATTTTTCGGAAGAAAGGTTCGCCGAGTTTCAAGATGAAATTGTGGAGGTGCTTCTAAGCTGGTGAGACTCCTGTAGACTGAGTTGTGCTGAAAGAAATCGAGTCGAAAATGCGTTCATTATCAGCAAGGAAAAACGACCTATCTGCTTTTTTAATGCCTGACACGGGCCAGATCCAGAACAACTATGACATCTTCTCTTCTATGCTCCCTCGTGCTGAAGGCATTTCATCCACCAAAGTCAATCTTGAGGAGATGTAAAAGGCGCACAATAAAGCGATGATCTCGTTTTTCCTTCTCTTGTTCAATTTTGTAGAACTATGGTCTGGTACTAGTATTCGCTCGTCCCGGACCTCGTGCGGAGCAGGCAGTCTTTTTAGGGGACCATTTCAGCCTCACCAGTTTGTAGAAGGCGTTCGAATATTAAAAAGCACCGCGGCGGATGGCCGCCAGCGCCATTCTGTGGCTGCAGGAGAAGATCATGACGAGCCTGAGCAAGAAAATCATGTTGTACGTCGACAGAGCGGCTCCGCGAACTCACAGGAGTACGATGATTTGCTTGCATCGTGGCTGCTTCCGCGCTTTCACAAGCTCATGCGACAGGTCCTTGTTGCGCGAGGCTTACCGACGTCGGCCGTATTTCAGGAGGGTCCTGTTGTTCCTATCGTGAAAACTTCTAGTTCTACGAGAAGTCCTAGTACAGTGTCGACAGTTTCTACGGTCGGAAAGGACATCATCAACTTCCACGGCCGCACACAGTACCAGCACACGCACGAGGAAAAAAAGCAACCTGCGAGGAAGATCAACAAGACATTCTCAACCTTTGAAGGAGAAGACCTCCACAAAAAGCCGTCTCTGATAGTGGGGATAAAGACTGCAGCCAGCTGGTCTGAAAGTCGAAAAGTTCACCGCGATACGTGGATGCGAATGGGGTCATTGTGCATGAGCCAGCAGAAGGTCGCGCCGGGGAAGGTCACTGCACGCTTCATGATTACCGAGCACGAACTAGCAGCTCTTATGGCTGAACAAAAGTCAACTTTTATTGAAATTCACCAAACTATAATTGGATTATATTGCTCCTTGTTTGTCAACGTCGCGGAGAAGCGTCGTACTGCACTGAAACTAGTAACGGTCGTCGTATTCGTCGTGTTTGTGTTACGTTGAAACTACTGGCCGTTTCAGACTTCTTCTTTGTCTTCGTAACTTAGCTCGAAAGCCATCTTCTGTTTTTTCTGCTAATGTTTAAGAAAAGCAATCAGATACAGATGATGGCGTCGATCTTAGAGCCGAGCAGAAGGAGCATGGAGATCTAGTTTTCCTCGATGCTGCGAAGTTGCGGGATGAGATTCATCCAGCCTTTTCCGAGGACAAGATAAAGTTAAGCGTACCAGTGCTATTGATTACATTTTTATCTCGCGTCAGACACCAGGTATTGCCCTGAATAATCCCCCCTGATTTATTCAAGGGGAATTCATGCAGGGAAAAAAAGGAAACTACTCACTCAACCATGGATCTCTTCGATATGGATATTCATGATTTATAATAGTACTAGTCCTCGTGCTACCTACCTGCTTTAATGAAGACCTTCGCGTTTCTACGACTTGCTGACGATGAAGCGAACGAGGTATCGAAAGCAACCTTTGTCGCGAAAATGGACATGGATACGTTCATCTCGCCATGCGACCTACTCGCGGACATGCAGGCCGCGGGTGCGTGGTCTAAGAACTCAAGCAAAAGAGATCCACAAGAAGAGGAACACTCCCCAGAATCAACAACTACACGAAAAAGTGCAGCTGGTGCAGCAAGAAAAATGAATCAAATAAACGCTGTGCAACATCAACGAGATGTTGAAATAAAACAAAAAGAAAAAAGAAAAAAACAACATGATGATGCCCACCAGGAGGACCTCTTAGTGGGACTAGCGCCCTCGCTCTACTACGGTACGTTCAGCGTAGACCGAACAAGAATGATGGTGCAGCGCGACGACCAGGAGGGTCTTCGTTTTTCTGCATCTAATGCGATCGAGCGTGCTCCATCTCCTTCATCTCAGAGTTTTTGGGAGGCCTCTTCGATGCCAGACATCGGTGAGTGCGGTTTTTTCGGCGACCATGAGGCTCCTTTCATGCAGGGCGGCTTCTACGCGATTTCTCAGGCGCTCGCGCGGGGAATGGGCAGGCCGCCTCTGGTGTACCCAGCGCAGTTGTACGCAAGCGAGGACCACGCAGTTGGCTGCGTTGCCATGTACGCGGCCAAAATCGGGCAGTTGCCGGTAGCGGCAGTGCATCCCGCAGCGTGGGAGGACGAGCATTGTGACCAACAGTGGTGTCCGGCTTGGAATCCAATGGAAAAAAAGTTTCTGTACAAACACCTCTACTACGAGTTCGCGGGCCACAGTGGAGAGGGTGCGAGGGACTATCACATCAACATCACTGACGTTCTTAGACTGGACGACGCGTGAACGTGGAGCACCATCATTCTTGAACCTGTTAGGGCATTGACGTTCTTCTTAGGCTGGATGGCGTGTGAACCTGGTAGATCGTCGACGTGTAAAGACGAGACGACGTGTGAACTTGGAGGCAAGACGAGTCTTCTTGTTCGTAGTAGAAATAAATTTTTTTTTCCCTTAATACACACAGTAGAAAATGAAGGTGTATTAGCAACAATAAATTGATGAGGATGAAAATGACCTGAATAGATCTTGTTCTGATTTGTTCTTGCATCACTGCTGCACAGATTTTTTTTCCAAGGAACTAAGAAGGAGAAGGAGATGTAGCTGTCGTAAGTGACATATTTTCAAAGATGCACAGTTTCTACAACACAAGGGTTTTTTAACTCTGCAGTGTCATTGCAGGCGACAGACGCCCTGCAAGAATACGCAGCGTACACTACGCTATTGCCCACAGGAGGGCCCCACAAGTCCGCAAAGCCGCCACGTCGAGAGAATGAATCGTTAAGATGTCAGGAGGACCAAGTGATGGCTCTGATTCTCCGAGTGTTGAAAACTAGCAAATCATTATGCCTCAACAACATGGTATGAAAAAATTGCAGACTCGTGGTGATCACAGGTCGAAAATCGAGGTAGAGATGTATCGCGATCCTGACTTCAAACCCAAATGGAAGTTATCCCTTTTGTGATTTAATAGAGCCGCTTGTTTTTTCGTGTCATAATATGGACCGCGGTATCGGATAATAAATTCTGAGTTTGTTCGTTGTGGAGGTGGGGACGACAGGGAGATCACAGAGGATTCGTCTCCTCCCTGCAGCGCCATGTCGGGGGCGCGCACGGTCGGCGTGCGATGCCGCGTGCTGGGTCGTAGATCTCCGATTGTCGTGTTCTTTGGCGGATTTGCGCTCTTCGGCACTTTTTCCACGGCTGAGGTGGTAAAAATTGCTGCAGACCAGCATGCCGCAGCCACGAAGACTATTCTAGAGCAGGACCTGGGGGAGAAAGGGAATTCACTTGCGCTGCACATGAAGAACCATGATGAAGACATCCTTGTAGAATCTAGCGTGCCGTCAAACAAGTCAATAAAGACAGGCCTTGTGCAGGACCATGGAGCAAGCAAGATGGACTTCGAGAAGACGCTAAAGCAGGTTCAGGAGGGGGCTTATCATCTCGTAGCGAACAAATTCGCGCCGAATTCAACCGAGTACGATCGTCTCTATTTAAGGGTAGTCGTGGATCAAGGTCAAGGGCATCTTCATCTCATCCTCATGTAGACTTCTATCCTCTTTTTTAATAGTCCGAGGCCCCATGGAGGATTTCCCTGAGATTTAAGAGAAATCAAGAACAAGACTATTACTATTGTGCTGAGAGATTCACTAAAAACAATTAGAACCAGTACTGTTGGACCATTCGAACACAGACTGTTAAGTCGCGTCTAGTTTCTCGGTGAGAAGCGCTTGACTTTGATGCAGATTGCACTACTGCACTCACAGCCTGAGACTAACGGCCTCTGCCTGCTTTGATCCCTGTGAATATTCATTGGGGTTGCAAGGAGGAAGTCTCAGCTTCTTCATTGGGATACCATGACACATGGGGAAACTTCACAAGCTTCATATGGGGACGCCTATGCTATCGTCATTGACTCATACGATCATCCTCCTACTTGGTGCGCATCTTTGATCAGAACTGACAAGCGCAAGACGTTATGGGCCTGATTACAGCTATGAACATTCGTTATTTCTGCTATCTGAATACGTTGAAGGTCCTTTGCCTGTTGATCGTTGACTTTGGAACTATATGCGTCTAGGTCTTTAGGTTATCTTTGAGATCTTTCCGGTGTTGCTTTGTCCTTGACTGTATTGGGAGGCTTGAGCCACAAACGAGAGAGAGAGAGGAGAAGCCGAAGACCAAGACACCCGCGCGACGGTAAACCCGTCGGGCGTTTGGATAGTGCTCCGGTAACCTTTTGCCTGGCGATCTTGGTCATTTCGTTGATCTTCATGCGTCTGATCTTTGTGACATTTCCAGGGTTTTGATCTTGACCAATAAGTCCGGACGATCATGCTTATTAATAAATGTAGAAGTACTACTGTCGCTGTCTCTAATTTGCGCTACGTGGCTAATCCCCAGGTTTTATAAACTGATGACACAAGTTGCCGGAGTGGAATCAACGAAGGATACTCGGGAAGAACATCACTTCGACCACGATCACTCGGCTCTCAACAAAAAAGCGAAATATCAACACGACTTTGTACATGCTGATGCTGGTGTGAAGCAAGATCACAGTACTGCGATGAAGAAAAATGCAACCTCCTCGTCCGCAGCTGCATCAATGTCTTCTAAGGTGAGAACGAGAGCTCATCTCGACGCTCACAGCAGAAGAACTAGAAGAACCAATACTAAATTGGGAGATGAAGAAAAGAAGGAAAATATCAAAAAGAACACCTTTTTACTACAGCACAAAGAACAGGAGCAAGCTTATTTGAGAAGCCCAACAGCAACTACAAATGCGCGTGTAGTGAATAGAGGAGATCATGCAACTGCTCGTTATCAGCACCTCCGTAGCAGTCTGGTTGTCGGTATCAAGAGTGCAGCGACGTGGGCCGAGTCGAGGCGCGTGCACCGCGAGACCTGGATGCAGCTAGGCAACTGCGTCAGCAGCCGCAGCGTTGCCGCAGGCAAGGTGACGCCACGATTTCTGATCAGCAACCGCGAATTAGAAGTCGGCGGATCCATCACCAGCGCTGACGTTTCGACGTCTTTCTTTCTTGAGCGCGAAGAAATGAAGAGCAATATGATGGAGAAAAGCAGTAGTACAACTAGTAGTACTGCGGCAACAAGAACATCTTCTACTTCTGCAACTCCAGGGGCCGCTTCCTCTTCATCTACTGCACTAAAGCAAGAAGAGAAAGATCATGATATTAAAAGCCGAAAGAAGCAAAAGGAGACGCTTGTTCAGCTCACTCCTGCATTGCGCAAAGAGCAGGAGCAGTATGGGGACCTTGTCTTTCTAGACTCGTCTCCGATTGGCAGCCAGCTCCAACTGATGTCCGACGACAAACTCAAGTCGTTAGCCTGGATCCGTCGAGCTGGTGAGGATCCTGCATTCGAAAATGCTACGTTTGTCGCAAAAATGGATATGGATACCTTCATCTCGCCGTGTGATATCCTCGAAGACATGGAGAAAAACGCCCTAGTCGATGACGTTGAGAAGACCACTCTTAAAAGTAGAAGCACGACTAGTACATCTGTACATGATCATCACCGTAGAAGCTCAACAAGTCCATCAAGAAGTACTAGGACGTCAACATCATCCTCTTCATCTTTATTTGTACGAGAAAAGATGCTTTCTGCTACTGCTTCATCTAGTCGTGCAAAGTCTCACGGCGCCCGTGCCCAAGGGGCTGGTGATTCAACTCCTGCCTTGGCATCAAACACACGGCGCAACCGGTTACATGGTCGTGCTCACAAAAAGGCAAGCGATCTGCTGAAGCACAGAAAAGGGTCGCCGAATGTGTTGACCTCCATGATCTTGTCTAGTAACGGCGGCGAAGTGCACGAGGCTACGTCGGCTTCGGACTCAAACGTGAGATGGTCTTCATCCGATCTCTCAGCATCATTTCATCCGCATCTATACTATGGGCAGATGAATGGAAACCGAACACTGTTCAACCCCTATGCGTACCCAGATATCGCAGAGTGCACCCCGAAGATCGAGGGGACAACCGACCACAATCCATTCATGCAAGGCGGGTAATTTTTAACCTTCGAATTCGATGCCGTTGTACGCGTCTGCCTTTACCCATCGTTGTACAATCAAGATGAAGTGTTGCACTACCGATCGAAGTTTTTTTGGCGTGAGGACTGTTGACACTACAACACGTTGAAGTTGATGTTCATGAAGAAATTATCTTTCAATTCACTGTGCACGACCTTCTAGTGGTACACCTCGTAAACTGCATGCTGTCTAGGCGGAGATGATCATCAGAATTTATTCTTTGCGTCTGTAACCACAGGTTCTACGCAATATCGTCTGACTTGGCCCGATGGTTTGCCCATTCTGCACGATATCCAGCGCACATGAAAAGTGAAGATCAAACGATGGGCTGCATGATGTTTAATGCCGTCAAGCAGAAAGTTGTGCCTGCGAGCGCCGTGCATCCCGCAGTGTGGGAACAAGATTATGAGGCAGAAATTGAATTCTGAGTAAGAGTACTTACTTGCTCTTATGTACTACATCTACTACTTATAATATAAATATTATATACATCTAGTTTGATTAGAGTAGGTGTACGTCGTTCTTTTGCACTTCAACAAAGCCTATTGCTACAAACTTGCACAACTACCTAGTATTGACAAATGGTAATACAACAGCTACCGGGAGCCATAATTCTTAAATTGATTGTTCTTCTAGTTCTCTTCATACCTTCGGATGCGATCAACACTGGTGCGCGGCTTGGGATCCGCGAAAGAGGCGGTTTTTATTCAAACACCTGTGGTACGAGTTTGTTGCGAACGAAGGTCTGCCACGTGCCTATCATATCGATGTTTCCGACATCCTGGATTGGAGTGACAACGATGATGGCATCAGATCATGATGCTGGTTCGACACTTTCTTATGGGTGCTGTTACTAACTGTAAATAGTCGAAGTTAGAACAACTAGAAGTAATCAACATTTTTATCTATCAGAATGAGGATCAGATAATGATAGACATTGATAATGTCGTCTTGTTGGTTACGGTATAGATTCTTCTTGAAGTTAGAGGTCAAGAGGAATCTGACTCATTCATCCTCACTCTCTGAACAAGAGTCAAAGGGAACGACTTAAGGATAGAAAAGTCGGTTACTCAATCACGGAGCAGCGCGGATAATCTTAAAAATCATCGACTTACACTTGCACCTCTAACAGCAAGAACTTTCTTCACAGTCGGGTGCTGTGACGCTGAACAAACGAAAGGTGCTCTCGCTCTTGGAGACTAGTGACTTCATGAACAAGAAGAGGAACCTAACAAGTGTTGATCCTCAACAGGAAAAATGACAACTACAGGGAAGCATGCATGCAATTGAAAATGAAATGGCCGCGTCGATGGTGATTAGTGGTGGTGTGGTTTTTGCCGGGTGGACGGGTAGAAGTGTCTTCACCTTTCTTGTTTCCGGGCCTGAAGTTTTCAATGAGATCTAAGATATTAGAGAGCTCATCTTCATTTTTCTAGAAGTGTCTTATAAATATATAATCTTATATATAAATATACAAGAAACCGGGGTCGCCCCTTGGGCGACCCCTCCTTGATAGCAGCACAGTCACAGGCACAGAGTAGACACATAAGAGAAAGCAAAAAAAAAAGCGACTGAGGCACGGAGCGCCCGCCCCTTGGCCTTGGCGGCTGCCGTCGAGATGATGGAGAAGAACAAAGACCGAAGCAACCCACGGAACCCAGAACCCTGGCGCGCGGAATCAATTAGGCACGCCACGCCAATGAGACAGGCCCGGCGG